GCCTAAAAAGGCAACCAAAGCATGAGTGGGGATGTGATTGGTTAAAAACCGAGGGCCCCCCCTGTGGGGACCACAAGAGCCCGACTTTTAGCAAGGCTTATGTCATCCCTTATGTCATCCCCCATCCCCTCATATCGTTTTTCCGAAATTTAGCCTCTCATCCCACAGGGTCACGTGCCACCACGCCAGACCGCGCTCGGGGGCGCTCGGGGGGGCGCTCGGCGCGCTGACGCGCGCCTCGCGCCCCCCCCTCGCGCCTCCCCTCGCGCGGCCCGGCGGTGGCACGATGCTCTGGCTATCCATTATATTGTCGTCTATCTTTTGTTAAAATAAGAAAAAAAGGAACGTGTGGGATTCGAACCCGGCTTCCTGTAGAATAAACCTAAGTCATGTGGTGTTGTCCCGAAAAGGTTTAGTTTTGGACTAAGAACATGTGACCTGTATGTGCACCTAATGTGATTGGTTAAATTTTTAGCCTAAACCTGGTGCACAGGCCACGCTTTTCCCCAATCCTCTTATCTCTTTTATCAAAAGCCTTTCTTATCAAAAGCCTTATCTTCTTATCGGCTTATCAAAGGTACGTACCACCCAAAATTTCTAAATTAAAATTAGCTTAACACTAGTCATGCAGCTAAAACTTTAGCCCCATATTTTAGCCTATTACAATACCTGTGACCCACAAATAAAAGGCACTAGTGGGTGCACAGACGAGTTGCCTAATTAGGAAATATCCTTAACTTGGCCTGGCACAATAACCCTCCTAAAAGTCGGGCAAAAAGGTGTGGCGGGAGGGGTACAACGAAGTTCGCGTCACTGGTCTGAGTTCACTGAGATAACTAAAACGTCTCTTTAGCACTGCTAAAAATAAGGCATCTCGTGTTGATACCCCCTTGCTTTTTACTAAGCTTTGCCCAGACCAATTACCTCTTTATTTAGGTACTTTTAACTATTACGAGTAGGAATCACGAGTTTCGGGATTGAATTGATGGCGCTGGCGTTTGCCTCTGCATCGTAAATTCTCGTCAATCAGATCTCATCTTCTAGTTCGCATAATGTGATGATTGTTTAGTTGGTGCGATAGCAGGTTTTATACGACTTCTATTCTCAAACTCATTTGTTGAATGTCAGGTATGTAAATTCGCACCTCTTTCTTCTCACATCTTTTTCCCCATCCTATTCTATCTTTTAAAAACCATAGCCACTTCTGGATTGCTCAATTTCCGCCTGAAATTACGTCTTCAGTTCGTTCACACTTGAAGATACGTGCGATATATAATCAAAGAAGCAAAACGAAAGTATTAGTATCGACTTTGTCTCTGGCATTGCTAACAATATGTGGCGTCCGCTAAATTGTCTGTTGTCTGTCTATACGAGGCGACCGCGTGGCTGATTGACGATTGTCCTTACACATTACTGAGCTGGTGACCTGGTTGGCCTCCTACCACAACAAGAAAGAGACTTCATTGCGAGGAATGTGAAGCCGTCGCCTCGCTCATTTCGGAGCCGCACTTCAATCCCGGTAGGGAAAAGGGATGGACATCACATCGATCACTTGTTGGCTCACTTGTTAGCTCAACGCTACTGTTCTAGATGTCACAAGGGAACGGTTGATAGCCGGTAGCTTCAAGCTCAAGCTCAAGTAAGCCTCAACTTGTTCGGATAATGGTGCAAACCTCTATCTCGGCCGAAATATTATCTGCCGAGTTTAGACTGCAGTCTACACCCCTTTTAATTAGTCCTCGCTAGCTTATCTGGCTTGCGAGATGATTGCTCGCTCCAATCCGAATATGGGCCACGATTATTCTTCGCAATATCTCTGTATCCCCCCCGCAACTTATGCGAGAACGTGGCGCGGTAATCCACCGACTCCGAATCCTCTCCACATTGGGGAAGCTATTGGTGGTCCCTATTCGGAGATACTAATGAGATTCTATGCCCCGACTACCTAGCCCGAGCTTCTTACCTTTTGTGGTGGTATTGCTGTGTGATATGATCTCGAACACAATTCGACCAACATTCGGGATGCCCAACACAAAGCGCCTATGTTACACGGGTCTAGATTCTCGGTCCTATAGGGAGCTTCAGCAGCGGTGGGGAGCCGTCTGCTACGTAGAAAATGTCCTAATATGGTGGGGTGTCTTTGACTTTTCTGGTCACGATGGTGAGACTTTCCCCGCGTTAGGCAATACTTCCCCGGCCTGTTTGATCTGTGTGATCTGTTTGGCCTGTATGGACTGTATCGAGCTTACCGCCTTCCTTTGTTCTCCAGACCTAGACTACCTAGTGCTTACAAGGGTGTCCTCATCCCCATACCCCATATCTACCCCCGGCACGTATCGAGGGCCTCTCCAATCCTTCTTTTATACTCTACCCCCCACTTGGAACTTCTCTCCAACTAGTTATTTCGTCCTACGGAGCTTAGCTATTCGTAATGGCGACTGAAAACACTCATAGCGACTTGGAGAAGAACAACGGCCCCGAGGCCAAGGAGATCGAAGAGGGACACTTGAAGGATGTAAGTAACAACCAGATAAACCCCAATGATACTACACAGTTTCTCACGGCTACTAGGAGGTAGCTAATACCGTCCTCGCTTCTTCTACCCCTGAGCGAAACTTGCTATGGAGGCAAGACAAGCGCATCGTGCCCCTGGCAGCGGGCATCTACTTCCTTTGCTATTTGGACCGTTCCAACATCGGTAACGCCAAAGTCCTCAATTCAGCGACCCATAATGATATGCAGTCCGAGACTGGTACCTCGAATTACCAGTTCAACATCGCGCTCATGATCTTCCTGATCGGCTACTTCTTATTCGAAGTCCCGTCAAATATTCTACTCAAGAAGCTTCGCCCGTCTAGATGGCTTGCCTTCCTTATGTGTTCTTGGGGTGTTATTACCATTGGCATGGGCGGTGTCCATAACTATGCTCAGATGACCGGCGTCCGCTTCCTACTAGGTTCATTCGAAGCTGGTCTTTTCCCCGGGCTGGTGTATTATCTAACATTTTGGGTGAGTTCAAATCAGAACCCCTGGGACTAGATGAAAATCACGAACAGCTTTTCTTCCTAGACAGATATGATACATTTTCAGATATATATACTAACTGTAGAATCCTGATAGTATAAAAGCGACGAGCGTAGTATCCGAGTAGCTTTCATCCTCGCAAGCGCCACTCTTGCCGGTGCATTCGGCGGAGCAATCGCTTATGGAGTCGGCCATATGAACCAGACGCGCGGCCTGTCTGCTTGGAGATGGCTTTTTATGCTCGAAGGTATCCCTTCATGTCTATCAGGAATTCTCGTATGGTTTTTCTTACCAGACTACCCCGAGAGAGCTTCTTGGCTCTCGGAGACCGAGAAGGATTTGGCTGCGCAGCGACTGTATCTTGAAGGCGCTAAAGGCTCAGCTTCTTCTATGACCTGGAACGATGTCAAGGACACGCTTACAGACTGGCGGCTATGCGGGCACTACGCTATTTACTTCGCGGTCTCGTTGCCTTTTAGTTCTCTCTCGTTATTCTCACCTTCGATCGTCGCTGGTCTAGGCTTCCACGATCTAGAGGCTCAATTGATGACAGTGCCCCCATGGGCCGCTGCTTATGGTAAGTCTCCTATATGAGACATGTAAAAATGCTCGATGCTAATTAAGAAGTATTCCAAATTCTCATGTCATGGTCGGCGGATCATTTCAACGCTCGAGGTTATCACTGTGCTATTGCTTCACTAATTGGCGCAGCGGGCTTCTTAGCTTCTGCTGTGCTCCCGCCTGATGCTTACACTCATCGGTATGGCTGCTTGATCGTCGGGACAGCTGGAGCGTTCGGATGCATTCCGCCCATGCTTGGCTGGCTGACCTCGAACATGTGGAGTACGGCGTCCATTGGATTAGCCGTGGCGCTCAACGTCAGCATTGGCGCAGGTCTCGGGCAGATTCCAGGAGTATGGATATACAAGGCCGAAGAAGCGTCGAAAGGCTACCCAACCGGTCACGGTGTGAACTGTGCCATGCTTTTCTTCGTAGCTTTTGGTGCTCTCGGATTGAGATATTACTACGGGCGAAAGAATCGCATTCTACTAGATGGAGCCGCTGAAGGCGTAACTCCTAGACTATATAAGTTGTGACGTGCGCTTATGGAATACTGTTGGCTATTTTTGTTATTTTGAACGTTAATGGTAGCTCTCAGATTAGTAAAGGAGAGCATATTTATCTCATAGAAACATTGCACTAAGAGAATATATATCTGAATTAAATTCCTCTGAATATCTAGATCATGAGTCGTCTATCATGCCAAGCCACTTTCCAAACTAGTGACAATATTTACGGCATCCAGCTACGCAAGCTCTCCATTGCTTTTTGACAAGCTTTTCTAGCCTAGCCAATCGCTAGAATTCCTGGGAGAATCCCGCGAAGGGTCTCCTGCCAAGTTATGCTAGACACTTGGGATGACAGACGCCAGGTCTGGCTGGGACCTGCATTCGGAAACGCCCAGTTAGTACCTCGGAGTTAAGCAAATACCTTGGCAAATCCTGAAATTCTAACCGGGGTTGGAATGCGATGTATGCGATCTTCATTGTTCCCGCGGGTAAGAAACCCCGCACTTGACAATGGATACAAAGGTGCAAGGGCACGAGGTCATAAGCGACTTGGAGAAACAGCCTGGCTAGACTGAGCTAGGTAAACTAGAACGTTCCACTGCTATATTCCCCGGAGCGTATATCGTTCTGGTGGATATAGATCTCCAAGTCTACCCCAGACAGCGAGTTCCACGAGTCAGGTCAGAGTCAGGTCAGGTCAGATAATCGTATATACCTGGCTCGATACGAGTCAAGTCAGATATATTAGATTTGAGGGCTTACCTAGCCGTATCGTCGACTTGGCCTGTATACCCTTATAAAGCTACACTTAGCTACATCAGCCACCTAATATATTTCACCCAAAACCCTTACCAATAACCAATAATATTGCCCTAAAAATATTCGTATAAAATAGGTACCAAATAAAAGAATTTAATGCTCGACTCGGATAGATATCCCTAAAAAAGGATCTACCCAGGCTAAGTCAGGCCAGGCCCAAGTCAGGTCAAGTTATTATCTGACTCGTGGAACTCGCTGTCCCCAGATAACATCTCGTTAGGTCGAGACTTGGGCACGAGCGGCATGGTCACACAGGGATGCCACGCTGAGCCAAGGTCTTATATATGTGACTTGTACCCCAACCTCCCTTCCATAAGCTTCTTTCATGCCAACGTGGCCCATGAGCTTCGTCATGCGTGACCGGTAGGTTTATGAAGACGAGTATTACATAGACGATGCATGTTGGTAGGTGTGTGTTCCCGGTGGTATATATATTATCTCACCTTCAGCCTGATGTATCACACCTAAGCACTCACTCCCCAAAAGAGCAGTTTCTATTGCAAATCAGTGTGGAGACATGATATGCTCGCCATGATGTGGTCAGGCCTTCTCCAATTCTCCGTTAGAACCCTTGCGGTGACCTCCTTAGCTACTACTCTCGCTTCTTCTACGTTAGCGAGGAGTGATGACAGCGAAAATAACGGCAACAGCCGTAGGCAGGTCGGCGGAGTGAGTTGCGATGTCGCGACCTTCGCTAGTGTGCTTCCGGCCGCGGCCAAAGTAGAGAAGGTCGAGTACGTCAGCGCCGGAGGCACATTCGGCGAGCCTTTGACGGATCTTATGTACCCGATCCCGCCGACGAACTTACCGGAACTATGTGCTGTTATCATATCCGTCGCTTCATCACCGATTTCTTCATATAGGTTCGGAATATTCCTCCCGGCAGAGTGGAACGGCCGTTTCCTCGCTGTCGGCAATGGAGGATTCGGAGGCGGGATCAACTGGCTGGATATGGGCGCTGGTGTCAGGTACGGCTTTGCTGTTGTGTCAACGGACACGGGTCATAACTCAACGTCTGGAGACATCTACTGGGCCCTTAACAACCCTGAGATGAAAGAGGACTGGGGCTGGCGTGCCCTACATGGTACCGTCCTATTAGGCAAAAACCTCGTCACAACCTATTACGCAAAGCCTATCGGCCATTCATACTATAGCGGATGCTCGACGGGTGGTCGGCAAGGGCTCAAGGAAGTACAGATTTCTCCCGATAGCTTTGACGGAGTCCTTGTCGGTGCTCCGGCTTGGTACACAAGCCGCCTCAATACTTGGATCTGCAAAATTGCTACGTATAACTGGCCCGCCGACGACCCTAAGCATATCGACTGGGAAACGCTACCGTCTATCGGCGCTGAGGTCGTACGCCAGTGTGATGACATCGACGGAGTCTCCGACGGCATCATCAGCTTACCGGAACAGTGTAACGTAAACTACGACGCCCTGCGATGCAGCAATGGCAGTAGTACCGCGATATCTAACTTCGCCAATTCCGACAACTGTCTGAGCGACGCGCAGATCGACACATTGAAAACAATGTACACGGGATTTACACTCGACTCTACCGGCGAGCGTGTGATGCCCGGGCTACTCCCCGGGTCCGAGAACCAGATGTACACGGTACTCAACTACTCGGACGCAAGCCCGTACGGCATAGGATATATCCGATACTTCCTCCTAAATAACCCGCTGTGGGAGGCATCGCAGTACAACGACTCGATACTCGAGCTAGCCGAATTTTTTGATCCAGGCAATGCCACGGCCGACAACTACAACCTAACAACGTTCCGCGACCGCGGCGGCAAGATGCTGCTATACCACGGAGCCGCGGACGGCCTGGTCCCCACCACAGGCGGAAGCTTGTACTACGAACGCGCGGTAAACACGACTAGCGGCGGCGACGTAAACGCCGCGCGCGAATTCTTCCGCCGCCTCGAGATACCGGGCATGCAGCACTGCGGACTAACAGCGGTCGACGCGCCGTGGGCTCTCGGCGGCGCTAGCCAGGCTGCTTTTCTGGGAAACGACACGTACTCGGTGCCTGGGTTCGCGGACTCGCAGCACGACGTCTTGCTCGCGCTTATAGACTGGGTGGAGAATGGGAAGGCGGTTGATCAGGTCGTTGCTACGACGTGGAATAGCCAGCGGGAGCCGTCGTCGGGGGTGTTGAGGCAGCGGCCGATTTGTGCGTATCCGGATACGGCGAAGTGGGATGGCACGGGGAATGTAGATGAGGCTGCGAGCTGGAGCTGCGGGTTAGTGCTTTTTCTTGATGTTCTTTTTTCTCTTTCTCTCCCCCTTTCACGCCCTTTCATCTCCGTTTGCTAACTTCATTTCCAGTGGTGATAACTCCAGCCATGTAGCGAACAACGCGGGTTCGCTAGCATATACGAACCCCTTTTCGGTCATCGTGGACATGTTCAGAACTTTTGCTAAATGACTCGGGGACGGATATTTAGGGTTATAATTACTTGTTTGTTTAGTGTAGAGTCGGCGAGTGTGCTATGAAATGGGTTGGTTGTATATAGCGGGCATAAAGGTGTCAGCTCCATATGCTCATGTTGTATCAAATGTAATGTTGCCTTTGTATTTTGAATTGTCCAATGAGATATATAAGGTACGTTGAGAATGACCGCAGGTGTAAGCAGAAGGATCAAACGCCATTCGAAACGTCATTAGGAGTCTCAAAGCTCAATGCGTAGATAACTGAGGGCTATCAAATCCTAGATTCGATATGGCAGGGGTTTTACTTAGCATTAAACCCCTGTCGAGGGTATCTTCGAGGGTATACACAATAAATACATAGAAAACGAATATATATCACATCTTAATACGAAGTAAAACCAGCGCTACCACCCACCCCATAAGTCCTTCTAGACCCCCATTACTAGATCTGTCCCCTAATAGTTAATTCCCTAACCCAGCCGACCTATTGTCTAATCACGAAGAACCAATCCGGAGAGTCCTGTGGTGAGCCCAACTTTCCCTTCATCCAACAGACATAATGACCATTGTAGCTACCCCAGCCCGCCCCGGCGCAGGTCGAGTTCCCTGCACACATATCGATACAGTCCTCGACAGAACTTGTCTCTTCGTTGCCAATGTCTGTGGTTCCGCTGCCTTCCCAGTTGCCGTTATAGTCTACGTTGCAGAGAACTAGGAACGGGTCGTTGCCGGCCCCTTCGTATATCGTCCCGTTTGACTGCGGACACGTGATTGCTATTGACCCAGTTGTGCTTGAGGGATGCGACGATGTGGGAGTTGCGCTGCTAATGTATTAGGAAAACTATCATAGAATCGTGGAGGAATTATTTGGCATCGCTTACTCAGAATTCGAACTCGATTTGTGCGAAGTAGCCAATCCCACACCTAAACCAACTGCCAAGCCAATGACGATGATGGCAATGAGCGGACCAACGATGAACCAGAAAGTTTTCGGCCTTAACCCCCATATTCTTCTATTACTTGGCGGTATAGGAGGAGTATTTTCAGTGAGGTATGTGCCGTCTTGAGAACCTCCCCAGTATGGCGGACCCTGGCTAGATATAGGATACCCTTGGGGAGGATATGCCCCGTTCGAGTAAGCATTTTGCTGAGCCATGCCCTGAAAACCCGGCATTTGCTGATGATACGCATACTGCGTGCCGTCGTATGGCTTCTCTATGATAGTCGGCCCCTCGACGACACATGGTAAGTCGGATACTGGAGCAACTTCCAGACCAGCGGGCTCGTATTGGATATTGTTGGGCGACATCATGCCCTCTAGCTTATGATGATACAGGTGACTCTGGGTTCACCGCACCGGCGGAAGTAGGTTAACATTTAGTTGACATTTGAGGAGAACACAGACGGAGAGCACAAACGGAAATATACAGGAAAAAGAAAAGTTATGAAGGATCCGCCCTGCCTCCTGTGTTACATCATATGTACCTACCTATGTAGGCTCACTATTTTTGCTCCTGAATTGGAGTTGAGTCCCTAATTGAGAATTCGATGCCGCAATACCCCCTGTTATTAAGCCCTCAACCTCCAAACTAGGGAACCGAAGCCCATGAACCCCAGGTTCCTGGGCAGCCTAGGCTTTCTCGGCACCGGTTTCCCCTGTAAGGCCTGCTCGCCTCATTGGACATACTGCAATCCGACCGCAGATTTCGAGGATCTCGCTGTTTGGGTCACCTACGGTTCTGTGCGGAAGAATCCTTCGGCCTGTTTCAGAGGCCAATCAAAATACATGATAGTCGGACGGGATCCTTCGGCCTATTCTCCGAGACAGCTCTTCAGCTCCGTGTAGCATTCACCAAGGGCTTGCAAAATGCAAGTAATTTTATGTCACCAGCATTTAAAACATAGGTGCGTCGCTCATGTGGCCGTCTTGAGATATCTCTAATACTACCTAACCTACCCATCCCGTTCACTATCCAAAGAGCCACGGTCGAGTCATAGTTTACCTAGCCATTATGGCTCTGGCTCAGCTCCCTAGGGCGTTTAAGGCTGTAGGCTCGTGGTCAATGCTTTCGTACCTAAGGTAGCAATCATCAATACTACATTACGAGATGTTCGCCGCCACAGGCTGCAACTATTGCATGCATGTCTTGGATGAATAAGTTTTTACTCAGTCACAAAGGGGCTTTGTGTTACCCAAGCGTGCAAAAAGCCCCGGCAAACCTAGCATTTGCTAACCGGAGTCTTGAGGGAATGATGTAAGTTAGATTTGCTGTTAACCTTGAAGGTCAGCTAGATGCGATTTAAGGGGCGGCATACCTTCTTTCTACTTCACTCCCTTCTAGTTAGGCGCAGTCTTGCTCGAACTTAGGAGCGAAACAACAAGTCACCTATGTTTTCGAGCATATAAGCTAGTGGCTCAGCAGCACGTACCTAAACAGCCATCAGCGCTCTTTGGACCGAGTGAAAGCCTCATGGCCATCCCAGCTGTAAGGTACTAATCAAAAGCCGGCGGCTATGCAGGTCCAAAGTTGGACAGACCCAAGTACGCCACCTACTTCGCCAAGCTACATTTTATTTAGAGTCTCCGTCAAATAACACTACGTACCTGATAATCCGATATCTGAGATCCGGTACTACTACCGCTGTATTGTAGTTGAGGAGTTGCCGGGCGATCTCTCGCCTTGCCTCTAAGTACGACAGACCTTGAAAGCCCCGAACATATTGATCGGGTATCATAAACTATTGCTGAAATGTCTTTCGGTATATATTTCAACGGCGCAAACCGACATCTCTCATGAAAATTACGCATATGGCAGTCTACTTGACCATTTCTATTGGTTAGTACATCTATACTTTGACGAGTGACCTAGGTATAACCGCACCATCTCGCAACTATCGCCTCCTGACAATTTTGATAAATTCTTACTGAGATATCCTACCGTCATAGCCTCATTCGCAGCATGAGTACCGTGGACGAAACGCCTTTCGCTGCTAAGATCGTATTCTACGCCATATTATATTTGATCGGCTACGTGCTTTTTATTGAGCTATTTAAGTAACGCCACGCTCGTACCTACTAGTGTAAACTAAATCATTCAAAATCCGACGTGATGAGGCACATTATCTCTCTATTAATAGATTGGTGTGGTGATGCGGTTGAGCCTCATCATGTTGCATTGGCTGAAGTTACTATTGACAATGCTTGAATCTACCTGGGGAACTGTATGGATCTAGTATCTTATTTAAACTCACCTGACTGTTGTCGTAGTATGAATTGATACTGGGATTTGCGAAGTGATAAGTATGGCGTCAACGGCGAAACCATCCAGATCTCTATCTAGTTAAAGGGTTAAGGGAAGTTAAGGGGGGCGGTCCAACTAAAAGATAGATTCGGATGTAATATAACCATGCATATACATTATGCTAATATAATGTAATTAAAACTGTATAAAATTATAAGTATAATTCATTTGTTAAGGATTTTGCTTTTGTTAAAATTAAACGTAAGTTATAAAATATATATATATTATATTATTATATTATTTATTAAAAAAATTAAATAAACATATTTATTATATATAAATTATAAATATAAAACGTATTATTAATTATTTAATTTATTAACTTTATATATTTTAACATTTTTATTTAAACTATATTTGTGGTTTATTTTTAAAATTCTTTTATAATAATTAAATTTATATAACTTTATATTTTTTTTAAAATTTTAATTTTATATATTAATAAAAACGTAAATTATTAAAACTTTTATAAAGTAAATTTTTAAATTATATTTATTTTTTAATTTTTTTTAATAATAATAAAAAATAACAATTTTTTTTATTATTTAATACGTTAGTATTATATTATATTTTAACTTTATTTATATATTTTTATTTTTATAAATATTTTATAAATAAATATTATTTTTTTATAATATTTATTTTTAATAAATTTTAATTAATATTATTTTTATAAAATTATAATTTTATATTAATATCCGTTTTTTTAATTTTATAACGTTATTAATAATAATTATTATAAATATATATTAATATTTATTTTTTTATTTATTATTTATTAATTATTTATTAAATATATTAAATAATTTTATTTAAATTTTTTTCCCAATTTTAAGTATTAATTTTATAAAATTATAAAATAAATTTTATAATAAAAAATTAAATATATAATTTATTTAATTTATTTGGTTTAAATTATTATAAAAAAATATAATTTATTAATATATATAAAAAATATAATTTTAATATACGTTATTTAATAATTATTATAAATATTTTAAAATTTCGATATTAAACGTTTTAAAATAAATTTATTATAAATTTATTATTTATTTATTATTAATTAAATTAATAATATAAAATTTTTTGCGTTTTTTAAAAGTAATTTTTTTTTAATAAAATAAATTTAAATTTTTTAAAATTATAATAATGATTTTTACATATTAATATTTTAAAAATATATAATTTTAATCGTTATTTTAATAAATTTATTTTAATTATTAAAAAATTTTTTTATAAAATAATTTTATTTTATAATTAAAATAATAAAAGGTTTAAATATATAATTTTTAAATAAATTTTATTATTATTATATATAATTTTTAAAATATATTAATTTTAAAATTTTTGGTAATATATTTTAAAGGTATATTTTAATTTAAATTTAATTATAATTAATATTTTTAATTATATTTTATATTTATATATTTTATAATTATATATTTTATATTAATATAAATTATTTTATTAGTTATAAAACGTTTATTTTTTATTATTTTTTATTTATTTTATAAATAAAAGTTTATTATTTTTTTAAATTTAATAAATATATTTTTCAATAAAAATTTAATAAAGTTATTAATAATTTATTAAATTATAAAAATATATATAAAATTTATTTTATTATTAATTTATTTTTTATAAATAAAATAAATATTAATTTTAATATATTTAATTTATATATAAAATTATAAATTTTTAATAAATGTTAATATTTTTTAATTATTATTATATATAATTATAATAATAATTTTATTTTTTTTAATAATTAATTTAATTAATAATTAATATAATTAAATTATTTTTTTTATAATATTTATTATATTTTTAAATTTAAATTTATAAATAAAAATAATAATTATTAATTATTTTTTTGATAATTAATTAATAATACTGTTATTTATATTAAAAATATATCTTAAAATTAATTTTTTAAATTGCGTATATTTTATATAATTAATATTTATTTATTTTATAAAGTTTTTTAAATTATTTTAATATATAAATTTATAATTTAAATTTTTTTTTAAATATTTTAAAATTTTTTTAATTATAAATATATATATTATAATAAGATTTTTTATATAATAATTTAAATATAATATAATATATATAATATTAAAATATATATTTATTATTATATATATAAAATATTTTATAATTTATATATATTATTTAATATTAATAATAATTATTATATAATTATTTAAAGGTTTAAAATTTTTTAAAATATTTATAAATATATTAATAAAATTAAATTTTTATTAGCTTAAATTTTTAATGATTTTTTTTAAATATATTTTTTAATTAAATTTAATTATTTTATTAAAATAATTTTTTTAATAGTTATTTTTAAATAATATAAATAAAGGTTTAAATTAATTATTTTAAATTTTTTAATTAATTTAATTTTAATTTTATAAATTTTATTTTTAAAAAATTTAATAATAAGTAAATTATTTATATAAATTATTATATAAATATAATTTTTAATAAATATTTTTACGTTTAAATTAAATATTTTAAATTTTAATATTTATAAATATATTATTAATATTTAATATTATATTTATAAAATTTATTTTAAATTATATAAGATTTTATTAAATTTATAATATTTATTTGTACCGTTTTTAAATTTAAAAAATTATTTAACGTAAATATTTTTATTTATATTTTTATATAAAAAAGTAATAATAACATTTATTTATTTTAAATTTAAATTTAAAGTTATTATTATAATAAATATGGCTTTATAATTTATAAGTTTAATTATTAATATAAAAATATTAATATAATTTAATTTTTTAATTATTTATTTAATTTTATATTAAATAATTTCGTTATTTAAACTTTTTTTAATTTTATATAATTATTTATTAAATAATAATTTATATTTTATAAATAATTTATATAATATTTATATATAATTATTTATTAATAATTAATATTTAATGTTTATAATTTTATATTATTAATATTATTTAAGGTTATATTTAACTTTTTTATATAATTTAAATTTAAATTTAATAATTATTATTATTATATTAATTAAATATATAATATATTAAAAAATTTTATTTATTTTTAATTAATATTTATTAAATAATATAATATTTATTTATTATTTAAAATTATATTTAAATAAATTATATAATAAGTTATTTTTATATTAATTAAACTGTTATTGTAAATATAATTAAATGTCCGTATAAATTAAATAATAAATAAAAATGATAATATAAAATAAAATAAAAACGAAATATAATACGAAATAAAGTTATTATAATAATTATTATTTTAATTAATGTTATATTAATTACGAATTATATATATGGGTATTATTTAAAAAAAATTGCTTTTTATATAAAAAATAATTACATATTACCACGTAATTATTTTTACGTAATAATATATTTACACTAGTAAATTTTTTTTTTCTTTTTTTTTTTATATAACATAATTACATATAATTTAATTAATATAACATTAATAATTTCTTTTTTTTTTATTTTTAATCCGTTTTTTTTATATTATAACGTAATTGTTAATAAATATATAATCGGATTTTTTGTTAAATTTTTTATTTAATTAAATTTTGTTAAATTTTTTTGTTTAATTTAATTTTATATTAAACCTTTTATTTAATTAAATTTTATTAAATTTTTTTATTTAATATGGTTTTTCGTCCGGTTAATTAAAGTTGGTTAAAGTTAATTAAAAAAGTTAAAATAAAAGTCTCGTTTAATTAAAAACGAAGTTATTTTTATATTATAAATTGTTTAATTAAAAACAAAATTGTTTTTAATTAAATTATAAAAATTGTTAATTTAAATTAATTAAAGATAATTATATATTATAATGGATTTAATATAATTAACCGATTTTAATTTTATAATAAAAATCTTTAATAATTTTAATTTTTTTATTTAATATGCCATTTGTTAAATTATACTTTTTATCCTTGTATTTATATTTATTATTACCATATATTTTAATATAATTAATAATATTTCGTAATTTTATCGGTTTTATATTAAACTTATTAAACTTTAATAAAATTATTTATAAAATTAATTATATTTATAAAATTGGTTTTAATATTGTCGGGATTAACTTTACTTTTCGTAAAATTAACTCCGGCGTTATTTATAAACTTAACTTTAATATTATTAATTATAAAATAAATTCCGGTGTTATCGGGATTAATTATGTTTCATTTAATTATATTGTTTACATTTAAAATGGTTTAAATATTATTTTTAAACAAGTAAATACTTATTATTTAAATTATATTATTACCGCGGTAATTTTATTAAAATTATTAACGTAATATAAATTAATCATTAAAACAAAACTATCGGGGTAACGTTTTAATAAAAGTATGTTTTTATTAAGTAAAAATTTTTTAAATTTTTTAACATTAATAATTATTTTCAGTTTTTTTAAAAAGGTTTTTTTTTATTAAAGTATATTTTATAATATAAAAAATAATCTGTTATTAATAATTAAAACAAACGGTTTATTTTTTAAAAATATTTTATTTGTTATTCCGTAAAAAAAATTTTAAAATTATTTTATATATTTTTGTTACATTTATTATTGTAATACTCGAAATAATACGTAAAGTTTTTTATATAATATATATTAATTTACTTTACCGTTATTTTGTTTAATTTAAAGTCGTTAAAGTTAAAGTTAATGTTTAAATTAATATTTAAAATATTATTATTAATATATTTATTTTATATTAAAGCTATATTAAATAATTGTAAATATAACAAAAATATTATAAAATTTACGTAATAAAATGTAAATTTTTTAATTTATTTAAAAGCTTTAAAATTTTAAAATAATATAATAGTTAAACTATTATTTTTTTTTGTTAAAAAAACGTTTTACGTTTTTTTTTAACTTTATTAATCTATAGTTTTATTTTTCAATTAATTATTAATTAATATAAGTATAATTAAATATTCGTATAAATTAAGTAATAAAAAAAAATAATAATATAAAATAAAAAAAAAACAAAATATAATATAAAATAAAGTTATTATAATAATTATTATTTTAATTAATATTATATTAATTATAAATTATATATATAAATGTTATTTAAAAAAAATTGTTTTTTATATAAAGAATAATTACATATTACCACGTAATTATCCTTACGTAATAACATGTTTATAATTATTTTTTTTATTTATAAAAATTTTTAAATATATATTATAATTTAAAATATTATAAAGTTTTTTTATTATAAATTATATATTAAAGTTTAAACGGTATAAAATATAATAATTAAATATAATAAAGTTTATTATAAAAGTAAAATAAATATAAAGTAGTTTTTAAATAAATTTAATTAATTTTAATTAATTTATTAATAAATATAAAAGTAATAATAATAATAATTTTAAACGTTTTTTTAACGTTTTAAAATTTTTAATAAATATGTATAAATATTTTTTTTTTAAATATAACGTTATTAATATTAATAATTTTATTAAAATTTATTAATAATATTTTATAAATATATATATTATTATTTTTATATTTTAATATTTTACATATTATAATTTTATTTTAAAATATATTTAATTTTTAATTTTTTAAATAATAATTATTAATTTTAATTATAATTAAATAAGTTAAATTTAAAAAATTATTATATTAAATTTTATAAAAGGTTTTATTTAAAATATTATAAAGTAATTTATTTATTAAATATATTATTATTTATATAATAATAAATTAATATTTATTAAATATATTATTATTATATATTTATATTAATATTTAAAAGTATAATAAAATATAAATGGTGGTATACATTAAAAAAAAATAAAACATAATACGAAAATAAAGTTATCGTAATAATTGGTATTGTAAAAATTAATGTAAAAATGATAAATTATATATGTAAGTTTATTTTAATAAATTTAAATTAAAATTCGTTAAAATTAAACTTATGCCCGATTGCGCCATAAACGCCATAAAACGCTTGGTCCGTGTTATTATATCTGTAAATTTAAAGCTTAAAAAAGTAATATAAAATTAAAGTTTTAACGAATTTTAATTTAAAACATGTTTAACGTGTTTAACCATAATTAAAATAGTTTTTTTAAAAATTAAACCTTATATTTACGATGATTTAATATCTAATAATAATATATAAAATAACTTTTATTTTTATGATTTAAAGTTAATATTATACTTTTTTTACCTTTTTATTTTTTTTATATATTTATACAGTATTACGTTATAATATCGCAAGCTTTAACGTTTAAAAACACATAATAATATATTAAAACAATATTTATACTTACATATACACTTATAACCACGTATAAAATATTTAATTTTTTTTGATCTGAGGTTAATATAATGGTTTTTTAAACCTTTTTGCTATTTTGCATGTTTATACGGCATTGCGTTATAATATTATAAGTTTTAACGTTCGAATTGGTGGTATATTCCCAAAAACGTTACGACCGGTGTTATAACCGGTATTACAACCGGTATTACAACCAATATTGCGGTTAATCATCACCCCGGAAGCTTTAAAACGCGTATATTTATTATTAATAAAGTTAATAAATGTTTTAAATCAATTAAAACTTATTTTAAACGCATTAATACTATTATTTTTAATATTATTTTAATATTATGTTTTTAATATTAAATAATTAATTATAATAAAAATTACTTAAGTTATTTTAAACCAAAAATTTAAAATTATTTTTAAGGTTGTGCCAAAGTTGTAATTGGTTAAAAAGTTTTATAATTAAAAAAAGTACAACCGCATAAACGATCTCGAATTTATGGTTTAAATTCATTAAAATAAATGTAAATGTTATTTAAAAAAAATTGCTTTTTATGTAAAAAATAGTCACGTGTTACCACGTGATTATCCTTACGTAATTACATTTTAACATTAATAACTTTTTTTTTTTTCTTTTTTATTATAACGTAATTACATACAATTTAATTAATTTAACACTTTTTTTTATTTTTATAATTATTATTAATAAATTAAAAATTATTTTTTAATAATATAATAAACTTTATAAGTTTTATTTTATAAATTTATTTTATTATAAAATAATTTTTTAAATAATAATTTAAAAAACTTATAAATAAAATTAAAACTTATTTAAAATAATTAACTTATTTTTTATTTAATAATTTAAAAATAATTATTTTTAATATAATTTCGAATTTTTTTAATAAATTAAATAAAATAATAATTTTAAAATTAAAATAATTAACATTTAAATTTAATAAATATAATTTAATAAATATAAAATTAAATATATAATTAATATTTTTAAAGTAAATATTTTTTAAAAAAATTTTTTGTTATAATTATTTAAATTTTTTAGTAAAATACAAAAAATTTTATTTATTTAAATATTTAAAAAATAATAACTTTTATAATGGCTTTTTTTTAAAATTATACCATATTATATTATTTATTTATTAATAATAATAACCAAAATATATTATTAAAATAATATTAATTTTATTTTATATTTATAATTTTATATTATTAATTTTAACGTTATATTAAAAGTTTTAATATAATTATAATATATATTTATTAAAATAAAATAAATTTTAATATTATTATTAATTTATTAAACGTTTTAATTTAAAAATATTTTATAAGTAATTTTATTAATATTAATAATAAAAAAGTTATATAAAAAGATTAAAGATTTTTTATTATTATAACTTTAATATTATTAACCTTAATAATTTATTTTTTTATATATTAAAAAAAAAATTTAAAAAAATAAAATCGTTTTTTATTTAATTATATAATAAAAATTATAATAGTTTAAATTAAATATATTTAAATAATATAATAATTATTAAATAATTAAATAATCGTTTACATAATTTAAATTATAAACTTTTAAGTTTATAATTTATTAAAATTAAATATAAATTATAAAATATATATATATTATATTATTATATTATTTATTAAAAAGGTTAAATAAACATATTTATTATATATAAGCTATAGATATAAGGCGTATTACCAGCCACCTAATTTATCAGCCTTACATATTCCAGCAGCCTTCACATAGTGAAAGGTACTGCCCTATCTACGAATAAGGGGAAGGGACGCCCTCTTGTCTCCTGACATAACCAAACCAAAGCCTTCCCTCTAACTTTAGACCTTATGCGTGGTAACGATGGCGTTCAAAATACCCTTGCCCTTCGTGCCAATGGCAAACTGGTCACTGATACACTCGAAATCCTCGGCTGTTGCGCCCTGGAACTGGAAGTTGTAGCGATAGACAAGTGTAGCAATGACTAGGTACAACTCAGCCCATGCTAGACTAAGTTATAGTATTAGAAAGTTTTTATCTCGGCTATCGCTAGAATATAAAAAATTACTACATTCCGAGGCAAATCCTTGTCCCTCTTGAGAAAGGGGCGAATGTTTTGTCAACCATTTTTCGAGATTCTGGATCCATCCAGCGATCTGGATTGAAGCGCTTAGGGTTTGGATAGAGCGTATCATCCGTATGCATTAGTATTAATGTCATTCCAATAGGAGTTCCGGCAGGTATTCGCCAGCTGCCGTAGAAGAGATCCTTATCTGGGGAAATGCGTGCCATACGTGTGGCGATAGCCGGGTTAGTCGCAGGCCTTCCATCAGTGTCGACGTTAGATAAGGTAGCTGCTCAAGTGTCTTTAATTCGACCTCGCTTGGGTCTGCATTTATAGAAGCAAGTTCAGCTCGAATTCGCTGGAGGATCTCAGTATCATTAAACACGTGAAAAAGGACGACTCGTAGAACGCTAGCAGTTGTCTCAAATCCTGTACCGGTGATGGTTGTTACATCATCAAATACACGATCGAGAGACTTCTCCGGGGATGTAAGTTTGGATTCTAGTATTTCGTGAACTATAGTACGCTGGGCTTTCTCGTCTAAGACAGGCGAAGCTGCAGTTGCCATAAGGTTTTTAGTATCTTGCATGGTTTCCTACCCAGCAACAATTAGTAACAGTAACCGCCTATCAAACCTTTAGGTCTCACTTGAAGATGAAAGAAGAACTCCTTCATATCATTGCCTGCAGTCTTTAAGACCCAGTCAACCAGTATAGCCTTGAGGGCCTTAGGAACCCATGGAATGTGCTTAGAGAGCCGCCATAGTTTACCAGACCCTTGACTTGCAGTAAGCATCGCAACGTCAAAATCCTCTCGCTCAAGACTGTTGTAACTTTTGTTCAAGATGAAGTCGTTAGCGACGTCTCGGGCGATGGCCGTGGCAGCAGCACCCAAGTTCAACGTATCTCCTGAATTTGCGAACTGAGAAACCCGACCACAAAGTTTACGTAAATGTCGTCGAATGAGATCTTGCCGGCTAGCAACCTTCGCCCTGGAGAAAAAGGGGCTCAGGGGTTGACGACGGCTCTTATGAAGCTCGTGGTCCGCCGTGAACAAAGTTGCACCCTTGGCTCCAAATGCGTCCATGGCCCAGTTATACTTATGCCAATGTCCTTCTTGGCGATAGAGGTGCTTAAAGAACGCTGGGTCATTCACATGGAGTTCGTAGTGGCTGATCCGGATAATTGGGCCTTCATAATTGTGCATTGTCAATCAGATTATTCTTCTTGGATGAGTTGGAAAGAGAAACCTCGCCGCATTCTTTGTGCAGCTGTCTGATTTTGAATGTGTATTGACCATTCTGGAAAATATCATAATAGCCTTCGTACCATCTCGTGATTGCTGCCAGTCTTGGCCCTGGAAACCGAGCAAGGGGGTGTAGGAATAGTCGATAAAAGGCAACACTTGCGAAATATATGATTACAATTGTAACGATGTATCGCAACATCAGCAAGCTGACTAGATTCTCCATGTAGCCTACAAAGCTAGAAAGACTGTATGGTTTATTGAGTTGATAAACAGAGCATTTTCAAATTCTGCCTTATCCCTTACATGAAATAACTGGAAGTTATTGTTATATATTTCCATCTTTATCTAATTGATCCCTATTGGAGGATTTTAGTTGTCCCTAATCTATTTACCTCACCTAAAGATACTATATTGACATACCTACCTAGGTAATTATAGCTAACCCTTTAGCGGATTCTGACTGTCTTATATGTCGAATTGGTTGAACGATGTAAGTGCCAGTGTTGGAGCACTGAAAAATTGAAAATTGAAACAGGGGCCTAAGGGGCTAGGTACGATACTGCTGACTCAGCTGCTTACCTAAGTTTTAGTTGAATATGTACCTACCCGTACCCACCCTAATCCCTGTAACCTATCCGTACTTCTAAGGAAGATACGGCGCCCACGCGAAAGCTTTCAATATCTACATCATCAAGTCACGCCCGCACGTTTAATGGCCCAACATGTCTTCTCAAGCTGAACCAAGCGGAGATCCATGGGATAAAGAGACGAAGCGCAAGTTCCAGAAGCAAGTACACGGTAAATCCAAGATTGTTTGGCATTTGCTAACTGCGGTTGCGACAGTAAATCCGTGAGCGAATTCTTTGACCCTTGTCAAGAGGCTGCAGCGAAAAGTATCCGATGTCTGAACCGGAATGGAGGAGATAGGAAAATGTGCACCGACTACTTTGAGTGAGTGCCTCCCGGGAGTATAAGAATGAGAATGAGATTGGGGGACGAATGTAGAAATATGGCCATACTAACGTGAGACTCCGCCTAGGGCATACCGTGCTTGCAAAAAGGAATGGGTAAGGATAACTTATAAATCTACCTCAAGCTTGTTGAATATTTCTAACCTGATTTTCTGGAAGACTAATAAAAGGAAGAGGGAAGGTGGCAGCATCTTCTTCCGCTCATAGTCTAGACTTGAGATCTACTTGAGAGTCTTGAACTCGGACAGACATTTCCACCTAGACAGTATCAATTGATATTTGGGGGTTTTGAGCTGAGGCAGCAGGTTTTACCGTTTTGCTATTCATTACTTATATAAGGAATAGTTGTAATAATATCTGTAAAACTGAGGACAGAGGCTACAAAGAACATGAAGGCGTAACTCGTACACATTTTCATGTCGATTAGTACCTATGTAGGTAGGTACTAATCCCTAAGGACTGTAGCGTGAATTGGGGGTGCTAGGTACCTACATGTAGGTACATGATTGTAACCTGAGGCGCCAGTAATGTAGCCCTATATTACCTCATAGGTATAGGGCGAGTGTTACAGGCGGGCGCACTAATTCACACCGCCTACCGATTTCAATAATTAAAAGGAACCCTAATCCACTTCGGCGGCAGAATCTAACAAGAACAATGGGGGGGAGAATGCTGGGGCAGGGTGCTTTATAGATGCTATAGACAACAAGCAACAATCATAAGCATACCTAAGTATATTCGCAATGGTCCGATGACACTAGTCCAAACGACGTAAATATCTGTCTTTAGTCTCCTACGAGACGATTAGTACGAGGGGCAATTCTAAAAACTGTTGTTTGCAATACCTCTAGCAACACTTGCAACTTGCAACTTGCAATGATACCCCACTGTCATTTATTCTTCCCTCTTCAGACCCTCACCTTAAAACCTCACATTTAGAAACTCTTGCACTTGCCTACCTACCTAACATAAAAATAGATGCCTAGGTAGGTTCTAGATTCACCACCACAAAAGGAAAGCTGCAGAAATAGAACTTATCACAACAATAAAAAACAAAACAAGACTTACCCACTACCACATTCGCCATGAAGCCTCCCTTAATACCACCCACCCCACGGCCCATCAATCTCAAACCCACCGGCCCCGTCAGTCTATTGACTGCCTTCGCCGAAGAGCAATGGACCACCACTGCAAACTTGGCGAGGCAACGTTATAGAACTACAAAAGACCCGTACTATTTAGTAAGCCATGTGTGTTTTCTATTACATGTACCGTAGCTGACCTCTTTCTAGGCCGTCGAGATTGCTGCTAAATCTCAGAGCGACAATGTTGCTGACCGCAGTGCGGGAAAGGTCGAAGTTGAGAGGATGATTAAGGACAACATCACCATATCTGATGTCGATACGCTGGACTTGTACGAGTTTGCCTGCTCCCGGATCGATATCAAGTACTCGGAAACCGTCGGCGTGCTCCGTGCAAGGCTGGTGAAGGCCCTTCCGAAAGACCAGAAGTCTTGCACTCGATGCTTCGATGCTTGCGTCTGGAATTCGGACTGGAAGAATGCTCAACAGGTAGTTTCCCTCTATGCTCCCGGATATCAAACTTATCAACTGACCCATATAGATTGCAGCATCGTTGAATAAGAACTTTGCCAGCGACCGAAAGTTCTTATTTCGATATATCCTAGCCACTAACCAGTACTCTGTAAGATTTTACTCTCGCGGCCTATCTATTTTTGAGCCTACCTTTCTGACCTGAATAGTTGTCCGATGAATGTCCCGAGGGTAGCAAAAAGATCTTCGCGTCGCTTGCAAAAGCACAGGCCGACAAAGCCTTTGACCTCCGGACTATGGTGAGAATTTGAGGTGGAAGATATAGCTACGGGGATAAGCGCTGATTATAATCATTAGACTTCTGGTAACGATGGTCGTGTCATCTATAATGAATCCGAGGCCTGGGTGTGGCTGAATATTCGAATCAGCCATTGTAGCCCGAAAGAAAACTTGGAGCTTTTTAGGAAGCCCGAGTATAGCCCCCTAGCATTCCTCAAAGCTGGCCAACAGGAACCCTACTGGATAGCTCTAAGTTATCTACAGACCTACTGTGCGTGGGATGACATCTTTCAAATCGGAAAGGAGGTCTTGGAAGAAGCTACTCGCATAGCCCAGGCCGAAGCTTCGGCTATCGAAGACGATGAAAATGTTATTAGTCTGCGGAAGCTTGCAGAAACCGAAGCTAAGCAGGACTCGTCAGTTAAGAAAGATCTGGTTCGAGCTATAGAAAAGGCTAGGCCTCGGCGAAGCTTGAAGGACCAATCCTATATATCTGCAAGCTGTGAATATGGGCTGTTTACGGCCATCTTCCAAGCGGCCAAACGCCAGCCCGATAGGAAGCGGCAAGTTTGTCTATTTCACATATAGAAACGTCGATATTAACCTCTTCTCAGAGCCCTTAAACAAGTTCGCCAGCTAGTCGACAAGATGATCAAGGCTTTATCCCGAGCAGAAAGCATGAAGCCTATTTTCCAAAGAACGCATAGCATTCTTTCTCTATCCATCCTCATCGCACGAGAATCGCCAGCCGACCCGGAATCTGATGGCTATACCACGCGGGTCATTAGCCTCACGAATCATGTTGTTCAACATTATAACGAGTCTCGCTGCCTTGCCGAAGCGCTATCGTTCATACCCGAGTTGAGCAAGCCAGAGGTTGCCGCATTTATTACATCTCTTCGTACTACCAGCATCAAGGTAACCACCAAACTCTACTAGTATTCATACCGTATGATGTTACTAACCCTAATATCTCAGTGCGATGACACCTTACAACGCTTCATGCTAACATCCTTAAGCTTGAGGATCCGATATGCAGTGGCAACAGGCAGTATACTTGGCTGTATCTTTTGCAACGAAAGGATTGAACGTGGGACCTGCGCCTCTTGTCTCAAGTCCATCGCAATCAATGCCCTCGACGCGTACAAGGCAGGCATGGAAGATGACGAATTCCACCAGAAGATTCTATCTAGTCAAAGCGAGAACCCTTTCTCAGATATTGCAGTAATCGGAGCTGTATGCCTACTAAGGCTCTCAGGGCTTGCTACCGAATCTCCACCAATGGGAACTAACTCTCTATACCGTGCGAACATCCAACTGTTCCTGCAAGCCGTTATCTGGCTAGAATCATGCTTAACGACGTCGCCATCTGTTAGCAGTACGCACCGTATTCTGCTCGTTAAGCTGTACCTTCTCATGGGTTGTGTGTCCCGGGCCAAGGTTCTGTGGGATCGCTTTGACGTTAAGAATGCCCTCCTGGATTCTCTAGGTCTTCTCTTCGTCGATCGGATATCATCTATCGCTCCGGGACTGTTCATCACGGGCTCCAGTCGCGATAACCCCGTTGAACCTTTCCTTGTACATTTCACAAGGGGACTTATGACTACGACCCCCAGAAGAATTATGGATTCTCTGGAAATGGGAACTTATTCTAGCATTCAGGAAATGATCCGGCATGCCGAAAAACAAACCGCAAGCTGTACTCTGGTTATAGCTGTTGTGGAAGAACGCCGAGGCCTGCGGATGAAGGCAGGCAAGATTGAGGCTCCCATAGAAGACCAGCCTCTTGTCCGTATGTTTTTCCTTGTCCGATGCTAAGGAAATTTGAGAATGCTGACTAGATACCTAGGGAAACTAATGCCTGACCATATGATCCGAGACATCACCGACTACGGAATCTTTGCAGTTCCAGATAGCGAAACGTCACAACCTATTCCTGCTTTGGTCAACTATGGACCGCTCCCAACTGTTTGTAGTCTTGATATCATGCTTATGAGCAGAATTCTAATCATGATGTTAGGGTGGCCGCGCGCATGCCGGGTTGATAGCCGAGCGCTTCCTTGACTTTGTCTGCTACGTACAGCCAAAGGAGTACAAGCCGTCGAAGGTAGGCCAAGTTGCGCAAATCGACTGGAAATATGCATTCGCTACTAGTTCCCATCTAGAGAAGGAAATGAGAGCTCTCTTAGCCATCGGTGACAAGGGGCTTCCGGAAGATGAGAAAGTCAAACTAGGAAAGCTACGAGAATCGGTAATGGGTTCTTTCACGACGCCCGAGTATTGGTATTATGGGGTTATATGGAGACTCGCGAACGTGATGAAGAATATTCTTGGGCACGGTTTCCTCTCGGCATCTACTAATGAAACCCGCGACCTCAATCGCTTCTTTATCAAGGGTGTGCTAGACAGCCTTGAGGGCCAAACCAAAGATTTCTTAGAAGTGCCTGAGAATATCCACTCTAAAATTTACGCTTTCCACGGCTTTGCAGCTCTTCATGCTATGGGCATGCTACGCGAATCGATTCTAGCCGTCAAGTATACAACAAACTACCTTACGAGCATCTCCGAGAAACTCAAGAATACTGATAAATCTCGCGCATCCGCTGAACTCGCGTGGCTCGCACCTGAGCTTAAGAAGATGACAGCCGCAGCTATCGAGTCGGAGAACACGATCAAAGCTCGCATTAAGCTGCTTAAGGACTATCTGGGCAATGTCGACGGCTGGAGAGATCGACTATGCGACTGGGTTTTTGGCGATTACACTGCAGTATATGATGAGGATCCGGAATTCAAGAAGGAGGTGGCTAGCAAGATTAGAGCCGCCATCCCCAAGGCGAATGGTGAACTATGGGCTGACAAGGTTGGGGAGTCTTGGCGCGAGCTCATGAAGGGTTGGGCTGCCGTCAGGTTCGACTGATCTCTCCCCGCCCTATTCATCTTGATCTTTGCTGCAATCCGGGATTCACTCTACTGCCTCGAGAGGGCTCTAATTACGGCTCCGAAGCATTTCTGCATATCTCTATTCTACCTCCTTTATATCTGAGTGGCATTCTTCGAAAGCTTGGAAATCATGTATAGGTCCAATATGACTCCCGGATCTTGGTATTTGAGCCGAAGAAATCTTGTGAATGAATGATATCTAAGGGGTAGACCTGAGAGTGAAGATATGGAAAGGAGGAGATAGAGTCTTAACTCTAGCCAAAGGATGGTTGGGCATAATGCAGTATTGCTATGATGCCATACATAAAAGTTGCGATAGCTTGTAACTACAGATACTTGCGTTTGTTAATAGGCAATACATAAGTAACCGTACATTCATAACATACATAGACGAGACCGCCATCTAAGATAGGTGCTACGTGACGTAATCAATCCACTGAAGAAGAAAGCGGTATCTTCCGTGCCTTCGTATCTCCCTGTCTAGCAGTCTTTCGATCCAATCTGCAAGCCTTAGCCCCGATGCCGTAGATATGCCAACAACCCATGCCTATGCCTATGCCTATGCCTATGCCTATGCCTATGCCCACGCTAAAATATGCATATAAAAAACCGGCTGCACGACATAACATGGCTAAAAAAAAAGGGAGAGAATAAAGCTGCGGTAAGTGAGAGCTCAGGATCTAGACAAGAAAAGCCATACACGTTCGCAAACATGTCGCAATCCACTTCCCTTGCCCTCACAGCCTTCTACCCATCTACCGCAGAACCTCACCACCACTGCTGCTCCCCCTCCTCTTCTTTCGGGAGAGAAAGGTGGCAGACTCTTCCTTCAGCGTGACCCAGACCCAAAACCAACTAAGAAACTCGAGGAAGGCGAACGTGAAGAAGACGCGGTTGCGCAGGCCGTCGCTACCGCTAACTGCGGCGCCGGGGATAAATGCGGACGAGGGAGGTGTTAGCGGGTGCGATAGGCGGTTTGCTCCGGACCGGCCGGCGGTCGGCGTCGAGAAATACGCGAATAGCGATAGCGAGGCGAATACGATGATGCGGAGAGGTGCTTGTGCGCCCCAGTAGTGGATCAGCCATACTTCTTCGGGGAGGGACAGGGTGAGTAGGTCGGAGAGGCCGGTTAAGAGGAGAGAGACGCCGAGGAGGGAGGAGACGGCGCTGGGGTTTGCGAAGGCGGTTGTCTGGGGCTGTTGGGGAGTTGGTTGTTAGTGGTTTTGATCGTTACTTGTTAGTTGGTTGGTTGGGATGGAGGTGTATAAATGGGGAGGAGCTTACCATGCCCATGGCTTCGCCTAACACATAGACGAGAGCTTGGTCGGAGATGGCGTTGGGATTCGTGTAGAAGAAGTAGGCTAGAGTGATGTGGAAGAGGCAGAGGGATGTTAGGATGGTTTTGACTGATATGAGCGCCATGGTTGGGTTCCCGTTCTTAACGGTTGGTGGTAGATCGTTCGAATGGTGGTGGTCTTTGGGACAGAGGTATAGATATATCCACAGTAGGTAAGGTAAGGTATTCTTATTCGAAACGAGCGTCGACGATAATATTCTGTTCTCCGTTGGTTGAGAGATAGTTGGACAACGAGAACGGGAACGGGACAAGTTCCATAGACGTCGACAAGAGTCTAACGGTCGTCGTGTGACAGACTCAACGGAACGGCGCTCGTCCTGCGAAACGCATGTAGAGAGAATCCTTAGGTCCTTTAGGTCTTGGAGGGGTCGCCTTGTGTCAGGTTTGGGGATGGGAAGGGGGAAATGGTGCTGATGGTGGCCATGCAATGCCAATTCATTCCCATTTTCGGGGACTAGGATTATTTGGTTTTGGGTTAGGTTACCGTGCTTATCCTTATCGCTTATCGCCTATCGCGGTAGCCTTACCATTGACGAGTACGTACAGATGTACTTTTTCATTGAGTTACACCAGACAGAACTTCCAAAAGTCGTGGCTCCCTTCGCAGCCACATGGATGGAGGGGCAGGCGGGGCCATAGGGCTGATGCAAGTAATCGAAAGGGGAGGGGCAGGTTGAAATTGAAACGATTTACACTGGGATAACGACAGTAATAGGAAAGTAGGACTCGAATATACTTTCCTTCTCTAAATGTTTCCTCTCTATTAGCTTTAGCTCTACTTTATTCCCTTTCCCCTTCCCCTTCCTCTTCCCCTTCCCCTTCCTCTTCCTCTTCCTCTTCAACATCCAATGCCCAATTCTTCTTATACATAACGAGTTACGCGCACAATGACCTCTTCCGATCACCAGCCTCCCCTCGATACGGCCCGACATATTCGTTACTGGCAGCGATGTTTCCGCTCCGTTCTCCCTCATCACTACGTGAGCAACGATAGTATCCGTCTCACCCTCGGATTCTTCATAGTCGCCGCTCTCGACCTCCTATCCTCGTCTTCCTCATACTCCGAACCCCCAAATGATCCCCTGAAAGCCTCTCTTATAAGTCGAGAAGATCGTACCCGCCTAAGAGCCTGGGTTCTGTCACTACAGCATCCGCAAGGTGGTTTCTGTGGTTCACCTCACCATGTCCTACCAGCAAAGTATACCACCAAGTGGGATGCTACGAACAATGTCGAATCTGCATTGGACCCAGCCAATGCTAATATAGCTGCTACCTACTTTGCCCTACTTCTGCTAGGTATTTTGGCCGAGGATGACGGCTCTAAAGCCTTCGAGGGAGTAAACCGCATAAAAACTCTACGCTGGCTCAAAAAGTTGCAAAGGGACGACGGAAGCTTTGGCGAAATCATTGACGAGGATGGGTATGTAGGGGGAGGCAGGGATATGAGATATTGCTACCTAGCTGCTACCATAAGGTGGGCTCTTGCGGGAGCTGAGACGGGTGAGGACTTTAACGTCGATGCTCTTGTGGCGCACATACGACGAGGGCAAACTTTCGATGGTGGTCTAGGCGAGAGTTCGACACACGAGAGTCATGCTGGATATGTGTACTGCGCTGTAGCGGCGCTATCCATTCTTGACCTCACCAACCCAAACGCGGCTACGGAACCGGATCGGTACCTTCGAGCCGGCATCCCTTCCATTCCGTCTTTAGTGCATTTCCTAGCTTGCCGCCAATTTGACTACCTCGAACCCGATTCCGATGACGAAAGTGATGAATCCAAGAATCACCCACTACCCGATCTATCTACCTTAGCTATATCAGACGCACCTCAAATAGCTGGCTTCAACGGCCGCCTGAATAAGGTCGCCGATACTTGCTATACGTGGTGGGTCAGCGGTACGTTGTTCATGCTCGGCGAAAGCCAGGTCATCGATCGCGGTCCCGCCAGGAAGTTCATACTAGAGAAGACGCAACACATGATTGGCGGATTCGGTAAAAATCCCGGTGCTCCTCCCGACGTGTACCACGGGTACTTAGGGCTCGCCGCCTTAGCAACGCTAGCTAATGCCGAGGGCGACGAAAAAAAGGAGGAAGGAATAGGGAAATTCGACCCGCGTCTATGCATAGGAATCGAAGCCTCTCAGAGGGTCACTAAGGCTAGGGAGGCATTACTAGCCTCTTCAGAAGAAGACGATGATAGCGACGACGATTGGGCCCGTGAGACTGAAACGATAAAAAAGGAACTCGACTGGGATAAGACTAGAGAAACTATTGCGCGACTAGAGGCTAAGTGGAAGGCCGAGGGCAAGATACCTATTCATGAGATGGATAAGTGGAATCCTTTCCACCCACCGAAGCTGGACGAGTTGGACGCCTAAGCAGGGCAATGGGCCGAATCAGCATAATAAGGATACATCTACTTCTTTGCTTTCTCTACCAATTTCGCCTCTGAAATGTCCTATATTATGCAAAAGCTGAAAATAGAGGGATAAATAGATTAACTAGGTAGATTAGAGGGGAGCTTAGAAGATGGCTTGTTGGAAGATAGCGGTGAACTTGTGTGGCTCGAAAGTCAATCATGAATCAACTGACTGGTCAAGATATGTCCGTTCGGATAGGAGAATGCGCTGAATAAAGAAGAGTTACGAGCGTTTGCTTTAGGTAGTCTCAATAAAAAAAATGATACCCTTCCCCTAATCGATTTAGGAGCCTATTGTCGAAATCCGCGTGTAGTTTCGAAAACATGGGGTAAACATGATATCTTGGCTAAATTGGCTATAGCAAGTACACATGCTATGTGGTCCTTAGATAAACTACATAAATACACACATGTAGGTACGTAGGTACCTGTAGCTATCCGACTTGAGTGCCTCCCCAAATAAAGAGGTATCTCGCGATACCCTACGGTACCAAGATTACACACACACACACACACACACACACACAGGCAAGAATCCCAACCCTCATTCATAATCATGCGACAGCCCTCCCCTTCATATACCCTCCTCCAACACTGCCAACCCCCGACAACCGCTCTACATCCAACACCAACGGCCCGCCCCCAGGCCCACTAGCATCCAGACTAAGCGTGACGCGCGCCCTATCGGCAAGCACCCGCACCGTCTCGCCGAGATTCCCAAGATCGGTCTCGAACTGTCCCGCCCTCGCGCTCTCGGCGCCGGGCGTCGTGGCGCCCGCGTCCTCGTGGTCGCGTACCTCGCGGATGTCGACGCTCGGGTAAGGGAGCCAGCCCTCGCGCAGCGGGATCAGGAGGATTGGGATCTCGGCTTCGGTGTCTGGGGTGCTTTGATAAGAGTTCGATTCGCTAGAGGAGGAGGGTGCTGGGATGACGAAGTGGCCCTTGCGCCGGCCGCCTAGGAGCCACGTATCCTGGGGCGCGGTGATCTCGTAGCTGAACTCGAGGTCGGTCTGCTCGGCGGGCGGCGTGTCTATGTCCCAGACTCGCGTCCACTTTAGATGCAAGGCCGCGGGCAGTAGCTGGTTGGCGGAGATGGTTGGGCTTGATGGGTTAGAGGGGAGCACTGGGGATGGTTGTGGGGATTCTTGGAGTCGGATATCGGTTGTGTGTACGACAGTTAACGATGGTATGTCAACCGGGATAAGTATTGATCTAGGCTCGGCGGGAACCAAGGTTGTAAGACCTAACTTTGGATTCTCGGCTTGCCACGCACGTAGGAAAGATGTTAGAGTCTGCAAGCAGTCGGTACCATCGGGTGTCTTGCCCAAGCCGGTGAAGTATTTAGCCCAGCTGATGGATGATAGGAATGCGGTGGAAACAGATCCGAGGAGAGCCGCGCGCTCAAGCTCTTGTTCCGTTAGATGATGCCGGACATGTGGAATCACGACCGAGCATAGGAGCCGAGAGAACGGACGCAGCGGTTTGTCTCGCAGGGAATCAGTTATCGAGCTTTCAAATATAGATTCGATTTCTTCTTGTAAGACGCTGTAATGAAGTCTAAGGTACATAGTCTTCTGAGTTGTTGGTGTGACCTTGACGTCGACATTGCGAGTGATCTTGTATAGTAGACTAGCTGGCTGTTTCGCAAAGATAACGACAGGCGCACCAGGCGGCACTCCAAATTCCGACGTGAAGACTTCCGAGCTAAGGAGTTCGCTCCTAAATAGTCGTAGGGGGCTGTGATTCGCGGTGGACACGGTGAAGCGAGAGTAGAGAGCTTTATGCTTAAAGACATCTTGGACATTGACCCCTAGAGCCAGGGCGGTTTCGATAGTAGGTGTTTTCGAAAAGAAGAATTTGCCATTTTCAGTAGTATAAGACACGTCGATGCGTATAGATATGTTAAGTGTCTCTTGCTCTACTGTGAACGGGAATCGGATTCGAACGATATCGTTCTGCGATATGGAATCGAAATAAAACAACCCCCCCTCTGGTGGCTTAGAGAAGCTGACAGAAGAACTGATACACTTCGCTTCGCTGGTAAGTAGTCTTAAACCTCCCGTAGCCGCCTTAACTCGAACTTCCGCATTTGTTAAATTATTCCAGCCGGGATCTAACTCGATGTCTACCGTATTGTTTCGATCCAATTGAACATGATTAGATGCGTGTAGCCGCACATCTAACGTATCTGCCTGGTGATAAATGACGACATGTGGGGAGTGGACAATATCGTTGTCTTTGTTTAGCGGTTGACCCGTCTCTCGTTCGTAATGGAGGCGCAAGTTGCTAGCCACGAGATCTATTTTATCGATCTCATAAGTCCCTGGGATTGTTGACTGTGATAGTTAGCGGAAAGTTGTAGTTAAATGCTCGTAGCAATAGACTCACATTACTCTTCAGTTTGAGCCTATTCTTGCCAGGCTTTATCACTACTGGTTGTGCGAGCTCAAACCGTATTTCCTTTGATGACTTCCCAGCCGGACTAACAACCCGTACTTTCGCCGAGTCAACTTTGAAGTTATCCACCAGCAGGCTCATCACCTTTAGGTTGAGGGAAATGCTGTCTTGGCCCTGATAATACTCAGGAGGGCCATCAATTTCCACAACCGAGAAGAAGCTGGAAAGCGATATTTGTAATTCGTTCGATAGAGTCTTGGTTGTTGCAAGTAGGTCGTCTAAGAATCCCTTGATAACGTCGCTATCCGGATAATCAACATCATCCATATTTGGTATTCGAAATCCCGACTTATGTGCCTGACGATCTCTTTCAGCAGCAGCGGCTTTCGTCAGGAGCTTCAGCATAACCTTGGCATACTCGTCCTTTCGTTGCAGTTGCTTGAGGCTTTTTGAGTACATAACCAACATAGATAATTCGAGAAGGCTCCAGCCACTTTCCCCAAAAAAGGGGGTAGTCCTCCAAAAGTAAGAGGAAGCCGAGCTGTAGTCGCCAAGATAGTATTTTAATACTGCGATATCTGCCATACTTGCCTGTACCGAGTGATGATGATCGGCGACGGTGTAATGCCGCAGAGCTTTATCGGTGAGTGTCTCATAAAGGCGGTAGAAGTCGTCACTGTTGTCGAGGGCCGTCCTGAGAAGCTTACTATCAATGCCCGAAAGCGATACAATAAATTCTCTATCGGCCGGTGCATCCTTATCCTCTGCTGTTAGCTTTTCGTCGTCATCGTCATCCCCAAGATCGATATCAACCATTTCGATCATGCTCGTCTGTCCTATGACTGGTACGTCAGCCCAGCCATCTTTCCATCCCCGTTTCTTCCCGCATTCGGCAAGGATATTTCTGGATAGAATATAGAGCTCTGCTCTCCTAGCAGCGAGCTCTTCTAGCCCAGCTTTGAGAAATGTGGACTGGCCGTGCTCGCCTATAGCACCCGGTGGATGCCCAGAGAAAATATTTGGACTTGGAGGCGGACGGCCTACATTGGCAGTACCGCTTGTTCGTATAGTTAAAGACGAGCCTCTAGCTGGATGCATCATTGTCTTGGGTTCCGGTATTGCTGACTTTGGCTCGTGGGAATCTGGAGAAGCCAAAGCAGATGTTGGTATTGGTAAAGCTTTGGTAGATGTCTGGGCTAAGATTTGTTGCGCGATGGAGAATGCAAAAGACGCCACTAGATTATCAACCACCTCCGAAACTAGAGGATCTGGTTGAGAAGGTACTGCTGTCTCATCCCCGTCCTCCTTTCCCATGTCAGATAACGCAGCAAAGACATCATTCCTCATGACTTGTGAAAGCGTCGGGATGAATTCTAGCGTCCGTCGGCAGATCTCACCAAGCATAGTTAAATCTTCATGCTCATTTTCCTTTTGTTTTGGGGGTGGTGCTCGAGGAGCAACGCCGTGTAAAACGGACTCCTGCTGTTCTTTGAGCTTTGCCAGCAGCTCTTCCCTGGTCGACCAGGCATTCCCAAGCCGGAGTAGGAGAGAAATTTGCCTCGCGAAGATATAACATCTGAAGTCGAAGACGGACACATTGTTGGCGACAATCATATCACGATACGGCTTCTTCGTAGAGCTGATTGGAATATCATCGTATGCGTCCTTCGGCTGAGTAGCTTCGGCCTGGGACGATTGCAAATCAACTAGCTCATCTTCATCCTCGTCCTCGACCCCAGCGATCGCTGCCCTGGCCTTGAGGGCGATCTGCTTCAGCTCTTCCGTATAGCCTAACAGCGCATTTGTAGCAGAGCTGGATCCGGCCGACGTTTGGTCCTTGACAATCATATCGAGCCCCACGCTTAACTCGTCGTATCCTACTAACGCATCCTCCACCAAGCCTACGCTTTCGAAGCCCCGAGCTAATCCTTCCTTAAGAATGAAGAATGTGCAAAAGTTCCATCCGGGCAAAGTCCTCTGCGCGTCTTTCTCCCTAATATCCTCCTCGTACTGGCTAACACGTAGGTCAAAGCTGGACAGAATGAGACTGCGAAACTTGGATACGAGATCCGTCCAGGAATTCTCTGTCTCTTGTTCTGTTTCGGTATAACCGCTAGGTACAGCAGGTACCACGCGTGGAAGCAGATCATACGGGACATCGTTAACACCAATACGAATTTGGGCGATCCGATCCACTGTTCCTTTGCTAGAAGTATTGAAGTCAGACCTCATCTTCTCCAGAATCGGGCTGGACCCGGGTCTCCATCTAGATGCGGTGGAGCTCTTCTCAGTTACAGACCCCGAGTCGCGGGGTTGGGTCGCGGCGACGGTATTCGGTATAACAACATGAACAATAAGCCACTCGAAGGCATCGTGGTTCTCGGCCGTGTTCCTCTTAGAGCTAGAGGAAGGTGTATTCGTTTTAATCCAGTCACGTATCTCCTGTCTCACATGGCCCTTATAGGAATCATTATCGTCACATCGTGCTAGAAACACCTTTAGATAGGGCGTCCTCCTTAACCCCGGTATCTGATGCCGTCGCACAGGTGTACTGTTCCGATTCGCAGTCTGGTCGACAGCATCGGAGGAAGATGTCGCTCCTATCTGAGTCTGAAAGCCGTCATCACGAGTAGCGACGCTATCTAATTGTTGGGGAGGGGGTGGAGAGGAAAGAGGCGAAGTAATGGAGCTCTTGTCACCAGCCGGGACAAGGTCGACGTGTAATGTGTCAATGGAACGAAGGGGTCCGGCATGGGATTGCCAATGGAGGTTGCGCAGAGGGAGTCGAGGTACTAGGCCGGATGCGAGAAGCTTAAAGACATCATGGGGGTCGAAATACTCGACTATAAGAAATCAGCAAGGCCGGCGCATGGCTTAAGGGGGTCATGTACGAAAGCACCTGTGACTTTAGAGGTAGAGAATGGCTGTTCCATGGCGAACAGCTTTAAGGATCGCTCTTTATTTCATGGCTGGGCTGTCAATGGTATATCCGCTGTATATACGAGTTAAAACGATGGAGATATGTAAAACGTCGTAGAGTGTGAACGATTGTCTATGATGTATTTGTCCAGGTTAGGTAATGTATTGGTGTTAATGTCGAGGCTGTCGCAAGTCGGCCATATCGATAGAGGTATCTAAACCAAGAGGCATCATCTACGCTAAGCTCCAGCATCACGCTAATGCATAACAAGGTCCAGGGGGTAAAACCGACCGAGAGCGGTGACAGCCACGGTGCCCAATTATTGGTTAATGTTAAATCTACAATGGGATTTGTATATTTGTATATAGCGGGGTCCGGCAGAATTTTGAGGAAATATTTCGCCATATGATACTACCTAATGTATGCAACGGGGACAATCTAATAGCGATGGCGAAATCCTTAAGTCGACCAGGCCTATTATAATATCTTTGAACCCAGTATAATAAATTTCCATAATACAATCGCATAGTGTTTCCACCTAGAAATTAGTCTCAGTCAATTTCAACAAAATATTCATCTTTATCAGAAAATATGTCGGGCCTCCAAGCCATTCGATACTCGCGGGGTAAACTCGAAGTGCTCGACCAGCTTAAATTACCCCACGAGCACCACTACGACCAGGTCTCGACGAGCGAGGAAGCATTCGACAGTATAAAATCTATGAGAGTTAGAGGTGCACCGGCTATTGCTATTGTAGCTGCCCTAGCACACGGAGTCGAACTGAACAATGGAAGTTGCAGCAAGTATCCCTCGCAGCCCTACTAGTTCCATGGCAATCAACGACGATCAGTAACTAACCCGGAATAGAGGCCTCGACTGCACACGAGACGATATCCTACATCGACTCTCGCCTAGATTACCTTAAACAATCCCGCCCGACGGCCGTAGATCTCAGCAATGCAATTACCCACCTTAAGAACACGATCCGATCCGTGAATGTAGCTAGTAAGGAGGACGATGCGACGGGACGTGAAGCGATTATCGATGCGTATATAGCCGCCGCAGAAAAAATCTTTCGAAAGGATACCGAGACCAACCTCTCCATCGGCAAGCACGGCAGCAAATGGTTACTCGAGAATGCACCAACGAAGTCTTCCGATGGCAAAGTGTCAGTCCTAACACATTGCAATACGGGATCGCTCGCTACATCAGGCCACGGAACAGCGCTCGGCATCATCCGCTCGTTACACTCGGGCGGCCATCTACACCACGCCTTCTGCACCGAGACTCGGCCATACAACCAGGGAAGCAGGCTGACCGCCTTCGAGCTAGTGTACGAGGGCATCCCTTCCACGTTGATTACGGACTCGATGGCGGGCGCCCTGTTCGCTACCAAAAAGACTGAGAACAACATTGCTGCCGTCATTGTGGGTGCAGACCGAGTCGTACGCAATGGAGATACAGCCAACAAGGTAGGGACTTACACGCTCGCTGTGCTCGCCAAATATCACGGTCTAAAATTTATCGTGGCGGCGCCGACGACGAGTATCGATTTGGAAACCGAGACAGGCGCAGGGATTAAAATTGAGGAGCGAAAGCCGGAGGAGCTGACGCAAATCAGCGGAGCTGTAGTAGGAAAGGACGGAAAGGTGGACGTCAGTCGTACGGAGCGCGTAGCGACCGCGCATCAAGGGATCGGTGTATGGAATCCGGCATTCGACGTCACTCCAGCAGAGTTAATCGACGCTGTGGTCACGGAGCGCGGTGTTGTCGTGAAGGGAGCAGATGGAACCTTCGACTTCAAAGGCATCATCCCCGAAAGATGACCCATGGCAGTTTGAGAACAAGAATTAGCACCGAAGAACACCATGGAGATCAAAGGACCGACTTTCTGCGGTTAGGAATTATGACCTTAGCGGTTCAGCGCAAGACATCTCCTCTCTTGGGTATCCTATGATGTTGTACAAATTAGCGGACATGAACAAATTAGAAGAGCTATGCTCAAATTCCCCCAATCTTCCAGACACAAACCGCTTAGCTTTCGAGAGCATGCAGGATGAGCTTCTTAAAATCCTCCACCGCCGTTTCCAAATCTCCAAGCTTGATCGCCTCGTCCGGGCCGTGCGCGACAAAAATAGTTCCTGGTCCGTACAGGTATCGTGTATGGTTGCCTTGTAAGTGGTGTACGTCCGTTCCATAGTTCACGGTGGTAGTTTCGAAGCCTGTATTAAGAGTTAGACGGCCTGGATAGTAGTAGTAGTGGATAATGTTCGTAGCTTACCCTCGACGTCGCAGTCGCACTTGACCACGCCATAGCCGTTGTTGCAGTCAAATTCAAACGCGTCTTCGTCGACGCTGCGCATGGCCTCCTGCAGTCGCTGCGCCACAATCTTCTCACCTCCATTCTCAGGACCGACGGCCACGCGGACCGCAAGCCGGGCTGTCGCCCTCTCCGCAATCACATTCGCAGCGACACCCCCTTCGAATAACCCGACATTTACAGTTGTGTTACCAAACTCTTCGCTGCTGCCCAGATCCGTATCCAGGACACGTACCAAACCGCGCGCCAGCACCTCCGTCGCACTCTTACCCAGCCACGGATATCCGCTGTGGCCCGCGTGCCCTTTCACTGTGATGTTGCAGCTAAAGATGCCCTTGTGCCCGCAAACAAGACGACCCTCAGTTGGCTCGCCAAAGATGGCCGCCTTAAAGTCGGGAGGAGGGTTCAATTGGCTACGCGTGTCCGAAAAGAACCGCATCCCATCACCCGACGTCTCTTCGCCAACCACATACAAAAGCATAACAGAGTCCTCCTCACCATCAATACGACCAGATTCGAGCAAGGACTGGAGGGCAATGATCTGCGCGGCCACACTAGCTTTTGCGTCGACACTACCGCGGCCGGCAATCACAGTGTCGGCAGTAGGGTCCGCATCGGTTCGTGAGTAGGGAATAAAGGGTGGGACAGTATCGATATGACTAGAGACGAGCACCTTTGGGGATGGGTGTCTGTTGGGACCCGGCCAGGCGAGGACGTTGAAGCGGGGCTTTCCAGGATTAGAAGTATTAGTCGGTGGGAGGGCTTCGAGCTGGACGACAAAGTCGTGCGCTGAGAGGTAATCGACCAGGAAGTTTCCGACCTCGTTTTCGTTACCGCTAATAGAAGAAATCTCTACGAGGGATTTGTGTAGGGAGACTAGATTGTCACGATAAGCCGGCGCATTGGAGTCGGAAGCGGACGAAATGACCGAGCTTGGAACTTGAGCTGCCTTGATAGGTTTTTGAAGCTCGAGTCCCAGGACTTGAGAGCTACCAAGGAGCAAGACCGGAAAAGATAACCTCATTTCCGAACCTAAGGATTAAAGCAAAGGAATATACCAATCGGGTTGTTGTGAGTCCAGCAGCATTAACCGCATAGACCATTCGAGAGATGTTGAAGTTGGTAGGTTTCTATTTAGTAACAGCCTCCGGTAATAGTTTAGGTACATATGTAGATCCCACAAAGATACGTACCTTTGATGGTTAGAGGAAACAGCCACAGGAACTGCCACATTTTGTCACGTCATTCCACATTTAGGGACTGTGGTGGTATTACGTAATTACTAGCTATACTGAAAATTACTGGGCAAGGCCCAATAATTACGAACTTTACTCAATCAACATCATTTTACACCCTACAGGACCTAAGGAAAATCGCCAATCTCTAAATATATTATAATGATTGCAATTCACAACGCCATAACTCAATTCCAAGTCTTCACTCTACAATACTCTCTTGGGTAGTGAAGGCAAGTATAAATGACAATTTGAGAGTTCCCCATTAGATAAAATCACGGCTGTATAAGGTACACCCGGCCGTGTTTACAGATTTTAAGCACTCACGGTTCAGCTATTAATACATTGTTAAGCAATGAAATACTGCTATAATTATTATTTTCTTATAATTTACCAATGAATCATAATCTCAAATTCCTCTTAAGGACTTAGATCTTAAGAATAAGGTGAACAACTTGTCCAATTCATCATTGGTACGATAGATTAGGACTATTATTTCGTCAATACATATACTTAGACAAAAAAACTACTTAGTGCGAGCATCTTGCTTCCGTTATATAATGATCGAGTTCCTGTAGTCTGAGTCAATCCTGCTCATAAATGACAGTGCTTTAATACCCTGCGATATAGTTTCTAAACTTGATTCCGAACGATACCCGTAAGTTACACTATACCAGTGTCTAATTAGAAATTGAGACTTAAGCAGATAATATAATCAAGACTAATATAAATTTAGGTGAATCTACTTATATGACCCTTTATTTAGTTGCTTGGCGGTCTTCACACGTCTTTGCTATGAAAAGATTAAAAGATTGAAGAGTCTCAGTTAATAGCATCTACCATACTTTAACTACATGAAGAAACTATTTTTCTGTTGCATTAATTACATTAACCTCTTAGCCAAGAACTATGCTGCAAATATTATGCATCTTGCTCGGACACTAATGATGTTAAAAAGGCCAGCCCATGTAAGTATGAGCTTTTGTCCAGAACGTACATAGTCAATATCTAAAGTATCAACAGCTATATGGCATCAAGTGTCATACAATACGAATTATACTACCTCGAAGGATTTGAATAAAGGATTGAGGGTGCTAGCATAATCGGGTTATATTACTGATCCAACCAACCTATATGTGTGTGCCATCACGCCACGCCTAATATAAAAATGCAAGCGAGGAAGACATCTCAAAGGGATCACTTAAGGTCCTATAAAATCATTATTCGTATCAGTAATTGTACATAGACTACGAAGTTTGCCTCTAATGAAAGTCTTAAGATCTCACCCAACACGAAGTTTAGTCGAGTCGGGTGGCTCGTCGTAAGTTTATAGTGACATTGCCACTTGAATTGGCCTAAAAATACCCCTGATATGAGAGGATAGTAATCTATATACCTAGGTAGGTAGTTGAAGAGGCCGGAATCAAGACCCGGGAACTCAACTTTAGTACGAATTACTCAATATAGAGTCATTCCTCTAGAGAACATTTTTACAGGGCATTCACAGCGCTAACACAACTACCAAGGCGCAGCTAGCCATAATAAGGCGTCCGGCCGAGATTCTGGGAGGCGCGGTTAATAAATAAAGAGTCATGTGGCCAAACTTGCGCCTACACCGTCACGAAAGCGAAATCTCTAGGCGATGAGCTGAACAGGGCTGAACCAGCTGTGCCGCACTAGGTAATTTCCGCATCACTTACAGGTGGATCAGCATAGTTTCTGTGACCATTGAACAATGCACGCTTGCTCGTGCCAATGTGACATGGGAGTCAACGTTACAAGAGACGATCTTAAATGGAGTTAGTTCTAGGCTTCACCTACCTAGTACGGCATCTCCTTGGAGTATAGTCGGTGACCAGGACTAGTATCTCACGATGTGTCTTAGGTCCGAAAGCGACTTTCAAGTTCCTACTGGGGCTTAAAAATCCGCGTATAAAGACACTGGGGAGCCCTGCGCGTTCACGATGACATCTCTTATGAATCGCGACGACATCCCCCTTGCCAAATTCATCGATCAGGGTTAAACTCACTCGCGTTCACAATGAGGTCTCTACTCCTAACTCTTTCCGTGGCTACCGCCATCAGCGCCATCCCCGATGTTACCGTCGTTCCTAAGGAGCTTTCTTGTAGCAACTGGCCCTTCTTTCGACAAACATCCAGCGTTGCTGGCCCGTTCAACATCTTTGCCGACTCAACAGGCAAGGACATTGACGGCAACAAAGCTAGCTATACCGCCATATCTGATGTTACAATTGCCTCTGCTTGGGTACGAAATCTTCGCTCCATATCTAATTCTACTTGAAATACTAACATTATAAAACAGTTGGGCATAAGCAACATCAAGGATGTAGCTGTTCCTCAAATTCAGTGCCAGGCGTTCGGCAGCGCAGAGATGTTAGCCGTGAGCTTGAACGGCCAATTCCAGCCCCTCAGCATATCAGAGTACATTTATCACGAGTATGACGGTTTAATCTTCGCGAAGACTGTGGCTCGGGGCGCTCCCATCGAACCTCACTGGCATTACTACCCTAACGGCACGCGGCAGGATGGCACGTTTTTGGGGTGGAATAACTTCACGACGTGGGCGTACTTACTCGATGAAGCGTCTCAAAAGTACCGAATCCGCCTCTTGACAGACACGTCTCAGAAGCTTTTAGACGGAGAGTTTACCGGCTTCGTGCGAGCTGGTTTTCCAGGTCTGTCCAACTAAACAGTTACTACTATTAGGGTTTCTAGCAAGCAAAGGCTTAGGCAGTATAAAGTTGCCGTCTAATGTCTAATATATTCCCGATTTTTAAAGCTACCTAGCTACCTATTTAATGTCACTTGAGCACCAACTATGCGTTGGACCTGTCTCAGCGACGGTATTTCTCCCGAACTAAAGTTACCTGACTACCCGTTGATATACCTACCTCCATATTAAATTATTCTTATGTGATGTTTTGCCAATGCCGGAAGTTAGAAATGAGGAGGAATTGCTGAGCCACCTATTACGTTAAACCCCCCCCCAATGCCCTAATATTCACCTGTGTTGTGGATTAAGTATAACTAACTATAGCTACCTATGTATGAGTTACTCCGAGCTTGTGGGCTTCTATGTAGAAATCCTTATCTACAAGTCAAGGGATTTGGTTCACAGAAAATTTGTAGCAAAATCGTCTGCCGAGTCAACAAATAAAATCCATCAAGCTCTTCTAGTACAAGACAACGAGAATTGCAGTCATTCCAAGACATACATCACCTGATTGATATATGGGTAATCTTCTCCCTCCAAAAATCGTACAGCGTACGTAATAGATACCAAAAATACAACAAGGCTGTACAGTCCGAGCCGCACGTGTGCTGTTCACCGCTCAACTAACAACCTAGAAAGCAAAAATACCAAGATAGATATCTAGGTATATAACAATACGGCCGGAAAGCCCGTCAAAACAACAAGAACTCGCTCCGCTACAATGCGTTCATGCTATCACAGGGTATCATCAATTCGTTATCCCCTATCACGCTCACCAGCTGCGACGGTTCCAACACCGGCACCAAAATCCAGTGCAGCATCTTTGCAGTCTGCCTCACCTTCGTAAATTTCTTCTACTTTTTCTCCAGGGACTTGCAAAATGGGACTAAAATGCTCCACCTCCTCGACGTCGTCGTCAGGCTCGACATCACATATTGCTTCTTCAGCTTCTTCATCCTCTTCTTGGATAGTGATCTCGCCGCTCCTCCTCCCCAGTCCGCTCGCACTTGCGCTCCGGCTATGACTACTAGAGCTAGGACCGGCGCGCGATGAGTTACCAATGGAAAGCGTGGGGCCTTTGAATATATTTCGCTTGCGCTTCGCGAATAACACAGAAGGGCTATTTGACATAAACGGATTAGGAGAACCGGGAGGATTTTGCGCCGACTTAGAAGAAGGCATGCCCTCGTTAAAGGTTAACGCGAGTGTCGGTCCGCGGACGAGACGAATGTTAGACGGAAATGATGTGCTAGTTGGCGTAGCAGGGAGAACTTTGACCGAATGATGCGGTGATCGTCCAGGTGTTCTCGTTGTCGACACGGATCCGGTAGAGCTTGTTGAACTGGCCTTCGAGTGCGAGTGGTGGTGATGAGGCATCGTTCGAATAGAGGACAGGGAGGAAGAAGTCGACTTTCGACCTCGAAGACCAATGGATGAGCGGCGCATCGTAGAGCGAGGTGTTAGCGGGCTCGGAGATAAGGATTGGCGTTTGTATGATGAGGTACTGGATGGTATACGATGCGGTCCCTGGTTGGAAGACGTCGAAAGCGGAGCTGGCGTAGGCTTCTTCGCTGGGTTACCGTCGCTTCTCCCGGTGCCTTTAACATTCCCGTTGGGTAGATTCGGCGAGTTCCCACCGCTCAACTCAGCAGCGCCTTGTAAAGAGGCAGGATACTTACTAGTGTGAGGTCGAGGACTAGCATCTTTGGGGTTCTTGCTGGCACCCGACTGGCCGTCTTTAGCGGCTAGGTTAGGAGTAGACATGCTCCCTCGCTTATTGGGCCTGTGTCGTCTTGTACTCTCAACAATCCAGTGTGTCCAATTCTTCCATGTGGCGACGATTGCCTGCGATGGCTTCCTGCGTACTTTTTGTGGTGGATGAAGTTCTTGTGTTTCATGTCCTAATGCATCTGATGTGGTTACAAGGTGGAGGGTGGAGCCTCTAGATCTCGCACTCCGGAGGATGCCTTCTTTCGGCGGTGGTATCGGCCGTCGTTGTCGAGAGGAGCTAGCCGACCGCACAGAGTCCTTATCAACTGGTGGCGGCGGTGGCGTCCCGTCGTCAGCGTTCAGATGAGTTTTTACTTGAGACTCAGGCAAGTTAGGCAATTCCGGGACTTGGAAGTCGCTGTATGCAGTACTTCTCCTTTCTGGACGACCTCTCATCCTGGGCATGGGCGGTTCGCCTAGTATCCCGGAGCCATTGGGGTCCTCATCTAAAATCGGCGCCATGCGTTCGAGCTTGCTGGACGCTGCAGAAAATCGGCGCGAGTTTCTATTTTCAGCTTCCCTTTCTCTCCTTTTTCTCTCACGCCGGCGAGCTTTCCTCTCCTCCTTTTCCAACAATAGTGTCCACCAACCAGCTAGCACGTCGCATCGTTGTGCTAGAACGCTTTCGATAACAGCATCGATATCTACGCCGGCACTTCGCATTCGCTGTAGACAATCCTTCTCTAGATGTGTAGTGAATGGCGGGGGTTGGTGTAGCTTAAGAATTGCTTGCTGCTGAGGAGCATACTCCGCAAGAAATGCATGGGAAAGGATCTCGGGTAGGGTAGGTCTCAATAGAGGTCGTTTGGAGAGGAGGATCTTGATCAGGGCAACAGCGTCAGAAGGAAGATGTCCCGGGTACTTTGGCTCCTCCGTTAGGATCTTGGTTCTCGTTATATTATCGTCATCGTCGTCGAACGGCAGCTCACCGCATAGCAGCGCATAAAGAATTACACCTAGGCTCCACACGTCTATTTTCTCGCCAGCATATTTCTCCCCTTTCAACATCTCTGGCGCCGAGTAACATATCGTACCGCAGAATGTCTGTAGATAGTTGGACTTGCCCTCATATTCGCGCGTGAACCCGAAGTCGACCAACTTGACGTTCTCGTGTTTGTCAAGCAAGATGTTTTCGAGTTTAAGATCGCGATGGACACATGACTGCTGGTGTACGTAGGTAACAGCACCAACGAGCTGTGTAAATATCCTCTGCACCTTTTCAGCGGGGAGAGGACCATTGTTAAGGAGGTAATTGTAGAGCTCGTCGCCTAGGTCAGGTCAATAATGATCTTGTCTCGTGGTATTGTGGATTACGGCATACCTGGGCAGTACTCTAACACAAGCCATACCAAGGACTCGGTCACTATAATTTCGTATAGGCGCGCGATATGAGGGTGGACAAACTGCCGGTGGTGATGGATTTCTCGGGCAAGGTTGGAGTCATCCTTATTGGCTGACTTAAGGACGACCTGTTGCAATTAGGACCGATTCTAGGGGAGGGTCTGGTAGAAGCTTGAAAAGCCTGGGCGTGACAAACCTTGGAGCCATTTGTAAGCCTATGGTTTGCGAGGTAGACCTTTCCGAAGGAACCCTTCCCTATCAGCCTCCCTAAGGTGTAATTTCCAACATGTTTTAAATCTTTATTCGAAAATTCGCTATAAGAGACGGAAGATATCAGTACCCAACCCCATATGACTTACGCGAAGGAGAGCCGGACTTGAACTTACTCGAGTAACTCCTGATACGAATTGGCGAGCTGTAGATATGCAAAGTAACGTTAGCAATTAAGCATGTAAAACACACCTACAGGAACGAGAAGTATACACCAGTTTTAACTAACCTTTGCTTTCCGCCCCAGCGCCTCGGCCTTGGCTTTGTTTGTCTGCATGACCCTCTATAACCTATCTTCAGCACCACCCACTCCCTCCAGGGCGCCGAGTGTTGTGTATTGGCGTTTCAACAAATATAGGAGATGCGGCAATGCGTTTGTTGACTAGATTGGGACAGCGAATTACGCCTCGAGGATGGCGATCGGCGCCTAACCAAACGCGATGGAGCATGAATAAAATAGCTGGTTATACTGAAAGATAACACGGCGGTAGCTATTTCGAACCTAGCTGCGGTACGGGTAGGGCAGACGGGTTCAACGGCCACAAAGACGTGGGCTTTGGGCGATTATGCAGGGACCTCGTCTCTCGGTCTTCGTGTTAACATGTCTCGCGTCGCGGTGATGTCTTAGTCTACAAAGCGTCGAAAGCAATACTGTTGAATAAAGTGGTTCGGCTCGCGGACGATAAGCTCGGGAAAGGTTCTCAGCCGGGTGTAGTGGGCAGAAATGACACTCTTCCCGCCGTGGTGGTGGATATTTGATGTTACGCAAAGCAATATGTTTCCGACTGCTACAAATTAATTACAACCAAAGTCGGGAGAAGTTTCTAATCCTCTTTCTGAAAGCCATGGCAGGTACGGGCAAGGATCGCCATTGCCCGGGGCTGCCCGAGCTTCGACAGCTGACATTACTATTGCGCGGTGGTCTCATGCAGGGATCCGCAAGCAGGGCAAAGGAAACCACGGGGGTATTAGCGGCCCTAGCGTCCCCTTAAATACCGTACCTAACCTTATCGATATTGCCCGTCAGCCTTCAGGCCTTCAGCCTAGGTATTCCGTACAGGACCTATTGATCTTGCTTACATCAACCTAACCATGCTGCTAGCATTAGGTTATGTACCTAGGTACCTCCTAAAGGTACATGTATCTCACATGGCCACCCCTATTCTTCTTTTCTAGCTCACATACAAACACTTGTGACCTATAACAAAGTACCAGAATTCACTTAACTATACGAGACCATAACGTCAAAGATTACGATCTCAAATATTCAGAGACACTCCTCCCCCAACGTATCCCTCCTTTGTAAACCCACATTTTTGGAGCATTACCATTCTTCAGTCCATCGATAGCATCAGCAAGATCTGGTCCGAGTCCCTCTTCCTTGATCTCTTTGATAGGGTACAAATACGTCTTAAAGGAGAAAAGTATCGCTCGCGTCTTGGGCATCCGCGTCAACGTTTGTAACTCCATTCTTACCCGAGTCTGCCGGCCATCAGTGCTTGTTCAATAGATGTTCACTTTTCCATTGCAATACTTACTTGTTCGATATCTACTTCAATATCTTCTTCAACTTGGTCCCCCTCATTGACGTGATTGCCGGAAACATTGAATAACCCAGGATTAGTTGTTATTGACCACTACAACTTCGTATTAGTAAACCTAGGATTGCGTACTTAATACAACTCTTCAATTTGCAGATAGCTCACATTAACCCGGCATACGCTTTTACCAACTTTCAAACGGCTAAAATATCTTTCCATACTCGGACCGATCTTTTCGTACGACGGAACTGGTTCATGTATATCCTTCAGTAGCTTTCCCATCTTGCTGGCCGGATCGAAGCCACTTGGGCAACAGCATACGAAGCCAACACATTCATGCCCATTTGGTGTCTCTCGTAGAAAGAACATATCATCTTCAACGGTTTCACCAAGGCTCCGCAGCGCAATTACCGGGTCATCAGGGGGCAGAAACGGAAGGGAAACACCAGTAACTCGATTACGGAAGAGTTTTTCATCCCGTTCGAAGAGCGTTGGATATCTGGTTAAGAGGTACTCTAGAAGATATGAATATGCCTCCTTCACGGCCGGAATACCAGAAGGCAGACAGCCTAGCGTGTGGTTTTGATGTTTGGTCATTGTGACTCGTCGCTCTTGTATACGCGACAAATAATTACGATCGATAATTATGAGATCTGACGGAGATGTTGACTTGAGTGCTATATAGGGTAGCACTATCATGAGCTTGCTATGAAATGACTGTATTGGGTATTCTAAAGAGTTCTTCGCGTACCCATCGTTATGTGATAGATCGGCTTGAATGGCCGAAACTTATGTGGCTCTGCTGTCTGCCAATCGAACTTTTCGAGAGGTTTGACATCAGGCCCAAGTTGGTAAATTTTGTTATTATTTTCATGAGACAACTGATCAATTTGCTGTGTCGCTTAATCAGTATTTGTACTTTCTATAGTAAACGTCACGACGAGGCTTACCCTCTTGGTATGATGATGCCATATCCTTATGAGAATGATGGATGAACTTAGCAAAGCTAGTGAAACGAGAACGACAGATGTGCTGTATACCATGGTGTTAAGACTTTTCTATATTGTGATAATAATCCTCATGTGTTACATTGACGAGATGTATACTCTTATACTAATGTTAAATACGAGCCCCGCAACCGTGACACGGAGCTTTGATAATGACTTTGATTGATGTCACTGTATCTTGCTTGAGTTGGCCGATGCCGGCCGGCGCTTGGCAACTCATATCAATTCACCTTATCTCGGAAGGCAAACTAAGGAATGTCGCTTAAAGCTATTCTATATTATGTCTTTAGGGCCAATATAATAGGCCAAAGGGCTTGTGTATAATCGTCTATTATAGAGATAGCTGCCTAGGTCCTATAGACTTTAATCCTGAGTCTCACCCATCCTAAAGACCAATAAACTTTTGTGATGTTGTAATATTGTCAAGCCAGCATATGCCCCTTACTCGAAAAGAAAAAAGAGCAATGACTTTCACAGGATACTAAGATTGTCACGAAGCACTTAATCTAAGATATGAGTATCAGGTAAGTTGCGGTAAATAGAATTGGTAATGTTGTACGTAAAAGCCGAATCTAAGTATTTACTGCAAGACAACGTTAAGTGCCAAGCCTTAAATACGTTGTCATGAAAGATGCCATCGCCGACAATCAAAGTGCGGGGCTTCTACTTTAGGTACTACTTACAACTAGAATTTCTATAATTAACTTAAAGAAGTCTCTACTATCATAGAACCTCTTCGGTTTATCAGTTAAACTATCCCGTATGAACATGGTTGAAGTTGAGAAATACCATCTTCCGCCTACTCGCCTCATACCCAACTCTCCACAGCCTCTGCTTTATTATAAAGGACTCCTGGTCGACCCCTCCGAACGTCGACCTGAAGCTATCCACGGCATGCTAGATAAAAATCACTGGAAAACACAATGGATATTTCGGTACGGCTCAACTCAGCCATCGCATTATCATTCAAGAATCCATGAAGCTATGGTCGTGCTCTCTGGCAAAGCAACCATTAGATTTGGTGTCGCGGATACAGATCCCGACCTTGATAAGAATACCTGGGGTGGTGCGAAGGAAGAGGGCGGGATTGAGGTGACGGCTAGCATTGGAGATGTTTTCATAATCCCTGCCGGCGTGGCTCATAAGACATATAATACTAGCCCCAGCGCAGAATTTAGTCTGTTATCACCAGGCGATGGACACGGGATACCTGGTCCCAATGCCCGGGAGTCCTTAGCCAACGTACGGCTTTCTGGGTTCACGATGATGGGCGCTTACCCTAAGAACTGCGGCCACTGGGACTTCTCTATCGGGGGAGAGGACGTGGGAGACTTTGAGGCTTCATGGAATATTCCAAAGCCAGAGAAAGATCCCTTTCTAGGTGATTCACGGGATGGGATTGTTGGACAGTGGAACGCTACCGAGATCATTGAAAGGAGAACATTAATTGCTAAGCTCTGAATGCTCTGTCGATATGCATTCTCAAGGGAAGAAGTCGCTATAGTCATGATAAGACTTATAGTATTAAAGGCAAGGAATAATTGGTAATATGTTAAGCTATCGAAACTTGGTTGTTTCTTTAGTTTACTAGTCTCTGCCCTAGTTACAATAGGCGGGATCGGTGAGGGCATTACACGACGAGAAATCGGGAATGGATTCATATAAGGCCAGTAGTCAGACACTAATTTTTTGAGCTAATTTCTACAGGACACGGTCATACTAATCGGCTGGACCAACAATCAAGCACGTCGTTTTAGTGCATCACATATATCCAGATGCTCTGGGGTGCATAGCCTTCCTTTATCTTATTAGGCGTGGTCGGGATTATAAAGAAAAACTGTAGGCCTTTAACAGACGCTTGACTTCATATAAATTATCTTGCTGCTAAATGTCCCCAAACAAATATTTTAGAAATTTTTCAATTATGTCCTTGAAGCATTTATATTTTCTGAGTCTCTACGGCTTTATACCGAACGTTTATACAACCATTGCTGGTGGTAGTTGGTAGGTACCTAATGTATGTGTGTTGGTGTTTTCTACTAAAGTGCGGAAATCTTCCACGGGAGGCTCTCCCTTACTCCTTATAAACGACAAACACCCACATATATCATCTCAAATCTGCTACTGGAAGTTTCCCGCGTGAATCGATTTATTGAAATCAAACCCTATGCTCTAGAAGTACTTATTCATTCCACCATGACTTCCCCAATTTTCGTCAATATTGAGAAGCGGGCGGGTCTGTTAAGTTTCTTGCGCCGACAATTATTCGAAGAACCAACTTTACCAAGAGATGTCGACCTTAAAGGGAGGACGGTAGTTATAACCGGATCAAACACCGGAATCGGCTTCGAATGTGCTCGTCAGTTGCTAGACTTGGGAACAAGCAAGCTTATTATGGCAGTACACGATGAATCCAAGGAACAGAAAGAAAGATCGACTTTATTATCGTGTGGCTCTTCTTTCCAAGAAAACAGTGTTGAGGTGTGGAAGCTAGGCATGTAGTCCTACGATAGCATCATCGCATTCGTAGAACGCGTAAGGGACCTCGAACGCTTAGACATTATCGTTTTAAATGCAGGCATATCGAAGCAGTTCTTCGACCTAACCCCATCGACCGGCCACGAGGAAACCATCCAAGTCAATGTTCTAATTATCGACGGCGCTCCTCGCTATCCTCATCCTTCCTCTACTGAAGCTTAAGAACTCGCGAGATCAACCCGGTCGCTTAGTTATAGTATCATCAGATGTAGCATCTTGGGCCAGCTTCAAAGAGAAGGACTCCACGCAGATTTTGGCTACGCTCGACAAACGGGAGGCATTCAGTAAAATTGATCGTTATCCCACCTCCAAGCTTCTTGCTCAGCTATTCGTGACCGAGCTGACGAGGCGAGTCCCTTCGTCGGCTGCCGTGATCACACTCCCTAAAACAGCTTGTAGACGCTTTCATTAGCATCAAGAACTATAAATTAATCTCCCCTATATTCTGGTTATTAGTAACTGATAACTTCGTGGCTTCTTGCCTCAGTTTAGATAGATATTTAATTATTATCCGTTAGTTATTTTAATGTAATTTCTCCGTTCGAGTAGGTATGGCTGCAGTACATATAATAAGCATAGCTGTAACAAAATGGACCTAGGCTTGAAATATTTCATTATGTATCGAGCCTAGATCCTGCAACTTCGGGCACACTTAATCACTTTAGGTACCTAAGCTATGCGCACGGCTGAGCACCCAGCCGACGCCATTGTCATCACCTTAATTAGGAGGTAATCGAGGGCTTTGCAAACTCTTTCGCTATGCGGTCGGCCCTAGCTGAGTCCGGAGTTACACTGTCACATATCATCTATGCGCTCCAGCGCTCTTGTTCTACGTAAGTGGATAGCGAAACTAAGATCCGAATACCCACACGAAATGACTATCAATGAATACACTTGAAGCTATTGATCTATGTGACTTACCAGTTATTCATCCATCCTCTTAGCATTTATCCAGGCCCTTTTGCTGCTAAAATTACGGATGCTTATAATGGTTTCTATGCATTTCAAAGACGACTCCATCTAAAAGCACGACAGAACTAGTTAATATAACGGAGCGATCTAAATACTTAGGGATTAATATCGCCGGTCTTCTCGGATTCAGATTCGACCTTGGCCTCCAGAATAACGAGGAGAATAGATTCATGTTCCATATGCTGCACGCCGGGTCGCTCTGGAGTAGCAATTTTTTTGCATTGGCCCAATTCCCGCAGGTTCCGACTTGGATTAACCAGCTTGCGAGTTTTCCGTCAGTTGAGAGGGAAATACCTCTCTGTGGTGGAGAGGATGATCGCTTCTCGTCAAAGACAGGATAAGGATGCTCAATGTGACCTTTATTCTGTTCTTGCAGACGCACTAGACTCCGAGAGTGGTGGTCTTCGACAGAGCGAGCTTTGGGCTGAAGCAAATATTTTCCTAGTCGTAGGTAAGTCACTACTACTAGACCCTACCACCTTTCTCGTTGAATTTATATTTACTAAGTGAAATACGCCAGCTGGAGATACCGCAAAAACAGCACTCACTGTTGTTTTCTTCTATCTATCACGTAATGACGGCTGCTACAAGAAACTAGCGCATGAGATCCGATCCACCTTTGCAGTTGGGAGCGAGATCCGGGGTCCGGCTTTGGCAACTTGTCATTACCTCCGGGCCTGCATTGATGAAGCTCTACGAATGTCCCCCCCTGCCGCTGGTGATCAACCTTTCATTGTCGACGGGCATGCAATCCCTCAGAGTACTGCAGTGGGCGTGAACATCTATTCAATCCACCACAACGCGGAGTACTTCCCCGATTCATTCACCTAAAAACCTGAAAGGTGGTTAGACAGTGCCACAACACCAGAAAAAAAAAATATCATGCGTGGCGCCTTTGTCCCATTTTCGGTCGGTCCACGAGGATGCACAGGTCAGGCTATGGTATACTCAGAAATTTCCATTACAGTTGCTAAAACGCTGTGGTATTTCGACTTCAGACGCGCGACGGGTAGCCTCGGCGAAATAGGGGCTGGATCACCAGGGGCAGGTCAGGGGAGAGAACAGCGAGGGGAGTTCCAATTATTTGATAACTTCACGGCAAGTCACGATGGACCCTGCCTGGTATTTAAGTGTCGGGAGAATATCTATGAGGATTTGGATAACATAAAGTTCAACGAGGGCTGAAGACTAAAGTAAATGGTTGTTAATGGACATTAAATTTCAACACGCCGTATAGATACGTATAGATACGTACATAGGTGCAATATTTGTAGGCTTTAACCACCTTGCTGGCAAACACGTAATGAATCGATCAAACAGCTCATGTGAACTCGTTTCCTGGCAACTGTCTGTTTGCCTCCTCTGACACTTACGTACCTGTAGCCTGTCACTGCCCAGCTCTTGCATCTTTTACTAAGAAAACCTTTACATAAAAACATTTTTCCTCTCAGCTCAGCTGCTCAACTATTTATAACTTCTACCTAGATATATTACATCCCAACAACCTATGGACTGCATTCTACCATCCAATAGTCCTTTCAAAAACTCCTTCTAGTGTATCACGATAGCCATGGACACTCTAACGGAACATTTCGAATCGATCCTTAAGAGCAAGGGACTTTCTTGGACCTCTATTAGGATTGCCAATGGCCTTAAGACCTCACTTCTTGGTGCCTGGGGCCCTGACGGAGCTACCACCGGGGTCGCTCAAGAGCAAATGAAGAAAGTCTTTCGAGGAATGATTGACGCCTATATGGAATCCAAGTACGACGAGAAATGTGAGATCAGCAATCTTGCCTTTCAATCCGTGTTCCTCCGTGCTGTCAAAGACAAGGTTCTCTGGGTTCGGAGCCTCTCTGACCGGGAACTCAGCGAGCTCATCTACCTTTTCATTGAGGCCAGAGATCAATGTCTTAAGAGAAGACGAGAAGAAAATTTCCATCCAACTACCCAAGACAGCGAATTGGCACGCCTAGTCCAGCAGTTTGTGGACCTCTGCAATCATTGCATCAGCAAGCAAGAACAACCGTACTCAGGCCCAGAACTGGAATTCGAGAAGATGGGCGACATCATACCCTTTAGCAGTGTCAGTCAATTCATCATGAGCAACGAGGACCCCATGAAACGCGATACGCTACTAGACAAGACAACCAATCAACACTACGTCGGTTCCAGTAAAGGTCCGTTTCTCGTTCCTCAGAGACGCAAATCTAACCGCCCGTCAAACAATCAACAGCGAAAGGCGCAGGGGGAGCAGGCTGTCGACATCCTGCCAAATCTCCCATTCCGGCCGAAGTCTGATTAAAGTTGGGCAAGGGCAGCAATCCGGTGCTAGGAAGCTGAGATCGTCTAAATGGCTAATTCGGAGATTATTTTGTTCAACTACTTATTTATTTGGTAGTTGCCAGAGCCACGCCAGGTATTACAGTTGAGGCGAACAGGGAGAGAGAGCCATAGTTGACCTACTATCACTCTCATGCCGTCAAAGCTCCGATAGTACATATGTCTCTTGAGAAAACCCTAGCAATCAGATATTAAACTTCCGAGGCTCCTCGTGTATAGCGTGGTATTAATACATTATGCCCATCCCCTTCAATATTTGTTTGGCCTAATAAATTAAACATGACACAGTGAAAAAGGCGCTCGTGCTTATCTCAGATGTCACCAACTTATACTGCTAAGAGTCCTGTTAGAATGTTGCAAATACTGCCTTTTATCTAATATTCTATTCCTAGGTAGGTAATGCAGTTATACGGTATCCCCTGATTACCATCGTCTCGGCCGTACCATATTGTCCACGGTATAAAAATTTGAGGGATTACGCTGGTGATACGTTGATCTTGACGTACAAGTGACCTACGCTGCCTACGGTAGTTTTAACGACGGTATGTGCAAATGGCAACCAGGTATCCAGCAGTGGACCCCTGCACTATATTAAGAAACTAAGCGCTCCTGAGGAGATGGATCGGTATGTTTGTGTGGACCTCGGCTCCTACCCCTGGTCAGGATGTGACCTTAATCTTATCAGATCATCATTGTGCATGAGAGCCCGTATGCTAGATGCGAATACATCGTAGTACTGTATGTGCCAACACATTCCTCTGCCGAGCCGACCTAAGAGAATATAGGACATAATGGCGTAGTACTGGCATCTGAGCTCGTCCAATAACGGTAACGTCGATGGCCCTTAGCTCCGGTTCGGGTCTGGCAAAGGGGCTTCAATCTCATTGGGATAAACAGCTATGATAATAAATTTTTTTCATGATCATCATTATAGGCAGGCAAGTCCTAGTTAGACCTTGATCCTACCCTTGCTTAATGTTGCGAGATCGGTATAAGCATGCTTCAGCACGGTTTGCGGTATTATAATGAATCTGCGACGTGATTTTAGGTACGAGATACTCGAGTATATAATCCCATATTGCAGTCATGATGTCTAGACTGTACATACTTTAATAATAACTGGACTCTTTCCTTGGAGATAGAACCGTCGGTTCTAAATTTTCACAATGCTCTCCTCAATTATAATAAGCTTCCTTCTCCTTGCCCCCTCAGTCTTATCCGCTCCGTCATATCAAAATTCTACGCAGACTATCGAAGATGACCATTTCGACTATATTGTTGTCGGCTCTGGTCCCGGAGGAGGACCTTTGGCAGTGAATTTGGCCCAAGCAGGGTGGTCAGTGCTTCTTCTGGAGGCAGGTAGAAACTACACTGGGAACAATAGTCAACTGATTCCTGCTTTCATCGGGGAGGCCCAATGGGATCCTGCTCAATCTTGGGAATTTTATGTGAAAGACTATAGCAATGAAACTCAGGCTGCTCGAAACGACAAGATGGTTTGGAAAAAGCCAGATGGCAGCTACTGGGTTGGACGAGATCCTCCCGAGGGATCAAGTCCTCTTGGAGTCTGGTATCCTCGGGCTGGGACGCTAGGAGGCTGTGACACACATAATGGTGGGCTTACTGTCAGGCCGTCGGACTGGGACTGGGACAATATTGCAAATCTGACTGGCGATTCAAGTTGGACTCATGATCATATGCTTGGCTATTTCGAAAAGCTAGAGCGCAATCTCTTTTTGCCACCCTCAACACCTGGCCATGGATTTTCTGGATACCAGCCCGTTGGTCGTGGAGACAAGTCACTATTCGAGAATGAGCCACAGATACTTGCAGTAGCTCAAGGTTCTGTTGCTGCCTTGGGACTCACAGCCAGGGCCAGTTCGCAAGACTTCGACGTCATTGCCCAAAAAGATATCAACGAGGTATCCCCAGATCGTGATCTTCAGAATGACGTATATCAAATCAGCTTCAAGAAAGACGAGCGCGGCCGTCGATTTTCTTCGGGCTCCAGGGTGAATGAGGGTGTTTCGAAAGGCCTACCGCTGACTGTCCGATTTGATAGCCTCGTTACCAAAGTGTCAATAGACGATACTTTAAGGGCAACGGGAGTGGAATATCTGGAAGGGGAAAGCATCTATATGGCTGACCCTCGCGCCACGAGAAACAATACAGGAGTGCGTCGAACTGCAACGGCCAAGCGCGAGGTTATTGTTTCGGCAGGCGCTTTCAATACCCCTCAAATCCTACTACTCAGTGGCATTGGCCCGGCTACCGAACTGAATAAGCACAACATCCCCGTGGTTGTGGACTTACCGGGTGTTGGTCGAAATCTCCAGGACCACTACGAAGTTCCCGTTATCCAGGAGTTCCCAAACAATTTTACTTTCTGGGACGACTGTTATGTTCCTGAGGGCCAGGTGAACCCATGCTACGAGAGGTGGGAAAAGAATGGAACTGGCCCTTGGTCAACCATTGGCTTCTTTAACTTCGTCTTGAAAACAAGCTCGGTGACTCCTCGCGTGGGCGAACGGGATTTAATCTTGTATGGCGCAACCGAAGGTATATTAGGCCATTTGCCACCGTACACTAATTGGACTGGTGTCCTCAGTGCTAAAGATGTGTACACTTACACTATATCGGAATCACACTCGCGAAACCGCGCCGGCACCGTCACACTCCGCAGTTCTGATCCGAGGGACGTTCCTGAGATCAACTTCGAATATTTTGCTGATGGTGGAGACAAAGATGTACAAGGTCTGGTTGACGGCATTGAATTTGCACGTAAGATCTTCAAGTCGATCCCTGGTTTCGACGGTTTAACCAGGGAGGTGTATCCTGGAGAAGACGTAAAAACTCAGGACCAGCTCAAGCAATATGTTCGCGATCAGGCATATGGGCACCACGCTTCGAGCACAGCTGCTATCGGCGGCGACGATGATCCCCTCGCTGTTCTGGATTCCAACTTCCGTGTGAGGGGTGTGAAGGGCTTGAGGGTAGTGGATGCTTCGGCTTTTCCGGAAACTCCAGGAACATTTCCACTGATTTCTCTTTTCATGGCAAGCGAAAAGGCTAGTGATGCTATCCTAGAAGATGCTGCTTCTTCAGAAGCTTAAGTCTATCCTGATTTCACAACCAGGGATCATTTATTGATTGAATACTACTTCCTTTAGAAAACTTATTAGAATAATGCACATTTAATCATCTACCTAGCTATGACTTTGCGAATGTATTCTTCACGCTTTTTAGTTGACTCTCCTTGAGTGTTCTTAGTCGTAGCGAAAGCAAATACCTAAGAGATCTCCCATATACTAGGGCGTAAAAGGCATGCTAAGATGAAGAGCCAGTAACGAGGGCAGGTGTAGGAAATGTGTTGTGTCTTGGAAGGATCAGCGAGTAGTTACTCTAATAAGCAGGAGCTATTGACCTAGACATTTTCGTACAGATGAAATATTCTCACTTGAGCTCCACCGTGTCAAAACTAAAGCGTGCCAAGTCATAACTATAGATGCTCGGAGGGTCGACAATATCTTGGCAGAGAGTACTGATATGTGGAAAGGGGAGTTGCCGGGTAGGGAGTGGGGGAGAGGATGCAATGGTAACATTTATATCCACTACCATTTTATCAGATCATCTTATCAACTGCCAAGGCCTTTAGTTAGACGAAGATGGTGTACTTGTAGTAGCAATTATCTGATGGTCCAATAACTTGTATTCCTCGAATTGCATTTATAGAGTAAAGGAGAGGGTATAGCAGGGGGGGGTTACGTAAAAATTGTGGTACGTACCTAAAATAGTAAACGCACGAACCGGTATGTCTCCACTTTTGATGGTTATCAGATCCGTCGTATTTTTTATCAGATCCGAAAAGATCCAACGGTGCCTACTCGGTAGGCGACTACCACGTTACCCATGCAGCTGCCGTATTATACAGGGAAGAAAGGAGGGATACCCAGTGCCTAGAAAGTGCCAAGCTGTCTAGATGCGCTATGCGCAATTTCCTGGCCGGTCGCGGCCCGGGGATTGAGTTGGGTAGTTGGGTCCATAGTTGCGATATTGATATCCAATGCTGCTTTTTTCTGTCTTTGCTAGCAGCAACAACCAGACAACATGCGAATGTGCGATTCTGTGTAGGGAAGCATCACCAACAATGGCGAAAGGAAAAGGAGGTCGGACTGACAGTTCTTCGAAGGACAAACCAGTAAGTAATATTTACGGATACACTTATTCACCTCCCCTTAGATCTTCGTATAGTCTCTAACCGTATAGATAGGCACGACGAAAGCTCTTTACCTTCATCCATCTCCTTCTATTCTCTGATCCAACATGGCTGGATCTGTGCCTTGTCGTTGGTGGCGCAATCTTTGCTATAGCCGCTGGTACTCCTTACCCACTCATAGCCATCCTTTTCGGCGAACTTGTTAATAATCTCAACGGATTGACGTGCGATGTTCGATCCAATATCGACACGACCCAGTATAGGGGCATTATTGATGGCATTCTTGTAAAACTTGTTGCTCTCGCCGCCGCGCAATTCGTTCTCGTGTATTTGTACACAGTTTGCTGGAATGTACAGTCCCAACGATTAATGCATAGATTGAGGGATCGCTACCTTCAGCACATCTTGCGCCAGGAAGTCAGCTTCTTCGACGATAAACACGCCGGCGAAATAATTGCCCGACTAGATGACGAGTTCACAGCCATCCAGACCGGCACGAGCGAGAAAGTTGGCAGATTCATCGGTCAAGCAAGCTTCTTCGTGACGGCATTTATCGTCGCTTTCATTAAACAGCCAATCTTAGCGGCAATACTCTTCTCGCTCACCCCGGCATTCGTAGCCTTAACTTTTGCCGGTAGTTACTTCTTCAAGAAATTCGCTGCGAAATCTGCCACATCATTCGCCGCGGGGGGATCTATAGCATCAGAGGCACTCTCTCGCATTGCTATCGTCCGAGCTTTCGATGCAGGACCAAGGCTCGAGGCCAAGTTCTCGAAACATATGGCGCTCGCACACAAATTCGCAAAGAAGAAAAGTGTCGTTGCTGGTATACAAGCTGGTTTGCTATATTTTATTGCGTACAGCTCCAATGCTTTAGCTTACTGGCAGGGAAGCCGTATGATCGCAGATGCTGTCAGTGGCAAGGGAGACGCTACATTTGGCCAGGTGTATACTGTTGTTTTCTTACTCGTTGATGCCTGTATAATTCTTGGTGGACTCGCGCCCCTTTTTCCAATTTTCGGAGCTGCTTCGTCAGCGTACGAGAGGATCAGGGCTGATATGGACCAACATTCGCCCATTGACGTCAATTTTGGAGAGAAACTCCCCTCGGATGCTCTTGGCTGCATTGAAATGCGCGGTGTATCCTTTACATATCCGTCCAGGCCTGAAAGCTTAGCACTGAACAATGTGGACTTGATTTTTGCAGCAGGGAAACATACCGCTATCGTCGGACAATCTGGCAGTGGAAAGTCTACGATCGCAGCTTTGATACATCGCCTCTATAAGCCGACGAACGGTACTGTCGCATTTGATGGTGTGGATATACAGCTGCTAAGCCCCAGAAACTTGAGAGGATACGTCAGTTTAGTCCAGCAGGAGTCGGAGCTCTTTAGACGCTCCATTTTCGAGAACATTGCTCTTGGCCTTGCGAACTCCTCTCGGCCCGAACACGAGAACCTTAGATCTTTAATCGTGGGAGCTGAATTAGAGGACTTTGTTAATACCTGTTCAGGTGATGTTTTAAAGGAAGCAGCCAGAAAAGGGGGACCCATCGCGGAAATTGCTGGCCTGGTCCAGAAGGCAGCCAATTTAGCTGATCTTACTTTCATTGACGCTCTCGATCAAGGGTTTGGTACGAAGATTGGCATGGGACTCGTAAGCGGCGGTCAAGCTCAAAGGATTGCTCTGGCCAGATCATTAATCCGGGACCCGAAGGTCCTGGTTCTTGATGAGGCCACAGCGTCGCTAGATTCGACCACAGAAAAAAGAATTCAGGAAAGCATCGACCGAATAGCCGCTGGCAGGACTATTATCTCGATAGCACATCGACTCTCAACAATCTCGCACGTGGATCATGTTATCGTCATGCAAGGAGGTGAAGTAGTTGAGCAAGGCACATACCAAGAGCTTCAAGAGCGGGGCGGTGCTTTCGCAAATCTACTTGCCTTACAGGGCCTAGACAATCCGACAGGGAAGGCCTCGGAGTTATCGTCCCCGAATAATACGGATGCAGAATCTTTAGACGATATAGCGACTAAAGAATTACAACTTGAGAAAAGTAGACTAGTAGAAGAGAATGTCCAAGTCACTCCTAGCAAGGTTGCTCCGGCTGGAATTGGCGAGTCTCTCTCCTCTAAGGATGTCCTGACTGGCATGAGGTGGCTAATTAGGCCTGACTATGGCTGGTTTATTATTGCTGTGCCTTGTGCAATGGTCGTTGGCTGTACGTTCTCGGCAATGGCTCTAATATTTGGCCACACTGTCAGTGCTCTCAGTGCCTGTGACGCCACCGCATCGAGTATTCTATACTTCGGTTACTTCTTCAGCGGCCTCGTCTTTATGCTTGCCGTAGTCGAATTCCTTGCTAATGTGGGTAGTTGGTCTGTTTTTGGCAGAATATCAGAGAACCTGGTCTATCGAGTTCGTATTCTGAGCTTCAGGACATTATTAAATCAGAGTGTCGAATGGCATAACTCCGAGAATCGAACCCCAACATCTCTTCTCACTATTATAACAAAGGATGGCGCCTCAATAGCAGCGTTCAGCGGGAGCATCATCGCTACAGCGCTCTCTATTCTAATCAACTTCTTCGTTGCTATAATAATTAGTCATGCCTTCGCGTGGAAAATTGCCCTCGTCTGCCTAGCCATGGTGCCTATTTTACTCGGAGCTGGAATCCTTCAAATCCGAGTCACTTCTCGACATCAAGAAAGAAGCCACAAAGCGTTCGTCGAGGCGATAGGTATAACTGTGGAGGCTGTCAATCAGATTAAAACCGTCGCGAGTTTCTCGTTAGAGGATGAAATAATCAACAGGTACCGAAGAGCGTTGAAAAAGCCGAGAGCGAGCATGATCGGAGAGGCATTACATGCCTGTCTCTACCTCTCGATCGCCAATAGCACAGGCCTATTCATTTACTCACTGTCTTACTGGTGGGGTTCACAACTTATCATGCGCGGCGAATACACCCAGACGCAATTTTATATCGTGCAAGTCTCGATGCTGGTTAGTGCGACATTATGGGGTCAGATGTTTTCCCTCGCACCTGAATTTTCGCGAGCGAAGAGTGCGGCATCGAGAACACTGGGCCTTATCAATCTAGGAAGCGATAGAAGACTTGCTAAGCCTTCAGAGATCCTTGGCTTAACAGATGGCCACAATTCCGCGGATGGGAATAGTGGTCGCGACATAGAAGCGGAAGCAGAGAGCAAGTCTCCGAAAATAAACTCGGAAATATCCAAAGGCGCGAGTGTCGCATTCCGAAATGTTGCTTTTGCCTATCCATCTCGACCAGATCAACCAAGTCTTGGGGGAGTTTCCTTTACGGTCCAACCGGGCCAATTTCTTGGCATCGTAGGACCTTCAGGGGCTGGAAAATCAACTATTATGAGCCTCATACAGGGAATGTACTCCCCGTCAGCAGGGTCTGTGGAGATAAATGGAATGGATATTTCTCTTCGCGACAACGCCGATTTCCGCGAGAATATTGCAGTCGTACCACAAGACAGTGCATTGTTTAATGGTAGCATCAAGTTTAACGTCGGCCTCGGCGCCCGTCCAGGCCACGAGGCTAGCGACGTCGAAATTGAGGACGCTTGCCGCATAGCAAACATCCATGATACCATTATGGGACTTCCGCAGGGTTACGACACAGAATGTGGACCAAATGGTTCGCGTCTTTCGGGGGGTCAACGTCAGAGGGTCGCAGTTGCACGTGCGCTGGTACGACATCCGAGTCTTCTACTGCTTGATGAACCGTCAAGCGCTTTGGATGCTGAGAGTGAACGAGCCGTTAGATTGGGGATCGAAAATTTTGCTGCACAGGGAAGTACAGTGATTGCTATAACTCATAGACTTCATACCATTCAAAAAGCCGACGTCATTTTAGTCGTGGAAGGAGGAAAAATTGTAGACAAGGGCAGCCATAGCGAGTTGATGGAGCGAAGCGAGAGTTATCGGCTGAATGCTTCACAGCAGATCTAGCATATGTCGCAATTAAGAAAAGGGTGGGGAAACGCGGGTCAAAGCGAAAGAAGTAGTAAAACGTATATACCTGTAATCTAATAGATGAGAAAAGTAGGGATGAAGATGGAAAGTAATGTTCATGTAATGTGAATAAGGGTGGGAATAGCCTCACCTCTGGCTTGATGCAATAGTAAAGCTGGGTTCATCTTATTTACACGTAACCCCACCCCCGCTAGCAGGTACCTATTGTTAACGAGGGGTTCATATTAGGTTGAAGTCGAACCCCTATAATATTGTGTCGTCCTTGATGGCACACTCTATCTGTTAGGAAGGCCGTCTTGTGCGTTGAGACACGCGCGCAGACCTGCGAACGGCTTGGCGAATGTCAGATACAGATGGTTTCTTCTCTCTTCTAGTTGAACTACTATTTGACGTCGCTGGACTCGAAGACCGCACAGATTGTTTCTGCGAATACGGCACCTCGCCACGGGCTAACATGTCAACAAATGCAGAAATTCTCTTCTCGCGTCCAGCTTGAGTCTTCAGCGATTTCAAGCGATAGTACATTAGGAAGCGATTCTGTCGCGACAATGCCTCAAAGGCGGCTTGTGCTGCGGGCACGGCCGCAACTGCGATGAGGAACTCTTCTGGTAGCTCCGCCGTTGCTTGACCCGCGTATGCGGATTCCCAGCGCCCGTCTGCTTTGGCGGCCTCGATGACGCGTCGTCCCGCATCTGCCATTCGCCCCTCGCGTTCAAGACGTGCTACATGTTCGACATTTCGTTTCGACCAGCTGCTCCGCGGCGCGCGGGGCGTGAACCGCTGGGCGTAGGACGTAAGCGCGTTCTCTCCATCGCCCTTGCGGGCCTGTCCGTCAATCCATCCGTGACAGAGTGCTTCATCAAGTGCTTGGGCGTACGTGAGCGAGGTCGGGGCTATGGCACCCTTCTTGGCCAGGGTCAGCCAGACGCCCTTAGATGTAACAGCGCTACGAAATGGCCAGTTTGACCACGCGGCCGCGTTGGCAATAGTGAGGATCGGAAGCTCTGTAGGCATTGCTGGACTAATATCATACCCAACTCGACTAGACGCGTAAACGCTATGAAAGATTTCGGCAATGTTTCGGTCACGGAAAATGGCAAGCCATAATATTAAAGCGATTCATTAAGGCCGTGGTCTAGGTATTCAATCGAGTGAGGAGTTGAGAGGTCAATTATTAAGCAAGTGTTTATTACTGTTTATGAAATTCCAGATTTGCTTACATAATGAGATCCTATTTAACGATTTAACGGTCCGTGTAAGTTGGCATCCACCCTACCTTTTACATAGTAAGTACCTCCTAGCTTATGAACAATTTATTGAAGGCTTCTTCTGTCAAGGCATTCAAGTTCATCATAGAGCATACATCCAGATGCGACCAGCAAGCATCGATGACCAGTCGGATAGCATTTTCTACCTTCACTTCACTCGACGGTGGCCAGGTTAGGGCCTCCTTCCCTCCGCTCGAGGCTTCTCGGTCCTCTACTCCGTGAATTCGGACGGCCCCTAAAGTGATACCTCTGCGCGACTGGGTCGGCAAGCTCCGAGATATCACAGATCCCAGCCGTGAAGATACGGCTAATCTACCTGCGCTGAAGATGCTGGACTTTTACGAAATCCTCGGCGATGGAACAAACTCCTTGACATATGCAACTAACCATGCTACGAAGGTGTCTAGGGTAGAGTTCCCTGTCTTAAATAAAGAACTTTTAACGTCTTGGTTGAAAGATTGGCATATTTGATTGAGCCTTCTACCATCAAACATCATCGTTATATTGCAAGATGCAATCTATCAAATATGTACCTAGAGGTAGATAGGGATTTACTTGAACCCGACGAAGAATTCATCCCACCAGTTCTCATCCCCGAACTCCACGAGCTTTCCAGCCTCACCTTGAACTTGGTTGACACCACTACCACTCATTACAGCATCAGTATATGCCCAGGCTTGTGCGTCTCCAGTCTCTAGCACTGCGCGCATTTCGTCTGCGAATCGAGTCCGAGGAGTGACACTGCTTATTAAGTCGATGGCATCTGGATGATCAAGGTCAACCATCAGGTAAATAGGTTGATAAATAGAATAAGTAGTTGTACTGACCTCTCGCAGCCATCTCCGCCAGGCCGAGAGACACACTTGCACTTAGACTTAAAACATTGCATACAGGCCTGGCCGTAAGGGGCTGAGTGGGTTGGGCCTCTCCTTTCCATAGCGGATCTTGAGTATGCTGACCTACGTGCGGTTCATAGTATTGAAGCAGAGGCAGAGGCGAAGGCGGAAATCCGTAGCCGACGATTCCCTCACGGTAGTAACCTGAGTTAATATAAAAAACATAGGCAGAGATAGAGTATAAGTTAAGTAACATTCACATCCGGACAGACTCAGTAAGCCCCTATCTCCGGAGGTAACTTTACGTTACCGAAATCCGGGTCCCATTTTTATCGGTCGGTCCATGTATTATCTTCATACAGCGAAAGTTCTAATAATATTTCCAAGGATATCAATTTATTTATAGAGACCTAATAACTTTATCTAACGGCATGAGTACTGCTAACTACACTAGACGAAGAAGAAAGTGCAGCGAGTTGCGTTACAACGATACTACAATCTTCTGGGCTGATACCCCTTTTTTCTGAAGCTCCATCCCTTCTTGGATCTTCTCCAGTCCCTTTCCGATCACAAGAGGCTCAGGAGCAGGTACTAGCTGTCTAGATGCTAGTGAGCGCGGAAGGAAATCTCGAAACACCAAGCGGCTAGCGACATTATCCGGCTCGCAAATGTCTTCAGCCACGATAAATTTGGTACGTACCCCTGTATAAGAAGATAAGAGGGCTCTCTGGCCAAGCTGAAGCATCATTGACCCGAGAAACTTCACGGTGCTGGTGGGCGATCTGAAAGTATCTGAGGGTATTAAAGACCCAGCATAAGCAACGAGCTTCTTCTCGACTTTGTCACATTGGCGTATCACCTTAGTACAGGCTTCGACAGCACCATCTCCGACTGCAAATGCTCCCGCTAACGTTTTCCCCTGAAGCTCCACAACTAAGTCGTCAGCCCAAGTAGTACTATGCTAATCAAAGACGCGCGTAGCGCCGAGCCTTTCGACGTACGCAAAATTCTTGGGTGATGCTGTCGAGTAGACCTGGTACCCTGCTGATACTGCAAGCTGAATAGCATTACTTCCCACGCTAGATGCGCCACCTGTGATAACAATCGCCTTCTGAACTGAATGAGGTAACGGGGGAGGAACGGTAGGCGGATTTAGTGCTAGAAAACTAGGGTCGAAAAGGCCGTAGGCGGCAGTTAGCAGCGCCAACGGTAATACACATGCCTATATCATGACGACCCACGGCTCTTGTTCGATAAAGTCTGGGTTAAACCCACCCTTGATACAGAGGTTAGCAGACATCAATATCGCCTTATCTGTGCCTACACCATCCTCGTACTTGACGTTGACGTAGAGCTTAGTAGCGGTACCGGGTAAGATTTTTTTCAGCTCTGTTGATTTGACATTAACCTTCAGTACTTCCGAAAGCCAGGAGGCCGTGACCTCTTCTGGAATGGTAGGGAGTTGAGACTGAGTAGCCATCTATGCGAGTTGATCCGCACTGGATTTTTTTTTGTTATTGTTCTTGGATTCCGGTCGTTTCTCTGATGTAATTTCAGTTGTGCTGTGTGCTTACCTGTCAACCTGATAAGGTGCTCGTGGTCTCTTATATCTTTTGAATCTCACCTCAGCGTTTCCAACAAAGTAAAGTAGGTTTCTGAATTGTTGTTTCTACTAACCAGACAAAGTCAAAGCAAAAGTCAAGGATTTTTGGCTAATTAAAACTGTTGATTTTCGAGGTTTGAGTGGATACCAAATATAATGAGATTATTCAAACCCCTCCCTACAAGGACCGTTTGTAATAAAATACCTGACAGTAAACCCTTAAAAATGAGCCTTAATTATACGATTCCAAGGACTCGATAATACCGTTGCTAGATGAATCTCGTATAAACTATCTGTTATTGAGGCGATGAGCATAAATATAAAAGATTCGGGGATTTTAGGGGCTAATTTGAGCAATAGTGTGAATAGCTTCAAGTAAACAGCCTGATCAAACTTATTTACTTAAAATTGATCAAGCAGGAAACAGGGAATTTTTCTTACTTGTCGTATTTATTGGAAGCGCTGTCTTACATAAGTCGGAAGTACAGTATACTGTGTACATACATGTAGGTAGCAGTCGAACGAGGAAATATAAAAACTCCGAAAGGAGCTTAAGTACCAAGGTACCTACCTATACGTATAATAAATAAACAACGCCTCTAGGCTTGTGCGACGCAAGCTCACTGCCAAAACATAGAATTGATATACTTGTTTTCAATTTATAACAATGCCTAGTCCAATATTATCTGAATGTTCCATGGGTTCAACTTCGGTGCTTATCCGAGTCCAACCTGGCGTGGTCTTAAAACGTCCTCACGATAGTATTAATAAGGATTTCGCCGCTAGAATCGCCACATGTTTTGCAGCCGAACATCAAATCCTCGAAATACTGGGAGACCATCCCAGAATTGTCAAGTCAGTTCACCGACCTCAATAAGACTATCCATATAACTAACTATGCGTGGAGATATCTTGGACGGCAAGATAAGCCAGAACTTCCGTCAGGGTTGCTATTTGCTGAAGCTAGCCATGGAGATCTTCAAGCATATCTCAATGATAAGAACGACGAAATCCCCCCTGCCCTTCGAAGGAAATGGTGTCGGCAAGTAGTCGAATCGATCGCATACATACACTATAAAGGGGTGATACACTCTGATCTACGCCCTGAAAATATCCTCGTCCATGCCACTACCCCCACATCTCTCGACATCTGTCTTTGTGATTTCGGTGGTTCAGCGTGTGAGAAAATTGGGTTGGAGGGTGTAAATTTGCCAGATTCGGGCTTCTTTGACCCCAACTCCGAATTTGTATCAACACCCGCTACGGATTTATTCAGCGTTGCATCTATACTTTACACAATCCTCACCGGACATTGGCCATACCGAGCACCTGGAGGACGGTTTGGGTCTTCTGAGGAGATGATGAATTATCTCAACCTGGTTGATGACTTATTCCGAAGGCAAGAATTCCCTGACGTGAGTGAAATCTGGGCAGGGGCTGTTATCCTAAAATGTTGGATGCACGAATACGCCAGTGCCGATGATCTTTTGCAAGCCTTAGAATTGGAGATGCCGGACGAGACAAGTGAATAGGTAGATGGGCGGATAGAAAAATGAGTAGATTTAGCAAACAAGTGAATAAGTATCCAGTTATTAGATCTTGACATGAGTTTGACGTCCGCTTTAAACACCAAAAGCCAAATATTAAGAGCTATTCAATCTCAATGATCCCAATTACATAATCCTAACTCATGTCTGATCAGGTACCTAAGTTGGTCATCATAAGCAGCCCATAATGTCACAACGGCACGTGTACGGTGTCCATGTCCCTAAGCTAGTCTGCAATCTGAATCCGGGGGTGGAGTAAGTAGGAGCCAAAAGGAGTATAAGCAATGGCTGAATGAGGAGTATCGTAGTCGCCTACTCCAAGTTCTTCCTCGGCAGATTACCATCAACCAATAGCACAGCATAAGGATAAATGCCGAATCAGAGCCCCGAGGTGTGTAATAGTTACCTGTCTATCTGATTCAATTCTAACATAATAAGACTCACCATCCCCGACAGGTCCTTGACCCTTGAGTAGATATGGTTACCTAAGTATTCGCGCCCTTTACCTCACTTGTTGTCTAAATTTGGATCACTCTTGACCCCTTGCCAGCTCACTTTATCATCTTCGAGGTACATCCGTATTTCCTCTTACTGCGATGTTGTTCGACCATTTCCTAGCCGGGCTGAGGACCGGGGATGGAATCAAGATGTCCGGTCAATTTTCGGCATGGCATTTAGTTATGTCAACTTTGGTGATTGGCATCATCGCTCTGATAATTGACTATGGCTACATGCTATGGAGGAGATCAAAATTGGTCAGTTACTCACGTAGTAGGTATCTATTCAGTAATAACTAATTCGAGGGGCCGTTAGCCTCCTGGACCCTTTCCCTGGCCGGTTGTAGGTAATACTTTTATGCTCCCGGAGAAGAAGCCATGGCTTTGGTTCGAAGAGCTATCTAAAAAATATGATGCGCCGCTTGTCACAATATGGATTGGACGGTGAGAATCCCGCCGCCAGTGTAAATCTGCGACTGACTTTTGGGATAGAAATCCAACAATTTGGATTAACGACGCGTGGACGGCCTCGGAGCTTTTCGAGAAGCGTGCAGGCGTCTACTCATCGCGCCCACGGATGTTAGTCTTTGCAGAATTAGGTGCCGGCCAAGATAACTTAGTCAACATGTATACGACGCGTCCCGAAGAACGTGACCGTTGGCGTGTCCACCGTAAGCTCATGCACCAGGGCGTCGGTATCCAGTCCGTTCGCAGGTATCGCCAATTCCAAAATAATGAGAGCCGCGTCGTTGCGTATGACTTACTCAAAGCACCCGACGATTATGTGAAGCACTTCGAACGGTACGCCACAAGTGTTGTCTCCATTATCGCCTTCGGAAGGCGTGTCGAAAGCTGGAGCGATCCTATTATCACCGAAGTCATCGCCGTTATGCACCTAGCTGCCGACCTGAATGTCCCTGGCAAGACCTTTCCCATGCTCATGGAGACTTTTCCTTTCCTTGCAAAATTCCCCAATGTGATTGCACCATGGAAATATGGGTTAGGTAAGAGACGTGGAACTCACTTTTTCCACGCTTTAGCAGACGAAGCAGTTAAAAAGGAAGGCCACGAGGACTCTTTCGTCCACCACCTATTCTCCGAAGGCCCAAAGTATAACCTTAGAGATGCTGAAATTTCCTCCCTAACTGGAAATCTATTTGGCGCCGGGTCCGACACTAGCAGTAGCACACTAATAACGTTTGTTCTAGCTTGTTGCGCTTTTCCAGAGACCCTGGTGCCGGCGTGGGAAGAGCTCGATCGTGTAATTGGCTCTCACAGAAGTCCAACTTGGGAAGACGAAGAAAAGCTCCCTTATGTCAAAGCGTTTGTTAAGGAGGTTTTCCGATGGCGTTCGGTTGCCATAATTGGAGGACAACCGCATGCGCCGACGCAGGATGACTACTATGAAGGTTGGCTGATTCCCAAGGGCACCTGGATTCAAGGCAACGTATGGGCGATTCACCACAACGAGCGCGAATTCCCTGAGCCGGATCGTTTCAACCCGAACCGTTATCTCCCTGGACATCCAGATAGCCGACCGTTCCCGGGAGAAAGGGGTTATATGACCTTTGGATGGGGTCGCAGGGTTTGCTCGGGGCAAGCACTGGCCGAACAGGGCACTTGGATTACTGTTGCGAGGATACTATGGGGCTTCAACATTCAGAAGAAGAAGCGTTCAGATGGCAGTACGGTTAATGTGGACATTTTCAATTACACGTAAGTGCAACAGAAGGACAGAAAAAAGGGAGGACTTGCAATGTATAAAAACTAATAACGTGCGTGCAGGAATGGACTCAATATGCGGCCGCAGCCGTTCGAGTGCAGCATCACGCCACGTAGTGAAGAGATTCGCCAAACGATAGAGCGCGAGGGTAAGCAAGCACTTGAAGAGCTGGAACAGTATCGTGGGGAAACCAAGTACCGTATGTCAACATTCTACGCAAGAAACGATGTTGCGATGAAGCTCTATGGGAATGACGAGAAGGCATCATCGTAGAGAATAGTAGAAGGTTATAGATAGAGTCAAGCTTCTTACATCTTAATCGTTGATTTGAATTCTAGTCCTGGTTCGTTGAGGGGCGGTCTTTGATATACGCGGTGATTATATTAGGTAAATATGTGTTGACCGAAAAGCAATATACATATGACGCGCGAGGTTTTTTAAAAAAAAACGGGTGCAAGCATTTGCGAAAACTTGACCTTAAGAGGTGTAATCGATAGGGTCGGCTCGTCGGAGTAGAGATGCCTGGACCTCGCCAATTTAAGTTGCCGGAGATTGAAAGCCTCCGTTTGCTAGAAACATAGGTACCTACCCTTTATCCATCTCTCGAAACTACCTACATAAGAGGTAGATCTCGTGAATCGCCATATCCAGTCCAAAGTACAACATGCAGATATCGAAGTCCGTAGATGAGGGCGCGTATGAGGGCGTCGGCCTACTCGTATTGGGAGCGGGTTGGACTTCAACATTTCTTATTCCGCTTCTAAAATCCGAGCAGATCAAGTATGCAGCTACAACCAGGGACGGCCGGGATGACACAATTCAATTCAAGTTCGATCCTAAATCGAGTGACGCGGGGCCGTTCGAGATGCTACCGATCGCCAAGACGGTACTAATCACATTTCCGCTCCAGGGAGAAGGCCAAGCAAAGCATCTGGTACGCATGTACGAATCCACACATCAAAAGCCCGGTCGCTCCAAGCCGCACTTTATACAACTAGGCGCTACAAGTATTTGGACGGCTCCAAAATGGCAAGACGAATCATCACCCTATGAACATGCCGACTCCCGCGCCATTGCTGAAGATGAGTTGATGGCATGTTCCGAGGGCGCCGTGCTGAACCTCGCCGGACTGTACGGAAATGCCCGACAGCCACGGGATTGGGTAGACCGCGTGGTGAAGTCAAAATCCGATCTAAAGGGGAAAGGCGCACTACATGTTATTCATGGCGAGGACGTCGCCAGAGCTGTTGTCGCGCTGCACCGAAATTTTACCCCCAAGAAACGGTGGCTCCTGTGTGACATGCATGTCTACGACTGGTGGGATTTAGTACAGGACTGGGCAATCCAAACTTTGCGGAGCGCCGAGGTTGGCGTCGGTCAAGTTGACACATCGACCGCCAAGGTCGAGAGGCAGACGGAGTTGCTAAATTGGGTTGGCGAGCTCATGCTAGAAGAGGGCGTAAGGGCACTCCCAAGAGATACGTCTTCGCTAGGGAGAACACTGGATGGTAGGGGATTCTGGAAGACAATGGGCATCTGGCCGACTCAAGGGCGGATTAGATAAAAGACGAGCCCCCCTCGAATCTCCCAGAGACCAACAGCTAGGTATTACTATATATTAAGGTAAATCTAGATCTATCACATCTACGTCGCCTTTAACTTAACGACTCTTCCTTGTGTATCTCTATGCCTGGCGGTGCGCCTACGAGAGTCTTGCATTGAGCGTAAATAACGAATTGACCAGCAACTAAACCACACGTCATTAATATTCGAGGACCCAAGCCTGATAGTAGTAATCTCCTGGGACCGAACTCCCTTGCGAGTGTGAACATTCTACTCGTCACACCTTGTTTCGGATCGCCCGCGCCCTTGTTGATAGCCGACAGCAGCGTATCAGCCGGATGGGAGAGAACTGCAGCTGCAACACCAGCCACAACACCAGAGCTTAGTTCTACCCCTGTGGATTGCAATTGAGTCATTTTGGCTTTCCGCTCGGGTCCCATACTGCGGTATATGACCTCGACCGCCGCCTCGTGTACAGAAAACTGACCCACCGCATACGGTACCTGCTTAAACAGCAGCGGTATGAAGCCAGAGTAGAATCCCCGTATACCTTCTTCCCTAGCTAGGCGCATGAAGCCAGACGTAAGCCCGGATGCGAAGCCGCGTTGAGAGACGAGGCGGATACGCGTAGCCTCGAGCGGACATAGCGCAATGTCGGCGAAGAACTCTGCTGTCGCGCTAGCGCCTAGATAAATAGCAGTACGCCGTTTTGTTGCTTTCTCCTGGGAACCCGTCATGTCGATAAACTTCTTCTTGAAGAACTCGTATCCTGCAAACTTGCCACCGCCCTGCACGAGATAGCCGACGGCAGTAGGCCCAAAGCCTGTCAGCAGAGCCGAAGCACCCTCTTTGGCTACTATTTGCCGGGCCGCCCTAACCATGTTGAGCCCTTTCATCGAATCGTCCACCTGAATTCTCGTTTTTACTACATCGATGGGGGTTGCGGCCTCCATTCTTGTTAGATACGACCATAGCTTCTAGTTATCTTAGGGGCCTCCTAAGGTAGATACATGTAGGTACTTACCCCGTGTGTGAGGGTTGCCGCAAGGGCTCCGGCACCGAAAAACTTGACATAATCACCCGACCCGAATGCGGGAGTTATACTTGACGAACTCATTTTTAAAACACGGTACTTAAGTATAATGAGAAGACTGAGTGGCAGCCACTCAAAACCTATCAGACAGTCTTATACTGTCCCGGTGTGTGGTCGATTACTCAGCGACAGGATGGGCTCGGGACTGTGGAAAAGAGGGAGTCGGGTCGACGCTTTCTAATTAAAACAAATTTATTGATGGTTTCTCTAATGAAATATATGTTTTTATATAATATTGTTTCAAATTAACTTATTATCATAGACCCGAGAATCAATGTTGTGTTGACCTATTCCGGACTGATCGGGCCCTGTGAAAAGCTCTGACGTCATGATTTCGATCAAGATTCTTTCGATTGGACCCATGCATAAGCCTGTTTACGCTCGGGCTACTCGGAGACCCGGTAATACGGTACTAGGTAAAGGTTTATGCTATTAATATCACATCAAATTCCGACTCGGCTTTTAATTCTCACGATCTTGATAACAATCTCTTCAAGTTGTAACGCCGCTAGTAGAAAGTTAAATAGCCGTAAAAATAGAACTTTTACGCAAAGGATTGGTCGTAGATACCTTGTCAACAGTAGCCTTTAAAAGCCATTCTCATCATCTTTTATACGTGCTACTCATTTCTCCCACCTTAGGCATATACTCCCCTTTGATGTTAGATGTTATTGGTATGATAAAAAATTATGTTGAAGATTATCGTTCTTACGCCTTGTTCCCTAGCGAAATCCGGTGACCTCTTTTAGACACCTCACAGAAGTCAAAATCCGCGTCAAAAGCTCCGAGGGCATAAAGGGGAAACTAAGTACGAAAAGAGGAAGAGGGAGAAAATAACTCTTGCCTTAATAATAAAGTGATTGTTAGGTAGGTACCTTAGGTAAGTACGTGATCGAACCGTAACCTAACATGTATACACCTTTATCCTATTTAACATCAACGTTGCGTCTCTATGCATGCTGTTTAAATCTAACCTATTACCAATTACAATTTGCCATAAACTGGTGATTGATTCTATACCCATAGGTAGTTTAATTATAAAATTCCATAGTTGCTATGTCTCTAGTTATTCTCATTGCGTCTGTAAAACACCCCGTAGCTTTATATATATATAGATACCTAGGTAATCATCATATGTCCAATAACAACCGGTCAATTTATAACACACGAGCTTTCGAAAATAATTAAAGATATGTGTAGTTACTACTTGAACATAGTTCATCCGGTGGCGGCTTAACGAAGTATAAAGTTATTGAAGAAGAAAAAAGGTATCTTGTCTTAAAGTAAAGTACAAACACTCCGAGTTTTTCACATGACTTTCACAATGACAACCCTAGGCCGCCTGGCAAATTAATCACCCAAGCAACTCGACAGCGCGTCTACAGCTCGACGGGACCATAGTTACCACTGTTAAGGCCATGAGCTGGATACACCGCCTGCCTCCCACTGCAATAAAAAATTTCAAGCTTTCAACTCCACGATGCAACCAACCATTTTACACAGCCTCGATGGTCTTTCGGATAACACCAAAAGATGGGTAGCAAAGACAACGCAAAGTCATCCCAGCTTATGGCTACTACCTGTCCCCGTCCGAAAAATGGACGGACGCCTTTGCCAGAGGCACCCAGTGTTCTTCGCAAGCGAGCTGCTATGAAGTAAGTCTATTTCAATTCTATACCAATACATGGCTACCTTATCTTCTATGAGATAGGCTAGATATACTTTGCTACTATCTTCGATCGGGGTCTCTTGTATTTCAGCTGGTGCTTCTTCCGATGGGCTCGTCTTAGTATTACTTTACATAAAGCTTCTTACCCCTTGTAATACTATACACCATATTTCCTAGCAAAATCATTTTCTTTCCACAATACTGACATAATACCATCAGCAATACAACCACCTCTAAGGATGCCATCCCCAGCCCTATCACACCCGGCCTTGATTCTGAATCAATTACCAGTCGCATCTCCGTTTCCTCTAGTCGTATGGTCAGCCACAGTTCACAGCCCCCTACCGTTTCCAGAACTTCAACTGCTAGTTCAACGTCAGAAGATGAGAGCACGAAGCCCTCTGGCTCAGACGACACAGATGCCTTCATGTTTGCTGGCGTAAGGGGGCGCGTTATCACTATCGAAGGCGAGGAGCGCTTCTTCTGCATCGAATGCAAACGACACTACAGTTACTACAGAAGAAGTATTGCCACCCATTACAACCATGCTCACGACCCTTCCTCCAGCTTCTCACGTCTGCGAGCTCCCTTACCCGAACTGATTCCTTGCTCGGAAGACGGTTGCAGCTCAACCTTTAACACGAAGCAGGCCATTATCAATCATCATCGCCACGTTCACGGGTATAAAGGGAAGTCGGACCCCATCTTAGCGCTTTACGGCTTCTAAGCTTGTTTACCATCTCCTTTCTCTTTAATACCCGCCAATCGAGTCAGGTCGTCATACTGCTATGAATTTCAGCATCAAAGATGAGAAGAGTTCTACTCGTTGGGGGAGAATCCGACGTCGGGGAATCACCATTGTAATATTTCGCTCATTTTAATCAATTGCCCAAGGTCAAGGAGAGATATTGTTGTGTCGTGGGATAGTTATCGCACAACGACAATGGATAGGGCTAAAGCCTGATTTCGCATATGGAAGAAACCATTGAGCTATAGCCTATAGGTAGCTGGATGGTTACTACTATTCTTTCTACAAAAAGGACGAGATCATGTCTTTCCGATTAGTACGATTGTTAATTAACCAATTCCATGTGTCTAGACTTATGAAGCTTCGCGATACTTCCGAGCCGAATGACCTTAGCCAGAGCGTAATCGCATACGATTTCAAGATATATATCTTAGAAAGACCAAGTATCAACTGACGATAACATAGCCCTTCTCATCATATCGTATTATTAACATATTCCCGCCATGCCTTTAGTTACGCCCTTCATGTAAAAAAAAGTTGGATGCGTGATATTGATGTTGGGGCTGAGAGATTTGATCTTAAGGCCATTAGGTCTAGATCTAATAATACCCCTCATAATATCCCACACCTTCCTCTCTGGTGTCTGCCATCTCCTTATACGCCCTTCCTATCAAGCCCTTCCTATTACATGACCACGGTATATACGTCTTTAAGAACTCCGGGATCGCGAACTATATATAAAATCTTTAAATATATTAAGTAGGTAGTTATCCAAGTAGTCATTTTAGTTTCTGGTAGATTGAATTTCAAATTTCAACACTAAGATGGCGAATGGCGATCTTCAATTCCGCGTCGCAACCCCAGACGATGCAGCGCAGATCCAGCAATTGGTGCAGTCTGCATTTCGCGCCGAGGATAGTAGGGAAAACTGGATAGGGGACATGACTCTTGCGTCGCAGTTCAGCGTCAAAGTCGAGGAGATCATGAGCAACATCACTAAGCCGGACAGCGCATACCTCATAGCTACTGACGAAAACGGCGCCCTAAAGGGCTCTGTGGGCGTTTCTAAACGCGACGCCGACCTTTCTCGCATCTACATGCTTGCAGTTGACCAGCACCACCACCGGGGAGGCATTGGACGTAAGGTCCTGGCTTATGCCGAGGACTACTGTCAACGGAGATGGAGCGTCAGCAGGCTGGGACTTAACGCCCTTTCTTCCCGACACGAGCTGATCTTGTGGTACATACGCTGCGGTTATCGGAAGACGGGGGAGTTGACGCAGTTTCGGCGTGAGGGCTTGGATTTGCCGAACGACTTGTGTTTTGTCGAGCTGGAAAAGGATTTGGATATGGGTTCTACCGCAGTTGAGACAACGTAGACTGCTATTTTTATGAAACTTTATGTTTACACTACAGGAATGGGGGCTCAGTATGCGTTTGGGGGGTTTGCCAGCTCCCACCGGATAGCCGAGAGATCTATTGATACGTTCTGATAGTTTTATGCGAAAATATTAAACCTTCTACTTTCTACTGTCTTTTCCGTTCTTGAGTTGTAATCTGAATTTGAATTGGTAGAGGATTGATGATGTGGTTTCTGTTAGCCGTGGGGGTTTAAAGTATACATAACAGTAGCACCCACTCTCTCCAAGGGGGCATGTGGTCTCTTGTAAGTCTTACTTATGGAGTGTCGTGTATAGTGCTTGGGATAAAAACTTCAAGCTGTCAAGAGTGAACTTTCATTTAATGGTTAGAGTGGTATATAAGGCTATTATAGACTTGGACATAACCAAAAGACGAACGGCATGAAAATGCCGCTGATGCATGTTCTCATCTATACGCAATCAGGTATTACCAAATAAAACAATTACCATTTGCTCTTTTAAAACTACCCAGCACTCATATTCATTCATATCTTCTACCCTCCGCAATCAAATCAATTTGTGTTGTCGATCTTCGAATTCAACCGTTCTGCCGTTGTACCCCAGCAGCTTGGTGCTAAGCTTCAAAGTTCAAGGTTGGTGTTAAGCTGCCAAGGTTACGGTTGACCAGACAAGGTACTCTGCCAAAATGAAAAAAATAATTGTACACTAAACTAAACTTGGTAGGAGGTCACTTACCACAATTTAAATGTATACTTTCAAGCCTTATTATGGTTTAATGTAATAAGAATACTGATTTAACCAGTATAATGGCTACCCTTCTTTCGTTATCCAGGCTACCCTTTTTACACACTCAGATAACTTTATAAAAACAACGATTCAAATAATACAATTGATATAATTTAATAGCCCTAATTAATGCGAAACTAATGGTCCAGGTTGCATGTTTATACGATATGTATTGAGTATTATATTGCTATTAAAGTATTCGGAGCCTAGTTGAAAAGACTTTATCGAGGTGCTTGTAAAGGATGTCACGTGCTTCCCTCTCCAGACAAACGCTACGTATTTGATTTTACTATAACATAACAACGAAAAGGCCTATTGGAATGCAAATTATATTTTTGTTTTCGCATCAATTGGGGCTATCTAATGATACCAATTATTATGTTATGACTGCTAAGATTGTAAAGTTATCTAAATGCGTAGATGTGGTAGTTAACAATTGAATTGAATTAAATTGAATTGAATCGAATTGACAATTAAATCCTTTGACTTGATTGGTTGATTTTAAATTTTTAGCGATGGGGGTAGCCCGTTAAAGCTTTAAAGGTTAAAAGGTTAAAAATAAGCATACCTTTTTAAAACATTATCCCATATAACGTTATAATGTATGTATTTATAAGGATAGTGTATGTATTTATAAAAATAGTGTATGTATTTATAAGGAATAATTCACTTTTCCTATATAAAAAGGCGAAGTACCATGATAAATCGAGCTAATTGTGCTTATTTACCCTTTTAGGCTAAATTCGTAGAATTTTTTTCATTTTGGCACAGTACCTTGTCTGGTCAACCGTAAAGGTACCTGCATGTGTGTACGGAATACAGGCATAAGAGACGCTAACTTCGGATAGGCTATAAAGGTGGGAACATGTCGTAATTCGTAAAATGATTCGCATTCTATTCGTGTTCTACATAGTATTCGATGCGCCGTCGATTTACTCGAGGCACTATTGCGACTATTAAGCACGTGGATTCGGATGGACCACGTTCTCAATTGAATAGTACTAAAATTCCATAGGTAGTTAGACCTTATTACATGGTATAGATATCGTATGTCTAAATGACGCGTCCTACATTCGTAGTTCGGTTTTGTACCCTTGAATGTTCTTCCCTCATTACGTGTCAATTATATTTCTTTAAGCTTGTCCATGTATAAGCAAGCACATTGCCGCCAGTCATACGCGTCGGTATATCATGCATCTGTCGATCTGTGTACCTTCGATTAGGATATCGGACGATAGAGGAGTGATAAGAAACACTTGGTCGGCGCTCCCGACCAACAAATGTATCTTATTTTGCGGTTTTGCGCCCACTAGTTTAGCGGGACAGGGATGACGCCGCAGTCTTATTAGATCTTATTAACCTAGATTCTTAGCGAAAGCTCAGGGAAAGTTGGTGGAGATATCGGGTGGAACGGCTCAACTTTCTGGCGCTATGCACAACGCCGATCCGCATTGGCGTCTTTACCGACCGCGTATTGGATAAAAGGAATGCTAGGTGGCTTGAAAATGAGGGCCGGACCCGCAAGCACTGAGCCAAAGGAAAACGACACAATCTGAACTGATTGTTTTCAAGTTGATTTCACTGCACAACTGCGTCATCTTCTTTTTCTTTTTCAGCCGTTGAAGATGCGCCGACAACTAGAAAGAAAAAGGAACTGCCGTAGGTTAGGTACCTACTTACCTCTTACACACGTATCTGTATATGTGAGCTAAGATGTTAAGTCAGGTTGACGCACCTCGGTATAAACGTTAGATAGGTACTTCTTTCAATTTGAATGCTCCAGCTGTGATGTATTGATTATTATGTACCTAAGAAAGAAAGAACCTTACGGCTAGAGGAAGGAATGCATTTGTCTAAGATCGTCGGCGTACTATGTAGTTTTTGGCTTACTTTATCTCCTCGACTCATATTTCTCCATCCCTCAAAGATTCCACAATTCCTACCTAAAAGTAGATTCTTGCCTCTTTGGATTCGTACCACACATACGTATATGTATTCCCCTCTTACCTTATGTATTCCCGGTCCTCTTCCTTTGGCTTCTCTTGTCTTGTCTTGTCGTACGGTATCCCACCCTAGGCTTCGGTTCTTTACATGCAATCTTTCCCGTCCCCAGTAGAATATTCAACTATCCTTTCTATTGCCTTTTCTCATTAGAATCCTGAAGAACTCCTAGTTCTCTTCCTCTTCTTCCTACTTTTCTCAGCTATGCTGCCCCTACGGTGATAAAGAGAAAAAGGGCTCTCCCATGTTTCCATCCAAGGTCCCCCGCGTCTTTGTCCTCGCCAGCGCCGTGCTCCTATTCCTCGTCACCTATACGACCCTTCATCTGTATCACCGTGTCCCGCCCTCATATCCAGCGGCGGATCCTCAAATTCTTCCGATCAAAGAAGCGATAACTCCAGAGGGGCAGGCAGATGCCAACCATGTCGTGGTAGCAGATATCACTACTGACATCTTACCCCCAACTATCATTACTCCTACGCCGAGTCCCACTAGTAAAGATGAAGAGCCAGCCTGGAAGCCAAAAACTGACAATGCACTCTCTCAACCGTCAGCTCAGCCCACTATCTTCAGCGATGATACTGCCGCAGGTGACAAATCCGGAGAAGAGGAGCATCAACAACCGCTTCCTGATCCTAAGCTCTGTTCTAAAGAGTTAGAGTTTCTGGTGCGCTCTAGCATCGACCTGGAATTAACCGAGCGCGTGCACTACGTCCGCCGCTACATCAAGCCCATATTTTCCGATACTGTCGACAGGGACGATATCGTCAACATCACAGAGCCTCTCGTTAAAGGCGAGAAAGAAATCGATCTATATCAATGCGGAGATGTCATAATTCCCCAGTCTGAGCCAATCAAATTAGTTGTCCCGAAGCCTCATCCGAAGACTACGTTTTCTCACCTTATGTTCGGTGTGGCAACAGATTATAAACGTCTCAATGACTCGATCATCCCTTTCACTCATTGGATTTCTGGCACTGGCGCTAAGCTCGTCTCTGTCGTCACAGATGCCAAAGAGAAATCGCCTGAAGACATAAAGCGACTACAGCGCAGTTTTGAGATAGCTGATATCGATGTGACTTTGGTGAAGCCTATTAGTGGGGACTTTTCGACATCGCAGAATCATTTTGCTGTCCTAATCAATATGCTCCAACAAGACAGTCCCGATACCCAGTGGTATGGTCTCATAGACGACGATACTTTCTTCCCGGATTTGAAACCTCTCTCGGACAGTCTCGCCACGTTGGATCACAAGACCGATGCTTACGTCGGCGCTCTCTCGGAAGACTTCCAGTCTGTCCGGAGCTTTGGTTTCATGGCGTTCGGCGGCGCTGGTGCGTTCCTATCGGCTCCGCTGGCCAGAAAGCTTAGTGACCAAGCTCTCCAATGTATCCACGACGCAACTACCATAGAGGGAGACACTATCCTTCGGGACTGTGTATACTCTAACTCCAAAGCCAAGCTTACTATTCTCCCAGGCCTGTATCAGCAGGATTTAAGGGACGATGCCAGCGGGTTTTTCGAAGCTGGATTAAAGCCTTTAAATCTTCATCATTGGAAAAGTTGGTATAAGGCACCTGTCGAGAAGATGGCAAAAGCTGCCAAGCTTTGTGGGGATTGTTTCTTGCAGCGCTGGCGGTTCGGTAATGATACGGTATTCTCAAATGGATTTTCTATTGTGGAATACCCAGACGGTGTGGAGTCGGTCAACCTACAATTGATGGAGGGCACGTGGGGTAAAGCCGACAGCAGAGACTTCGACTTTAGCCTTGGTCCGCTCAGACAACCCTACCCCGCGGATCAGAAGAAGAGCTATAAGCTGAGAGGAGCCGAGTTTACGGAGAGTGGGGATCTAAGGCAGCTGTATGTGCGGGTTGCGGATGCTTCGAAGGATGAAGATGAACTCGATCAGGCGATCGAACTGATATGGCAAAGGCATTAAATAGCAGGCGTTAAGGGAGGCGGCGCATACATGGTATAAGATTAGACGGTTTGCTTTGGCGTACATCTTTGGTCTACATAAGTCTTCAACTGGGGATGGCGGCATTGCATATGTGCTTGTATTTAACTATTATTAACCAATAAACTCTATGAGAAATTCGATAGTGTCCAGGTGGTAAAATTAGCACGCATTGAGCTATGTTTATATTTTACCTATTCCGTGAAGAGAAGCCATATGATTCATTAGTGACTATCTCTTCAACTACATAAAGTATAGAACGCGATCCTTGAGAATCTACCTTGTGTCTATACGTGATATGTTTAATATTCTCCGGTTATTCAGCTCATTCACACGGAACTATATTAGTACGTACAAGAGTTCATTCTCAAGATAGAGCGACAATAAAGGCAAGCAAGTTGTAAGCTCTTTATTATACGAGAAAATATCATAATGAACCCCAAATGTAAATACCCCAAGAAGATATCTAAGTATTCCGATTTTAAAATGACATTTTAAAGCAGGATACTATTATCTAACTTTATGTATTGCCTCTCCTTGGTAGGCATAACACTTCGTCTCTAAAATCAAGCCGGTACAATGATTACAAAGTACCTTTATAAATGACATGCACGTTATAAAGATAAACAAGTGCATTATTGGTATGAAAGTATAAGGCAATTTCGTTGTTGCGCAAATGTTGAAAGAACTTGGGTGGATGATGTAACACAATGAACAATCTTCTGTTACTATTCACGAAGCAAGTTGTAGAAAAATACGTTTGTTGGATTACAGCTGTCTTGTTCGCGACACCTCCAAAGCTCTTAATAAACACAGCTAGTTACCTAAATATGTATTAGAATCTTCTTGCATCATCTTCACTGCTCAGTCATTAACTTCCAGAGTCTCCCAGACATTTTTTGTAAAGTGCTTAAGCCAAACGAACCCTGGTAAATTCCACTTAACTCGTAAGAACAACATAATCTAAGGATAGTCAAGTAGTCACGATGGATTTCCCATTGGCTGGCCAATATCAACAGCAACCGTGTTATGCGGCTTCTCACTCCCATGTAGAGGAGCAAGTCGACCCATCGGTTCAGCTCCTCATGATAAGTCATTGGTCAAATGATCTAGCAGTACGTCTCCAGGAACTGCAAGGACAACTTGCTTTCACAATCTCTTCTGTAGATCCACGGTCCCGTCAATGGCTGGAGTTCCACGCCTATCTAGCGCAGCAATTCGAGCTCATATCTGCAGGCCTTATAACTCACCGCTCATGGTTGGATCATCTTCAGCGAATGCAATACCAACCAGTACAACTAGTACAACCAGAACAACTAGCACAACTAGTACAACCAGTACAACAAGATCATCAGTATCAGCAAGAACAGCAGCACCAACAGCAGCACCAACAGCAACATTACACAGAGCAAGCGGAAAGACCCATTTTCGGCGTTCCCCAAACCCAATCTATGTCTACAGCACAACTAGAAAAGCTAAACGAGAGGCTTGAAGTAGCGCACGAGGAAAGTAAAAACGAGAGTCGCTGTGAAAATGAATGATTTCATTATGGGTGCTTTACTAGAATAGTCTAAATGTTATCTAGCTAGCGAATGCTTTGATACCTATTAGTTAAGAATAAAACCGATGACTGGACATTACCATACGAATGAATGATAGTAATAATAAACGCAGTTGACAGGAGAGTATGCAATAGATAAATGTATCATGTGCTAGTCAATAATTTAAACCAATAGGGATAATTTACTAGAGATATTGGTTAATAAACCGGCCCTAATAAGCTGCGTTCTTGACTTAGACTAGAGTAAAAAAGTAGATATTATATTTAGAAGATATATAAGTAAATGCCGATAACTACGTCCATTATCATTCCGACAGCGTCTCACCGATATAATACATATATCACCTATAGTTCATATCTAAAATCGGGATTTTCTTTATCCGTCAAGTCGTCGAACGCGTGGGCGTGCTCGATATTTTCGTCATTGCTCGAGCTAGCTTCCCGTTTCCTAGTGATTATCGTAGAAGCATCACGCCGCTTAACTACGTTCCTCCGGACAAGCAACACTCGGAGGAGAATTAAAAACAGGTTAAATAACACATAAAGGCAAAAGTGGGCAGTGAATCCTTTCTGGTATCGAGGCGCGTCTGTTTCTTGGAAAATCTGCGTGATAATTGTTAGGCACATGTATGCCCGCTCGCGCTCATTGAGTCGGGTACTGAGACAATACTAACCTGGGGAGCTGCCATGTTACCGGCGGCCCAACCGATGAAGGTCATAGCCAGAGTTGTGGACTTTTTCGTCTGCCCCGCTACATTCCGAGAGATCAAGGAAAAGATCATATTACCCTCAGCAAGGTAGAACTGCGTGCAGTAAAAAGCGATCAAGAGCCCGACTTTATTTGTAGGGTTAGGAGGGATCGAATATATGATAGCAGTGCCGATAATAGCCGGACTGTAGAGTTAGTAGCTAATCTTTAGAGTTCTATACGGATCTTAACTTACAGGGTCCAAAGCTGAGTAGGTTAGCTCGAGGGTCATCCCATTGGGTAAAGTAAATAGAGAAAAAGGGGTATATGTACTGACATGCATGATGATAGCCGTCTGGTTCGTCCAAGTCGCCAGCCAAGCCCCTCCCACCATGACTATGATGGTAACAGCCCCTTGAGCAATGTTAAGAAGCTGCGTTTGAAGATATGAGAATCCAAACGCCGAGATTATTAGATTGCTAAACACCCCCAGGCCGCCGATAACGAGGGTAGAAGTAACCTGGAGCATAACATAGCACCAGATCACCGGATCCTTTATCGTCTCGAGCATCTGGTACCGCTTATACGTTTTGTTTTGGATACCCGTTTCGTTGGCACGTACGCGCTCAATCATCAGTCGCTTCTGGTCTTCGTCGAAGCACTTAGCTTTCATGGGACTGTCCGGTAACCACCAGCCGATGAAGACAGCCCAGACACAAGTGGCACATCCGAGTACGAGGAAGAGCAGCTGCCAAGATTTGAGTGAATGACCTTGGAAGTGACTTGCGCCATAGGCAATTAAACCCCCGACCTATTCTCAGTTAGAATTAAGAGCCAGACTTCAACTAGAATTTGAATGACGTTACCATTAGTTGGACCCCGGTCATGCAGTCTATAGAGCAAGTTAGTAAATTCTCACTAAAATACGTGTCCTAGGGATTAAAAGAGGAAGAGAACTTTCAATGTTACATACACCAGAGTGAGGTTAGGATGGATTGTTCACGTTTAGTATACTGCATATAGCCCCTTAGCTAAGAATAACATATCATTGATACGGTTATATCTTACCCACATAGAAGTCCTAGCATACAGTTAGCCCTAGTCTCACATTGTACTCTGGTCGTACTTCCTGACTTACATGATAATGAATGCTGGCTGTACGCATGACTCGAAGATGCCAAGAAGGAAGCGGACGGCCATCAGAGACCCAAAGTTATGAGTTGCAGCCGAGCAGGCGATAATAACACCCCAACAGAATACATTGGCAGATAGATATTTTGAGACGGGGAGCCTTTGAAGAAGCAGGTTCGTAGGGTACTCGCCGACGAGAATACCCATATACAAAATTGTCCCTAGCCAACTAAAGATGAGGGGATATTGTAAGCGCATCAACACGACTAGAGTTATATAGAGGTTGGTTCTTACCTATAATCTTGGCCTTGCAGATTAGCATCTGCCTTGATGTTCATAACGGACGCGAAACCTAGGGTTCCTTTATCCAAAGATTGGCAAAAGTACGTTCCTAGCATGCATGCTAAGATTCGCTTATTGACCGTCCAAAATAGCTTCTTGTTGGTTTCATCGTCGATATGCGTCCCAGTCGTGCCGGCATAGGCTTCAATCTTTTGACTGTGAACTTTAGTACCCTGCGGATCTAAGGGGAAGTTCTGACCTCGCTATCTCTATCTACGTGACCTAGTACGCGGTCATCTTCCACGGAAGTGATGGCGCTCATGTCGCCCTGCGTTTCAGGTTTGGTCATTTCGTCTCAATGGTGGTAAAGAGCCACCAGTGTATTACATCGAATGGAGACTGCGTTAAGGAACACCCAGAGACAAGGAGCGATCAGCAGTGGGCAATTATGTACCCCTTGACCCAGAGCAGAGATTCAAAATCCGGGGTAGGCTAACGCGGAGAATGGGCTGACAAGACCGGGGAATCATGGGTATCTAATTCGTCGCGGTAACGAGCTGCAACAAATTTCGTCGTGTTGGTAGACGATACCTGGGCAGGTGGCGGGTAGAAGCCCGGGAGATAGCCCGGCCTCCGCGTACCACGAAAGTGCAAGCATATGTACGTCTCAACGGTTTGGACCTACATAATACCGAGCCAACCAAATTTTCTATCACGGCATGCCAGTGTCTTGGCGACTCGATTTGCGATTTCAAGTCTCGATAGGTTAAGGTTCGGGCATCCCGAATATAGATTTCTCCACGATCAGCCCCGTGGGGATACGTAAGATGAAGATGAAGCTAGCCAGTATATATTATCGCTACGCGCAAGGGAAGGTGAATCTTTTTAATACGTGGAGATCTGGTATCTGACAAGGGTATAAATGAAAAACATGAAAGCCACTTAATATGTTCGCCAAGTGCTATTTGCGAGTCATGATGTGGACATTTAATACATACTATACCTAAGCCCGTCAGCCTCTTTGCTGATAATTAATAGAAGACGCACCATACGAACACAGCGACTTTAAACGGGTCATGTATGCAAGTAGGAAATATAATATCCCCATTTGAAGCTTAATATGGGTTTATAATAAAAACATATATTCGTTTATTAGTATATTAGTATCCCTTTAAACAGCAATGTAAATTAAAGGGGGTGGTTCCACAAATCCTTGACCTCTCATATGTATTAGGTACCTACCTTTAGTCAATTCGATTTTCTCGTCGTGCTTAATCTTCATGCCGAATACCCTACGTATATCTAGTAATATGATGAGCATATTTTGAATGTAATTTGGTCATTTTCGAGTGTACGAGTAGTTTCCCGATAAAATAGTCGACATGGACGATGAGGACGCGAGTCTTTCTGCTGATGGTGAGGCACAGCAACGTTCTAAGAGGAGACGCATCTCACGCGACGACGATGTCGAGGGTCCGGCGTAAGCACTACATTGATAACGGGTAACTGTCCATCTGAACATGCTCTAATGAATCATGAAGCTGTCAGTCCTGCCGGAAAAAGAAAGCAAAATGCTCCCGACAACAACCGTGTTCTGTTTGTATCAAATATCGTAGGGCCACCCGCGTGCACGGTTTCAAGCGCGTCATCTCGCCTATCTAAATATTAACGCGAAACTAGGAACCCAGTGTGTCTACGACGATACACGCTCTAAACCTGGAATGAGAACCGGTGCCATAGAGAATCTAAGCCAGAGAGTTGGTGTGTTACTTGCCGTTCACTCTTTTTCTAAACCCTTTGTCATCTTATTTCATATAACCAACGCCCTTCCGGGCTAATTCTTAATAGCGAGCCTCGAGCAGATGTTCCTTGGACAGGGTATGTTATGGCAGCAACTATGGAGTGGCCTAGCAAATACAGCTAGTGGGCATATTGGTTCCCCTTCGAATAGCCTTCGCGATCCTGCTTCTTCACTGAAAGATCACATCGCACAAGTGAAGTCGAATTTAACACATATAGCATCAACCGATCCTGCGCAACACAATCCTATATTAGAGTCTCCTAACCAAAGGGGAAGCCGGTTAACCCAGAGAAGTATAGCAGGCTACGATAGGGCTAAACCCACCGAGTATGATGAGGTAGATTTACCTCCAAAGGACTTAGTTGATGCATTAGTTGAAATATACTTCGCGAAGATTCATCCATGGATCCCTATGCTTCATGTCCGGCTTTTCCGTCGTCGTATGGCTGAAGACCAAAAGCGAGCACGTTTAACGACTATATTTCATGCCATCGTCTCGCTATGCTCTAGATTCTCAGATGACGCCCGCCTTGGAAACGTGGAGGAGAAACTGCGAAATGCTAAGAGAAGTAGACAGACTGTTCTGCTTCGAAGCATGGAGTCTTTCTCGGTGGAGAATTTGCAAGCTCTAATCATATGTGCATTCGATACTGTTGGGAGTGGTCGCGGACCTTCGGCTTGGTCTATAGTCGGCTCTATGACCCGGACTGTCGAACAATTACAACTCAGTGTCGAGGAAGATGATCAGCCTATCGCCACTTCTGCTAAAGCTATGATTAAGAGGATGGCTTTTCTTCCGCCGGCGCGTAATTGGAGCGAGAGAGAAGAGAGGCGCCGGGTCTTTTGGAACATCTTTCAATTGGATCGTTTTTGCAGCATTGCGACTGGTTGGAACTTATCACTAACAAGCGCGGATGTGAGAATGCGTTTACCTTGCGAAGGGGCCCTATGGGAAGCAGGGGAGCCTCTGGAGACTCCTACGCCCTACTTCGGCGTTGCTGATCAGACCGGTTCCGTTAACGGTGCGCTTCCATCGGCAAGAGTGGGTGAAGAATCTCAAGAGTCCCTCGGCGGATTTGCTTACTGCATCGAAGCGACGGAAAGCCTTAACCTTGTGACATCGTTCTTCCTACAACAGGTTATCGACATATCTATGATGCACGAGGTACAGGTATGGCTGATGAAGTTTAAACAGTTAGATCTACGCTTAATCCAGTATGTTTTCCGGCCCTTACGGGTGTTTATCTTTTACCACGTCAACTAATACCGTTTAACAGGTGGAAGCTATACCTGCCTGAGCAGTGGCGGGAAGCCTGCGTTCTAAACCAGGACGGAATCATGGACCCAAATCTGACCCTGGCCCACGTTACGCACAACACCGCAGTAGTCTTGCTTCATCAAAGCATCGCGTACCCTTTACCCGATTGGCAAAATAGCCGTATCCGGCTACCCAGTGCTTCAAGTTCCGAAACATGCTTAGCCGCAGCTACAGAAGTTGCTATTATAACGGAGAAGTTTTTACAAGGTTCTACATCACCAACAAACCCGCAATTTGCCTTTTGTCTATTTATCTGCGGCCGTATGCTTTTAGCCCATGCGTCCTATTACCAATTACCGTTGCTGAAAGAGTTCGAGTCTCTAGTCGAGAGCCTCTTAGAGATGTCTAATCGTTGGAATCCGTGGCGCCCCCAAGAAGGTCCGCGTTTCGTAGAGAATCTGGCGTCCAAATTTGCAATGCGTCTTAGACACGCCCAACGGCAGGGTCCTGGCGCCATTGATATCAGGCAGCCCGCTTACTCAGAGGATGACAGTCTTCAACAAGAACAAGACGCGCCGATATCAATGCCGATTCATACTGGCCAACTACTAAACTGCCACGCCGATCTTCACAGTATACCTAGTCCCATGGCTACCCGAAACACCCAGGCAAACACTGTCGGATCCAACAACGATGCTTCCCCTGACAGTATCACATTAGCCTTTCCCCCTCTACCCCTTGCGTTCCAGCCAGATCATTCGAGCAGGATCCATGCAGAACTACATTCACCATCGCTAGCGTCACTACAGACGCATGGCCCTCTCTTACAAGTCGACAATCCTGAAAATTCTGGAAGAATGTCTTTCGGAAGCTCAGACATGCTTGACTTCGACGACCTGAATGCATACTTACAGCATCCCTTCCTACCCACACAGAGGATAAGCATGTTTTCAGAGCCTATGAACAATGGCGAGCCACCTTAAGGTGTAAACTATAGAAGCGATACACTAGAATGCTGGGGTAACAAATCTAAATTTAATCGTGGTAGACTACAGAGAACATCGTATAAAGGGACGACTCCAGCCTACTCTCAGGTCCTCCCCATATCACCGACGGACGAACGTCATCTTCCCTGTGTGACTCCGAACCCTTCAGCTATAACAAGTTTCTCTCCAAGGCCCATCTCAAGTAGTTTATTTCCCACGAGCAGAAAAAAGTAATCCGCATACACCAATCCGTGGTTCGCCCATCTGCGTGGAGCAAATTCATAGTTGTTGATTGTGGCACCGTTCAATATCGTTTCGGCGCCCTTTCCCATGTCAACTGCCATCGTTTTCTGGTCGCCTAAACTTCCTAGCTCAGGTGTCTCGACAAACTCCTCCTCCATAACAAATTTAGCCGGATGGTTGACATGAGAAGCGCAAACGGCCTCTGTGATTCTCAGCGCGTGCTGGAGATATGCACTCGACCTTCCAGCAGCTGTTTCTATTTCGTGAATCAGCAGCATTCCATAGCTAGCTATCATAGCTGCGCTAGTGTCCGTAGGTTGCTGCTCGTCCCTAGGCGCTTGGAAATCCCAAGGGGGAATAGCAGTTTCAGGTAAGTGCTCTACGAAGTAATCTGCGCAAGCCTTGGATGTTTCGAGAAATGTGCAGTCTTTAGTCCAGTGGTATGTCTGTGCAAATCCGGCAATTGACCAAGCCTGACCGCGAGACCAACAGGAGTCATCGGCGTACCCTTGATTTGTCAATACCGACTTGATAGCACCATTTCCAGGATCGAAGACGACTACGTGCGCAGTTGAACAATCAGCTCGAACATGACAATGCTGGCTTATTTTGGCATGGCTGAGCGCCGCGGCGTACATGGAATTGTCCTGCAACTTTGCGGCAGCCCAAAATAGCATATCAAGATTCATCAAGTTATCCTACAGTGAAGTTCCAATGAGCCACGATTTCAGTCTCCATTTCCAAGGTTAGAGAGACTCTATCACTTACTACTATAACCAAGAAATCTTTTTCCGGGTCCTGAAACGAATATCTCTTGGTGATACATGTATCCCACGATCGAATACATCCCACTACTGGACTGTAACGAGTCATCAGACTTTCTGCTGCTGTAATCACAGTATCGAAACCCTTCACGTCATTCTCGAGCTCCCAAGCCGCCCGAGCCCATGGAGCAATCATGAATCCAAGATCGTGCGTGGTCTTCAATTTCGCATTTCGGTAGAGGCTAGCTGTCCACCATTTGCATGCGAACCTGCTTCGATCAACATATCATCCACCTGAAAGCGTCTAATCAATACTTACTGCAGCTGGAGCTCATGTAACTCATATTCTGTAGATGATTGGCCTATATGGCGGGCCTCGTGTGCATATTTCCGCTGCCGCTCCAGAAGGAGATACAAACACCCAGGGAAGAAGCCAGAGGTCCAGAACTCTAAATCGCGGTAAACATATCCTACACCTCCGGGTTTGGTGTATTCGGGGAACAGGGTTGGTGGTGTTGGCTGTGCTAGGTGTCAGCAGTTGGGTCGAAGTCGTTATACTTGACTTACCCTCGAAAATGCTCTTTTGGCCACCCCCCAAATCTTTGCAGTCACATTTTCGGAGTATAAATTCTCGAAATGTCGCCCCGCCGAGTTGGTTAGCGCAACAACTTCGAGCCCCGGGGGCGTCCTCAGGCTATGATAACTCCGAGCTTGCTCGTGACCGTCACAGGCGCTTCGGCTACGTTTCTATCATACAAGGCATTAGAAGCGATTACCTCTAGAGAGATGTTGGGGAGCTAACTAATGGTCTGCCATCATGGGCAGAGCCGACCCCGTCTTGGTCCATCTCAACAATTGGAACCTCCGATGTGGCCATATCCTCTTCCAAAATTAAACACCGGTCTTTCTTAGTTTAGGCAAAAGATGCAATTTGTTGTTGGCGTACCACAATAGTCTCGACCGTCGATAACGGCACACTTCAAGTTAATTGATAAATTCTACCGCTCAATGAGACCACCAGTCAGTTACCAGCAATAAGTCCCAGCACGTCCTAGTACGCGCGATGAGTATCACATGCCAAAGGGTCTGGGTGGACAAACCGCGCAAATTCGCGAACTTACAGTCTATGGTAATCCGAATCCCCTCGAGATTTTGGATTATTGCCGGCGCACAGTCCGGTACTTAGCCCGATTCTCCGGGTCAGCCCCTTTTTTTAATATTGTGGGTCCGGGAAGACAAGCGGAGAACCCCATGGGGTTCGTTGCTAATGGAAAAGGGGAACGGGATCACCCCTTAGTATGGAATATGCTAGCAGGAAGGTCTCATCTTGCTTTTAACAAGGCGAATAATCGACAATTCGCGATACGGCATACTCGCGTGATCAGGTATTAGATCAGAAACTATGGCTAACCTCATTGCTACTATCTTCATCATTATATTCTCCCAAAATGTGATGGCCACAGGAGGGTTGAACGGTTTGCCCATTCTGAACGGGATTATTCCGACGGTTCCCGCGTTTCCAGGAATGAAAACTCGAATCGGCCAATTTGTCCACCCTGGCATCTGGCATACGCACGATGACTTAGAACGTATGAGGGTCGGAGTCGAGGTGGATGAAGAACCCTACGCGTCGGCCTTTATAAAGTTTAGTGCAGATCTATACTCGGCTTCTAACGTAAGAATTCTAGCTAAGGCCTCACAAATTCATTCTTCCATCTGATAAGGTATTAAGTATAGTATGCAAGGACCCAAACAAGTCATTTGTCGAGGATCATGCAGCAACTATACAACATTCTCGAACGATGCCCGAGCAGCATGGCAGAATTCTATCATGTGGTACATCACCAGAGATCAGCGCCATTGGGATACAGCTGCCGTGATCCTAGACGCTTGGGGGTCAAATCTAACAGACGTGATCGGCACTGATACATCCCTCCTTGTAGCTTTAGACGGTGACCTATTCGTCAACGCCGCAGAGATTATGAGATGGGAAGGTGGATGGGTTGAGGAGGGTGCCAAACCTTCGGGGACATCAGGATTCTCTAATCAGCTCTACTGGTTGTTTGCAAGACAGTCTATTATAATCGGCCAGGCTAACTATGGGCTGGCTAGCATTAAGGCTCTCTTGTCGTTTGCGGTATACCTTGACGACGTCGCAATGGTGAGTCAAACATAGCCCCTCCTTTATTCATCGCGATTAACGTTCCCTCTTGTCTTCCAGTATAACTATGCGCTCAATGCATATCAGAATGATTTATGCGCCGGCGTTCTCGGAAATTGGGACGCGGAGACTGGACAGGGCGCCGAAACCGGCAGAGATCAAGGCCATGCCACGACGGCGCTCGGTTGGGCTGCCGAAGCCTCTCGAGTAGTTCAGTCCCAGGGATATGATATCTACTCGCTTCATGATAACTTAATCCTCAAGGGAGCCGAATATACTGCCAAGTACAATCTAGGTTATGAGGTGTCATATGACCCAAAGTTTTACCGGTGCGAAGCGATTCTAGTCAACGGCCCTTGGAGTATGCCTTCAAACATTAGTCGCGGCGCTGCTAGCGGACCGCATGTATGGAATGTAAGGTTTTCTCACATTCCTACTTCGTAGTTCTCCAGTATTTCAAATGCTGATGATATAGATATTTTATTATCAATACGTCATCAAGAGAGGCCTCGACGCGCCATACGTATCAGAAGCCAAGTCAGCTCACGATGCAGCTGGTGGTGAACAGACCAGTTAGTACCAAACCCTTGATAAACTCAATTCATGCTGACAGTACTATAGGCAATGGGAAGCTCTCGACTGACCATCCAATGTGGGGTGATCTTATAGTAAGTAGCATAAAGATCCCTTTCATTATTTATCCTGCCATTATTACTCGAAATTCCAGGTTTCGTTCATATTATTATAGAAATTAATAATTATTGACTTCGCATAGTGGTCATATCCGAGCCGTAAGGACATCTTAAATGATAGCGATCATACTACCTAATCTAAGGAGGCAACAGATGGCAATCACATGAGAAGCGGCCGTGCGCCTCAGGCAGCGCGATTCGATTAGAGGAACAGGCAGGATTGAGGATATTTTCCAGATTAATATTGAGTCCAATGACCGTCGTTGGTCGTCCCGCGCCCGGCCTGTTCACCGAGTCATTGAGCCGTTATTCCGTAGCAATGAGACGATAAGCTAGCTTCTTATAAAGCGCGCTTATATACTGCCAGGTTTCAGTGGTCTATCTCAACATATCGTCTAGGTAGCCATTGACATTCGTTTCCTAATAGCCTTTTCTACTACTGCTTTCAAAAGCGCCGAATTGGGGGGCAACTGGCCCTTGTTACACTCATACCCCTTATTACCTAACACCTATTATCCAACAATAAGCGTTACTACGAAACTTTCCGTGAGCAATAAATACTACTATCTCAATAAGGGACTATTAAGCTATACATTTTAATTCAGTAAACATGCTTCTACCACTTAGCAAGATATGAGTAAGACCTTCGTCTGATGTACGGCGACATCTTCCAGACGGACTTCTTCAGTGAAAGTTCCCAAATCCTTTCCGCCCCATACATCTCTCATTTTGACCTCGGTGTTATTACAGAATTGGTCCAGCTCCGGTAGGATTTGCAGCTTCAAGTCGACGTTTGCCGTCTCCTTACCATAGTTGAGAGCCAGCACAACGTATTGGTGGCTCAGTGGGCCTCCCCAAACCTGTATTGATCCCTCGGTAGATAGATCAGGGATGTAAGTGGCGGCAACGCCCAATTCATCTTGGGATATAGCGATGATCTCCTTGTTCAGCAAGATCGCAAGCGATGATTCTGATATGTTGGTAATATCCGCACCGATAATCAATGGTGACTTGAGAGCAGCCCAAAATGAAAAGTGAGTTTGCTCTTCAAATTCGTTCATGGTGTTCATGCCAATTTCCAGCATGTCCATATCGGCTATTAACATACGTTAGTTATATAACTTTTCCCAAAGGCTATGTCGTTTCTATTGTTTCTAGCTTACCCCAAGATCCCGGTTTCTGGAAAGGAGAGATCTCTCTCATCTTACGAATCATCGTTAGAACGCTAACGCCTGCATAGCCTGTGTTCAGGCAGTATGCCGTCTGGCACACTCCAGATTTGTCGGATGCAAATGATGCGTAGATATCTCCTGACATTCGGTACGAATCGGCAATCTGATCGGCCCAGTACCAAGGGAATTGATGGCCCCATTGGCACAGAGCATAGAAGATGTCCCTTCCGGATGTACTTAACGCCTGGCCCATTATCTGGAACCTCTCTTGACTGGAGATGGTACCAGCTTGAAAGCCACCGCAATTATCGTATTTCAGATAATCAACCCCCCAAGACGCATAAGTATACGCGTCGAGCTCCTCATAGCCCCAGCTACCCGGGTGAAAGTCGCAATCGTATATACCGGAATCACTAAAGCCGAAAATCGATTCGTTAGTTGTGTGGGCGCGTGCTTATGGAAACAGATCTTCGTTAAAAACAAACCTATATATACCAAGGTTCAGCCCCAGATCGTGGACATAATCAGCTACACCTTTGATTCCAGAAGGAAACGTTGACACGTTAGCCTGCTGTTGCCCATTCTCTGCCCTTGTGTGGGCTTGCCAGCCGGCATCTATCATTACATATTCATAACCGGCGTCCGCCAGACCTAGTTTAACCAGGGCAGCTGCGGTATCTTGAATTAGGCTTTCGTTTATCTTGGCCTTGAATGTATTCCAAGAGTTCCATCCTGTTTTCAATGTTAGAACGGCCGGCCGTAAAGTATCAAGTTAACGGCAATCTGCCTACCCATTTGTGGCTTCGACGCAGCTTCTGCGCCAGCGATAATTAGGACCTGGAAAAGTAAAGGGATCATGTTAATGACGTATCGACGTGATGAGAAGTTAGACATTATTAGTTGAAGTCAACGAATGTATGGGTCGGAATAGCTATAATAGATAGGCAATTTACACTCAGCCCATACAGCCTCAATATTACCAAAGAACTAGACTCTTCTTCTTCCTTACATCTTAATCTTATAAGTTATTATGTCTAGGTATCTAAGTCAATGCTGGCGATTCTTAGGATGCATACATACCCACCACCCCGTTCTCCGGACAAAACACCGGGAGTTACCCCGATACAACTTCGTCGGTTATCTTGGCGTATAGGCGCGCTTGAATTGCACGTGCGCCAGCAGAGCAGAAAAGAGCTTCAAATTGTATATCTTCATAGACTACTTTATAGGTAATTTAGTCTCATAGCAGCGCCCAATAATTATTAGTTCTAGATACAGAGTTGACTTCGGCCACAAAAGAGCAATGTACAGTCTTAAGATCTTTGCATATTTATTGCTTAACTGTCTAGTTTTCGCTGAAAGCAATGACAGGCTTCCCCTATCTTATAGAGCTATACCTGAAAACTTATATGAGCCACCAAAGCCAGTCGGCTCCATTTCCTTACTTGAGCATGTGAATTCGAGGAGCAATCTCAATATCCTTGCACGAATTCTTTCGGAAAGTGCAGGTAAGTCTACCATTTCTAAGATCCTAATGCCAGAAGGTCATATCATTCTAACCTAATAACAGGCTTCACGCAAGCTTTCAGCACCATACCTACATGGAATTTTACATTCTTCGCCCCTTCAGATACTGCATTCAACCATACCGGGGAATATTTCAATACGTTCGCGGGAACGCCGAAGGGGAAATGGTGGCTTGGGAATTTAGTACAGCATCACTATATCCCGAACTCACAACTGAAGGCCTCTTCATTTTCCACGAATTACACTCGAGTACAGACAGGAACGTTTCTCTATGTCGAAGCACAAGTCGTGGGCAACAAGCTCGTGCTCAATCGAGCAGCTACTGTGACTGAAGCAGATATCCCGGTGACAAATGTAAGTACCTATATAAGGTGGATTACGACGTGACTGGAGATGCAAAGCAAGACTAATCATGTGAACCAGGGCTTGGTACATATAATCGATCGCATCATGGACCCGTCAGCCATGATATTCGAAGCGGATATCGAGAAGACGAAGCAGAGCTTTATTGCTGGGAGCTGCTCAAATCCTGAACTGCCGTATTGTTAAGGAGACTTACGTCTTTCACCGAGAAGATGAAGTTGATGAGATGTAGGACAGAGATTGATAAACATGCTCACGAATGTTGACCCAGATAGATAGCTTGAGCGGTATTACCTAAGTGTTCACGTTTGAACTATTAGAATGAAAATAGTCAACATATAAGTCGGTAGTTGACATCTCACGATATATGATGCGTCATGATGGCGGGGTGAGATTGGTCTCTAGGTATAGTCCAAACTCTTAAACACCTAATATAAGTTAACATAGATATCTCACTATCGTGGTACATTAGGGGACGAGTGACGCTTTTGTTAAATAGGTAAAAAGTAAACCTCTGAAGACAGCCAAGGCGTGCTGATTGAAGCTAACATGAACCCCAGCCGGTTAAATTCGGGGTTATTCGGGGAGAATCACATCTTCTCCGCAATGTAGACAACTCCATACGCTACCAGCGATCTATGAATTTAACCGCGTCGTTAACCAGATTTCAATACCTAACGTCTTGACCATGCAGAGCATGCCTGGATACCAGGACTGCGGGTCCACACTCAGATACCATGATACTATCGCAGTCTTAGCGCCAGGGCGCATGTGCTGCAATATATTGGTGGAAAGTTTTAATGTCTTCTCCATCCTGGTTCTTGGGCCGGGGATATCCCCACCATGTGATTCTTGGCCGTCTGGCCAACAGTTCTCTATGACAGGGTAAAAGTATTACGAATTTCCAATTACAAGGCCTCTTAGGTAGTATATAATAACGCGAGTTGGCCCTCCATAGACGAGTTTCTGCAGTTCATTACGAATTCTGCCTTCTTGTTGCTTCATCGAGTGAGTTCGGATACGATCTGGGTCTCGCCCGGTGCCTAGTTCAAGATGCGGTTCTCGCGGCTATCGAGGGGATGAAGAACAAGACTGGGAATTATACGTGTAAGACAAGGAGGCGTGCGATAGAGAGTAAGAGGAGTCCCCAACTGTATTAGGATACCCATCCAGTAACTGCGATGGTATTCATGGAATGTGTTGTTATATGATAATGGTCTTTCCCAAGAGTCCTTCGTGGTCTAACGTTAACTCTTAATGACGATCATCAGTTACCTTTCATTTTCTTTTTGTATACGGGGGCGTGGAAGATGGCTGCATACCTAAATATATAGACCGCTTCGAATTCTCAAGAACGTAGAGTACTATATTGAACTGACTATCGTAAAAAGAATACTCGACCTAGATATAGATTCGTAGTGTTGAATCGCAATGTGGATAGATCAATGTGGATAGATGTTCTAGCATCGGGGGAGTTGGACGTCTAGCGCACATGTTAGGATGTATGCGGATAACATGTACTGCCTAACGACGATGTGTTTCTTAGAGAAGCTGCTGCTCCCTTCGAAGGAAGCAACGCATGTAAAATCACATGTGTCTTCTTCGTTGGTTGATGTAGATCTCCTAATCAAAGTTGTGTTAGTTCAGCTATCGTCCGATCTTGTCTCCTGCGGCTTCTTCTTCCTTTCGCCGTATCAACGTCGGTTTTCCACCTAAGATACAATACCACCCACCTCATACCTACATCATACCTGAAGCAAAAATGCGCCTCCTGAATACGGCAATCTTCTTCCCCACGCTGGCCACCATGATCATTCCTTTATCCCATACGTTTCCGGTTGGCATCTTGGTCCGCGAAGCCGTCAGCGCGAGACATCATCGTGTCCCCTTTCGAAATTTCAGTCGCCACCGCTGGTATAATATCAGCAGAGGGATTAACGATCCTCAGATATTCTGTCATGACGAATCTCAGCCGCCTATTTACACTAGTAAGTACCTAATGCTAGCGTTCGAAATTGAGCCACTGTAGTTTCGGTTTTCTTCCATCTTCGAATTGAGCTTCCTACTACTAACAATGCCCGTTACGTATTTAGCGGGCGATAAAGACTTCGGTGGTCCCGGCGTGCTTATATGGAACCATGACCCGAAAAGCCACGGCGCCGCCAACGGGACCATGTTCTTCTTGTACGAGAGCAATCACGACTTCGTTCCTTACAAGTACACGGTCGTAAGCCCCCTTGAGATACCTTAAAATATCCTAAGAGCGTTTCTTCGGGCGGGGCGCTAATAAGGATGGTATACCTTCTTCTAGATCCCACCTTGGTCGTCTGTATTCGTTGCCGTATGTCCAAATTTCCGCGGGCGTATTGTGCGGGGAGACATGATGAATTTCGACAGGAAAAAACATCTGTTAGGGACATGGGCCGAGATCAACTGGCACGCCAACGGATCTGGGACGGCATGGGGAGACATCTCACTGCTTCAGGGCAATGATGGGGCCGCGGTGATCCAGTCTCTCGACGGGCTTAGCAGGGCGAAGGGGTTCACGATAGACCTCCTATCCGATGCGCCAACGAACGTGTTAGCGCAGAAGGCGACGGGTTCGTGGTGCCTCGACAAGATCATTGGGCAGGACGCGAACAACGCGACGAGAGAATGGGAGATGCAGTTTCTAGATCCGTGGAACGTGTATTTGGAAGACGACGTCGACCCCGTAATCAATTCGGACAACGGGAGGTTCCAGGTCACGTTCTACGAGGGTATCATCTAGACAAGGTGATTCTTGGCTCTTTTCCATTTCGCCCACTGTGGTTTGCGGGAATTGTGTATTTCAGGAGGCGCATCGAAAGAGACGAGGGAAAAGAATAAGTACTAGTTACATCAAATTAGGTAGGTAGTTATATTTTTATGCAAGATGGAATATTAAACCTTGAAGTTTAATTACGCGCACATGTATTTGAATGTATTTGCACTTGAAAGTTGAAGGTAGGTACATATGGCCATGTCAGCTGGTGTCAGCCGTCTCACGTAAATTTACTGTAGTGGAAGTTACACATAGCAAAAGTAAGACGTGGGAAGGAATAACTAGAGAGCATTGACCCCCAACTTCTAATAATAACCACTTAATCATGATATCAATACTTTTCTTTCTCAAGAGTCGCATCCCACAACAATCCTGACCCGCCCCCGTAATCCAATCCAATCACTTGGGATTTCCCAGCCTTACGTTTAATGCGGTTTGTGCATCGACTTGCGAAAAGTTGTTTGTGCCGAATTTCCGCCTTCTCAGTGAGAAGTTCTCACGATCCATCTTGCCAAGGCGCTTGAGCCTGAATCACTGAATCACTGAAATCACTGAATCACTGAACCATACATACAGTAGCATTACTACTGTTTTCGTACATACAGCCAAACAGCGCTCGATTCTTGGTCACCTCGTCATCCGTTCCTGTCACCTCTTCGGCGATACCAGCAGAGACCAGAAACGAAATGGGCCACTTTTGCTCGTAGTGCCAATATCCTTGGCATCGATTACCTCGTCGTCTCATCTTATAGCTGTAACTCGTCACCATGAATTGAAGTCGTGTGCCTTTTCTTCGACAAGTCGAGTGAGAGCGCATACGTACCTAGACGAAGCACCCACCTGGGCTGTTGGTGTTGGTCTTGTTCAGGATGGCATCGCCATCTCGGAAAGTCGTTGTCTTAGCTATCTGGTACGTGCGGCGCTATGTTTCTCGTCCCATTTCTTTCTCTTGTATAATTCCAATTAATCCAAACCCAAATAATTGACGCCCAGCAGTATTCTCAGCTTAAGTACCATCTTCGTCTGGTCCCGATATTATAAAAGTGCAGCCTTTGGTACGGCCCGCCGCTCTTCTTGTCTTCTTGGCTTGAGAATACCACCTCAAGCTTGCACCTTGTATATAAACGCGCATAATGTTGACTTCTATACAAACTAGAGCGACCTTTCCACTTTTCTATCTTGACCTTCCTGTTCTCTGGCCTCGCCCTCTCTGCCTATGCTAGATATATACTGCGCTTCGAGTCTAGTTACGCGCCGCTGACCGACGGAAATGCCTTATCTAAAACCTTCGCCGGGATACTGAAGTCCTCACTTCGGCTTCGCTTCCTCTCAACATCATTCGCGCTATTGCTATTCTGCCTCGTTGCCCGCACTATATTGTATTGGCGGACTATTCGTACCATCCACTGTTCGTGGGACGGACTTCAGGTTTGCGCCCAATCCTAGCCCGCAACAAGACATCTAGAATTAATCACTGATCCCTATCGACAGTCGTTCCTCCCCTTTATCCTCATAATATGCGATGTCCTCGAGCTGCGACCTCTACATCTACCGAGATATGGATATGATACGCAAGCGGGAGATTCAGGCGCTTCGGCCTTCATAAAATATGGCCTGGTTGCGCTGTTCTGGGGCTTGGCTGCTACTGATACCCTCCTCCTTTCTGAGCGCACGACTGGCGCAATATGTCCTGGCGGAACGCATATCGAGCGCTTCATACCTCTTGCTCAGCTAGTCACATTAGCCTTGGATGCTGTCTTCATATCTCAGGTTGGGAAACTCCGGCAAAGCAACGAGGCACAACCAAAGACGTGGCATTTTCTAGGCACTTTGTTTCTAAGTTCGGCGGCCGTCTTGACATTCTTGGCCGTTTGGTCATCAATTGACCGAGCCAATTTTCAATGGAATGTATTTCTCACTGGGCTCGCTGTTGGTGACCTGATTATTGATAGTATAGCTGTGGCAATAGCTATAATCTCGGCCGTCTACCTCCTTGGTTACTTTCATACCACACTAGTGAGCCTACTGCTCACAACTACTGGTATCTTCGTGTACATACAATGGAGGATCATGGACGGAACCATGATCAAGGTCTGGTCTAATTGGTGGGGTCTTGTAACGGGCGTTTGGCTGTTTCTCGGGACAGGCATTTTGTTCCGGTTTAGCAAAGCCGTCAATTTTCAACTACAGTCAACCGGTGAGGGTGTTATCTCTAGGAATCGATATGGCCTTTTCGCCCTCTTAGCCTTTTCTCTTGTCTTCTGCCAGACAGTTTTCATGAGCCCCGGCGGGTTCCGACCTACCCCTGGCCCTATCATTGCCAATGCCAGAAGCGAGTCGGATATTTGGATAGCTGGGGCTAGGAAGAGCAAGTCGCTAAAAGAGGCTGCCTTAGAGTATAGAGAGCGCTATGGTATGCCGCCTCCCCCCGGCTTCGACAAGTGGTACATGTTTGCAACTTCGGTCAAATCTCCAGTAATCGATACCTTTGACCAGATTCACACTGACCTCCTCCCCTTCTGGGGCACTGTACCGTCTATCCTTCGTCAGAGGACAACTCACCTACTCGAGCACCCGTCACTTTCTATGGGAGGCATTATCATTGAGGGCGGCAAAATTGAAATATCACCGCACATCCGCGGTACCCATCGATGGATGATGGATGTTACTAAGGATATGCTCGAACCCTTTGCACAATGGCTCCCAAATATGCAGCTTGCCTTCAATCTCGATGACGAGTGCCGCATATCCGTCCCCCTCGACCGTATGAAAGCATATATAGAAGAAGGAGTTAAGGCCAGGGCGAGGCTGAGCGCAAAACAGAAGGTATTGCCATTCAGCAAGGACCAGGAACCGCCCTGGTCGAAAGATTACTTGCAGGCAGACGAGAGTATCTGGGAGGAGAAATCACCGTGGTTCGTGGATAGATCCAAGCGACAGATCTTTTACGAATGGATTTCACCAACGTGTCCTGCAGACTCTCCGGTGAATAAGTATCGTTGGTGGAATAGAAAAGCAGAATGTCTAAGCTGCTCTGCTCCGCACATGAAGCATGGTTTCGTATCCAATTGGACGTTGTCTGGTGACTTGTGCCATCAGCCCGACCTTGCGTATCTGCATGGTATCCTGCTATCGCCGTCTGCTATGGCACCTTCGCATACGCTATTCCCCGTCTTCAGCCAGAGCCGGTTGTATAACTTTGCCGATATATTATACCCGAGCCCGTGGAACTTCGGCGAGAAGGTCGAGATCGAGAACAATAAAAGCATACCCTGGAACCAGAAGCTGAACAGCGTGTACTGGCGTGGCGCCTCATCTGATGGCTTTGCCATGCATGGTGCATGGCAGACGTTTTTGCGGGCCAGGTTCGTCCAGATGGCTACCAAAGCAAAAATATCCATCCCGGCGAAGTCTCTCTTCAACCTAATTCATACCCCAAGACATATCCTTTCCACTCTACGCTCTACCATCTCATCATCCCCCCCTTCCTCTCAAAACGCACCCGCCGCGGATAATCAGCTTACTGTCAATGTCTCATTCGTTGGCAACTTTAATCGCTGCGACGAGCGCGACTGTAATGCCGAGCATATCACCTTCTATGGCTCATCCACGGCTGAGCCGCCGCCCTCTCTCGACTTCCAGGAGCACTGGCGTCATCGCCATCTCATCGACCTCGACGGTGCTGCCTTCAGTGGCCGCTTCCTGCCGTTCCTCAAATCTGCTTCTCTACCGTATCGTGCAGCCCTCTTCCGCACTTGGTGGGAGGAACGTGCCCACGCTTGGAGACACTTCGTACCATTAGACGTGCGACTTGGCGATCTCTGGGGCGCCGTGAGCTACTTAGGCGGTCCCGGTCTAGCTGACGCCGACGAAATCGCGCAGGCGGGGCGGGACTGGGCGCTCCAGTCCCTTCGGAAGGAAGACATGCAGGTTTACATGTTTCGATTACTGCTTGAGTGGGGACGCCTGGTAGATGATCGCAGGGAGGATCTTGGATTTGCTCTCTGAGCGAATAGGGGAAGTAACAGGAAAGGAAAAGTTGGCTATGGATAATAATACGGAGACTGTACACATAAACGGATGGACTGGGTCGCTGGTGTTTACTGCTTGCCGCTTCTTGGATGTATGATTTTACGCTTGATACCACAACATGGTCGGATGGCTAGAGGAATGTATAGGTACCTACATAACTAATATATGATATCGCACGATTAATAGCCAGGAATATTTCCAGTTCCATTTGCAATTTTCATAGTATTGAAGAATTAATACCTGTTAATCAAGACAGAAGAAATCTTGCATAAAGGATTTAAATCGGAAATATCCTAGGTTAGAAGGCCCTGCAGGAATATGGATAAATAAATTGTTCGTCAAATTAATTAGGCTAGCTCCCGTCTCTGGGCAGAATAACGAGGCTATCTATATATATATCTGAGAATATAAAGATAAAAGGGGGGGAGAGGGAAGAAGAGAAATATATGTGACGGATGTAGGTGGAAAACTAGCAATTAACTCCCTCTTCCCAAGCCTATTTATCGCCTTCAAGAGTCTATATTTCCTTTCCCATTTCGTGATTAATTCGTTCCAAGAGGTTTTTTCTGCGAGCCCATCTGCACTAGATCGAGCCGCCTTCAAGGTTTTTTTTTTTCACTCCTCTTATGTGCTCCATGCTCGCCTTTTCACCGAAGGACAGGTTAACAAGACATAAGGAATGGATCGTGGCAAAGCTATCCTGACATCTCTTGTCAAGTCCAAAATATACACAATAGATTTGCTCAATATCAATACGCCTTGTAGTATGTAGACAATAATGTGACGGCTAGGATAATGCGAGCAGGGAGACAGATGGAGAATGATTTAAGAACACTCTGCTCTAAAACTCGTTTAGGACTTTCCGGCGTCTCGAATTTTGGCCATCCACGAATCAACTCTCTCCTGCTGGTCCGGTCTGCTTCTAGTCTCAAAGACCTTCCGGATTTCCGCAGTAGTTTTAGCACTGAGTAGAGATGCCTCTGTATCCAACAGCAAGGCGACGGCCGCACGGACTAGGACCGCGTCTCCTTCAAAGACGTACACGTCCCATATCCGAGTGCATTCGTCAAGACTAAAGCTGCGCGTAAAGCAAGACGTAAATATGTCACCTAGATAACTATCGGGCTCGAGGCCAAGCTCTTGGTTGGTGAGATGTTCGTGGAGTCGCGGCGATTTCGTAGCTAGAGTCTGAAGAAGCAGGTTGAATGTAGACGTCTTGGCTCCTACGTCAGAAGCGTAAAAAGATAAGGGAAGAGGACGGTTCAGAACATTGGCTAGGGCGATAAAAGCCGCAGCAGGCGTAGGAAGGTTGAGCAAGAGTATTGCCGCAGTGGTCTAATTAGCAACATTAGTACATAGATATTTAAAATAAGGCCAAAAGAAAGGATGTAACACCATAGGACTCACATTACAACCGGATACGTAACCGATATCGCTCCGGTACATAGCGTACGCGCGAAGGACATCGATGAGACTCTTGTGTAAGGGAGCACCGGCTTGAAAGATCTTCAGGTCAACCCAAGTCTGCTCCTCCACATCCGCTTGAATTTGCGCAAACCAGCCCATCTTGCGTTCATCCTCAGTTTCGGGCTTTCCTTTTGCAGAGCGCTCCTCAACCTCGCGCGCCCTTGCTAAGGCTGCCTGGAACGACGTCTCGGTTAACTCCAGCTGATTTCCTATAGCGCGAGACCACACAGCACCTCGACTTCGGGGTGCTACGCCTTTCCACCACAACTCCCGAGTTCGTCGCTCGCGAATAGCAACGTCCCATCTTTTCAAGACGTCATCTTCCCACACTTGCATGAGTGCCTTGGCAACATTGTCCTTGTTACGTTCCTTCTCCTTCCTTGCAGCCTCTCGCTTCTTGTCCGCCTCGATACTATTTACCATCATCCTCTGATATTCTCTGAGGTGTTTCTTCTCTTCTGCAGGATCCTTTGGCGGTAGCCAAGACGGTCTTGTTCGCGAGAGAACTGCCTCCTTCTCCTTAGAGATGGGTAGAGGGTCAATCATAATATTAGTCCGCCTGAGAGGAGGCAGTTCGGCAAGCGCTGATTTCACCCGCGGTTTTGGCGCCGGACGGACATACGTCGAATTGCAAACGCCATGCTTATCAAGCTCATCTGCATGCTCTTCCAATTTCTCGGTGAGGGCCTTCGCTTCAGGGCTAAGTTCCGAAATAGCAGCAGTCCAGCTCTTGGCACGACCCTTGGCCGACGAAGACACCGACGATCGTAGCGAATCCGTGGACGGCGAAGAGTCCATTCTCCATGTCGGAGATTTTAGACAGCCTTGATGGACCGCAACCGGCGGCGTGCCATTGCCCACGCTACGAATACGTTCTTTTGTTCGTCTTTCAGGAGAGTTTGAAGTCGACCCTGGACGGCTAGCCGACCGCTCCATAGGGGGACGAGGCGATAGAGGGACATTATCGAGTATAAGATCGTCGGGAATATCATCGTCGTCGTCGTCGCATTCTTTTTCTAAATCAATTGCCGACTTTGGTGCCCGGCCCGTCTGCGAACTGCTCCGTCGTAGCTTGGGCACTACTAGATTATTTTCTCCAGGGCTAAGTGATCGGGCTGAAACATTGGAGCTAGGGCTTCGTCGGCGACGGGGTATGGTCATGGAGGAAGCAGATCGTACCGATAGACCTCGCGCTGGTAATGGGCCTGCTTGGGGTTCGGGACCAATGCCTGTGCTAACATTACGGGTACTAGTATCGCGAAACTGCGGGGTCAGTGTTGAGGCTCCGGGACGAGAACCTGAAAAGGACTGAATGGTGCGCAATTGCGGTCGCGGGCGAGCTAGATCACGAGTCTGAGGATGGATCTTGGGGCCGACATGCTTCACAGAGGCACGAAGGTCGGAGGCAAAGGAGATGCTATAAGGATTCGGAGCCGACTTGGCGTGAGTGTCGCGGAAATGGGAATGGTCAATTGAGGTGACATCGTCATCGAGGCCGATCTCCTCGAAATTAGCAACGTCTGCAGTAAGGCCGTTTTCGCCATCGTCCGAGTTAAATGATCGTACAGACGAGGCCCTGGAAGTAATAGCGGACGAAGTCATGCCGGGCGGTGATCCAGGACTCGGAAGTGCGAGGTCAACCCCGTCTAAGTGTCCTCCACCGTAGGTCATGATCGCATGATCGAGCATCGAGTAGTCGGCTCAGAATAAAATAGCGCGGAAGAGGTAGTCGATTAAATTATTGTTTTTAACGGTGCCCAAGCGTATGTACACAAAGCGATTGTGTATGCGTCACCGATGTTTGGATACAGAAACGAAGCCGAAGCGGTTTGTCCTCGGTACTCGAGGCGGATGATCCGGGTATTTTGTCGATTTGTTACTTTGAGGTCCGTCCGACTTCTAGATAGCGACTCCGAACGAAGGAATCGGAGGCCAGCAGGGTAGACAGGAATAGTAACAGTAGAGACGGAAACTCGAGTTGCCTTGATCGCGTAAGGCGTGTGCAGGGACGAAGTATGATAGTATATCGTGTTTCGAAAAATCCCAAATTCGTTAACTAAATTCGCTGTAAAGGGAAGGCCCCCTGATCTGCAGCGACACTGTTATGGTAGAGGTGAGATGCGGCTTGTCAATTGTCTCACGATCCTAGCAAGGATGAACCCCTAGATGGCGGCACGGTGTGTCGGATATCGGATGATTATAAAGATTTATAGATTATCGATGTTGCTCCCGTTTGTAGGAGACGAGTATTTATAAATGAATATAATACCGTATTATTTCGATTCGAGGAAAACGAGTGTTAGTGGTGATGGCCGAATATAATCACCAAAGAGAAAGGTTAGGTAATTATGTCCGGAGTTTATGTGCAATAGTACTTTCGACGTTCCAGTGCTGGTCAATTAGACTTGTCCGAGAAACATTACAATTCAGCAGAGAAGTCCATATGTGCAGAAGCCCTTAGGTATGTGTAATTAATATCCTCAGTAAGGGTTAAGGCTATAGTGCTACTATGCCAGCGCTGACACGGGGTGTTTGGCTCGGGATGCTCGCAGGCGGTGCGGTGCAAACGAATGATGAAATCGAATATATAGAAATGAGCGAATACATGTAATGATTTGTTGTTTGAATGAGTGGACGAATATCAAGGAATCTCTTCCGATATCCTAAATAAGAACAACACGATGTGGCTTCCCCGGGAATAATGAGCGGATCCTCCTAATGCGGTAGGAAAAGAAGTAACAAAGTTGGAACTTGGAAGAAGAAAGGGAAAGTTGTAAGTTCAAGATGATGATGCTGTGGTGGTTGCGAGATAGTAAAGATAGCGCATTGCAACCTGGGAAGCTAGTAGCTTTGGCGCCTTCTGCCAGCTAGGAGGGAGCCTAGGAAAGCGCCGAACACTTCCAATTTGCTACCTACTTAACGCCCCCTCTCCACCACTAAAAGCTTTGCTTGCCCCTTATGAGCCCCCCCGGCGCTACGAACAAATTTTTGCCGGTGCGAGAGTACTGGAAGGAGAAAAGAAAGGGGTCCGTTTATAAGCGGTAATCAAGAAGTCAACCAATGAAACTTGGCCATCAACAAGCCTTGTACCTGCTAGTTGATAAAGCTAGCATCCCATTGGCTTAATCGAGAGTGGAAGTTTCTGAAACTTGCAGGTATCATCTGTGTACCCCCTAATAATTCTTCGCATACACCGCTCCTTTAGGTGCATTTTCTGTGTGCCTTGATCTTACAGCTGGAGGGTACATGTACATAAGGTACCTGATATCGCAACCGCAACTCGACAGTTACAGCTATCTTCAAAACGACGGTGCGGAACCTAGAATGGATTGAAGGCTTGACGCAATTATTTTTAATTGATAATCCGTACTATCAACTGCTTTGCTTCATTCGTACAACAAACGCATCTTATTCATCGTCTATTTTGGCTTGCCTTAGGTACACAACACCTACATCTATGTAGGTAAATGAGGCAAACATGGATAATGGATCAATGTTATGCTTATGTCTTTGAGCTATCGCATGCAGGTACAGCTCCAGCTAAGCCACTTGAAAGAGCCTGTTGGCGTTTCATCACTTCCATCGGGTCTACATACCTATAGGTACCGCATCTGCTCATCCCCACAATCAAGCCTCATTCATTAACTTTGAAAGCTCTGACCAGTCGTGAACGCTTCTAGAACTTGGGAGTATTACAAAGTACCTACATGTAAACAATGGAGCAAATTGCAAAACATTCCTCCGGAAACGAATATAGGAGAAGTTCCCATCTCTCGTGCCCATGCGTGCCGAAGAAAGCATAAAACTTGATGGATGGGTTTCAACTCATGCGCCCCCGTACGTACCAGCATCCAAGCATCCCTTCCGATATACTATGATATGCAGACTCCGCAAAAAAAGGAGGATTCCACGTGCTTCAATCATACATATCTCCTAAATCAACGTCTCGTCCCGGTCGATCACAACCCCGCGTTAGAGAACAGTCAATGCTTACAGCTCAAGTTAGATACATACAAAATAGGAAGTACCCTGCATCCTCACAAATAGCAACGGCATATGATGGTCAAAAATAAGACTCATCAAGCCCTCCTTCTAGATGTATCAGCCATCGTAGACGCTGTATTTATGCTAGCTGCAAGTTTCATTATATGCCCTTACACAGAACGCCGCTGATTGCCAGTCCTTTTTTATCACCCGCCACGGCCCAAGTCCATTTAGGGGACAATCTCCTCGCTCTCCTCAAGTACCTCTTCCACGATCTCCTCGATCACCTGCTCCTCTCCGCTCTCCGCTGACTTGGCTTCGGCTTCCACCGGGTGCTTCGGCAATCCTCGGGCAATCCTCTCCTCTTCAATCTCAGCGTCAACCGACGCACGCCATCCAAGCCATTCGTCAAGCAGGCGTCTTCTGGCTTCCACCACCGCCAAGTCAGCAGACGCTCCGCGTTCCGCATCTTCCTGCTCGAAGATCTTAGAGTATTCCCGGAGGTTCTTGCGGATCTGCTTCTGCTCGTCCTTGCTAAGCAGAGTCGGCGGCCTAGGACGCCATAACCATTGGCGAAACTTTTCAACAGGTTCTTCCCGTAGTAGCTCGCCCTTAAAATCGTAGAGGTGATATCCGTTCTCCATCTATTCCTAATCGTTAGTACTAAAGTTGACCTCGTAAAAGAATATATTAAACATACCGTATGCTTCCAAACAGATGCCCAAGTAGCGACAAAGCGTCCTGAGGGGTCCCATTGGATGTCGGTGACACCGTAGTGGTCTGCCATGTTCATGAGCTGTAGGTTAGCGGTAAGATCTTTATCACTTTCCGGCTTCTCGCCTTCAAAGTCCAAGTCGAAAAATTCAAGGTCTGAACTCTGTTGGTTGGCAACTGTGGCGACAACTACAAAGCGGCCCTTAGGAGACCAATAAATTGCATTGCTATTCTTTTTCTCAAGAGTCCGCAGATGCTTAAAGTTGCCTATGGCCGACCCCTTGGCCTTCTCGGGACAGAAGAATGCCACCGAAGTTTTAGGAGCTACGGCGGTTGGCCCAACCGGCTCCGGCGTCGTGATGATGACAAAACGGTCTCCCTTGGGCTCCCAGGCGAAGTTAATGACCGTGTCCTTGATTGTGTCGACAACTTCGACCGGCACACCCTTTTCTTTGACACGGAAGATCTCCAGAGTAGTGGCCTGCGACTTCTTAGATTTCGAATGTCGGTCAACCTTCACTGAGAGATAGGTAGCATCCGATTGCCAGTGGAGCTTAGCATCCGTAACGCTGAAAAGATTCAGCGATCGAACGATCTGCTTCGAAGGTACGCTCATCAGTCCGACCTTGGCAGGGTTGCTACCAATCTCCGGCGTCCAAAAGCAAAACAGCTGTTCATATTGCTTCACACCCTCTCTCTGGGGTGTGGCAGGGGCCCATTCAAAATCCATAACACCTTCAATCTTAATCGTCGTCTTGTCCAACAAATTCATGCGAGGCAGCTCGTACACCGAGATCGAAGAGCCTTGGGTCATTCGTGCCACGTATTTGTCGTCAGCGGACCACTTGAAAGCTGGCCAGGGGAATTTAGGTGGTGGCTTTGCCGACGCAGCATCATTGGTAGTAGGTATGTCGAGATTAGCAAACGACCGAAGGGGTTTAGAAGTTTCGACATCCCATATGACATAATTCTTGCCGTCCTCGTCTAATGATAGTTGGGGATGACCTTCATCAGGTATCGAAATAGGTCTATTCGACCATGTGACAATATATTTCTCGTTCGGAGAGAAATCGAGCATGTTGACAAAGGGATGCGCAAACCGCTTTTGCCGGGACCACGAAGCGCCACCCCACAGTTGTACACCCTGCTGGTGAACAGATACCAGGAACGTTCCCAGGGGCGACCACTGTACGAAGCTCTCCGTCCAGTGCTGCCTGTCGACAATGTTTTCAGGGGCCTCCCTCTCGTTATTCCAGAATATACCGACAACATCACCTCGGTACATGGCAAACTGATCGCGACCGCGACCGCTCGGGTCAGCTAAGAACGATCGCAAGTGCTCCTTCTCGGTGAACTCTTCGATCTTAGGAGGCACGTAATTCTCGTCCACTCGTCCCTCGCGGCCATACCGATCGATGTCAGACATCTTGTTGACCCTCAGGGTGTGCTTCTTGTCGAGGGGAACCTCGTCGAGCTGCCTCACGGCGGCGGCGGCTTCGGCGGCGGAAGCATATTCGACAAAGGCAAATCTACAAGCATGTCAATAATCGGGCTCCCATCCTCAGCAGCAGCCCAACGGCTGCTAGTTCTCGGTCTATTTCGCGAAGCGTTTTGCGAAGAGTGCGATGTGAGATAATATGGTCGCGTACCTGAGAGACTTGCCGTCCTCCATCGGCATGTAGACCTGGTCCTCTTTCGTCTTTCCAACCTGGTTCAGCTTCTTCAGTAAGAATTTTACCAGCTTGGGCTTTTGCTCTTCGGTGACCTCCGGCAGACCATCGATGACAATGAAGGTATCGTAGCCTTGCTCTAGTTGGACCTCGTACTTCTCGCGCAAGTCGGAGATGTCGATCTCATCCTCATCGTAGTCATCCTCGTCGACGTCCGCATCGCGCAGATGATCAAATGACGGCGCCATATTGGTGTCGTATATTGCGTTTTAGGTCAACGTATGTGTATACCTTCGAAGAGGTGTTGGTCGGCCCGTGTGGGGTTGCTGGGTGAGAAAAACTGCCCCGCCTTCAAAGTCAAGAAGATGACGGTAGACGAAAAGGCGAAATTCTGGATCGCGGTAGGATAGAGAAATAGGAAGCCTAGGAACTATAGTATTGATCCTTTAGCCCCTTAGTAATTGTGAAAGGCGGTATCGTGGTCGGATCCGGCACGGTACTTGAGTATCGGCTTAGATATTTTATTGGAAGGGAAAAGGGGAAAAGTTGAAATAGGTATTTTCTTGGGTTTTCGCGGCCAATATTTTTTGCAGGTGATTTTTTGAACGTTCCTAAGGTAAAAAAGCCCCAATTGTGTGTGTCCCCACTCTACCCACCAACTTCTTGTTATCCGCTTATATCTTATCGCTTTATCAACAGGCTGCGAGGCAAACCCCACCTTTAGCGCGAAGGAAGGTTGTTCTTGAGTTGAGTTTATGGTTCCGGCCGTACATTTTCTCCTTTTTCCGACCTGTCCGGCGAAAAAAGTCTAGGTGCAGCCCGCATTTACATCTGAAGCTCTTGCCAGGCCCGCCATAAGGTAGCAGACTTACAAGATACATATCTCGAGCTTTGCGGAAAAGCACACCGCAACACAGCAATAACCCCTGATAGAATCACTTATAACTATTCTCTCTACAGTGTTGAAGATGGTATGTACTGCTACTCGTATTATTTTTGGCCTTTTCCCGCTAACACGGCGTCTCTTCCCTAGTCGTCTTTTAGTCCCACCCAAATCTTTGAAGAGGGTACAACTGAGGAGAAGGGAGAGAATGCTCGTCTAGCCGCCTTCGTCGGCGCCATTGCCGTTGGTGACCTGGTAAAGAGTACCCTGGGTCCAAAGGGAATGGACAAGATATTACAATCAGCGTACGTCCAGATCAAACAGTTATTCCCCCCCTTCGACCTATTTTCCTTGACTGACCTTGCCAAGATCTACGGCCGAAATCATGGTCACCAATGATGGCGCCACGATCCTAAAATCCATAGCACTCGACAACGCAGCAGCAAAGGTCCTCGTCAACATATCAAAAGTCCAAGACGACGAAGTCGGTGATGGCACGACCTCGGTAGCCGTGTTGGCTGCCGAGCTTCTGCGTGAAGCTGAGAAGCTTGTCGACAAAAAGATTCACCCCCAGACGATCATCGAAGGCTATCGCATAGCAAGTCAGGCGGCTCTACAGGCGCTAGAGGGCTCGGCGGTAGACCACAGCAAGAATCCCGAGGCCTTCAAGAAGGACCTACTCGCTATTGCAAGAACAACCCTCAGTTCTAAGGTGCTCGCCCAAGATAGAGATCTCTTCTCCAAGCTGGCCGTTGAAGCGGTGTTGCGGCTTAAGGGTTCTTCGGACCTCAGCCATATCCAGATCATCAAAAAGGCCGGAGGCAAGCTAAGCGACTCGTACCTAGACGAAGGGTTCATCCTTGACAAAAAGATCGGCGTGAATCAGCCTAAAAGGCTAGAGAATGCGAAGATACTGGTCGCCAATACGTCTATGGACACAGACAAGGTCAAAATATTCGGCGCGCGTATGAAGGTCAGTTCAACCGGCAAGCTGGCCGAGCTCGAGAAAGCCGAAAAAGACAAGATGAAAGCGAAGGTAGACAGGATCAAGGCACACGGTATCAACTGTTTCATCAATAGACAGTTGATATACAACTGGCCAGAGCAGCTCTTTACCGACGCTGGTATTATGTCCATCGAGCACGCTGACTTCGACGGCATCGAACGCTTAGCTCTAGTTACCGGTGGTGAGATCACATCGACATTCGACCACCCGGAGCAGGTGAAACTAGGGCACTGCGACCTAATCGAAGAGATCATTATCGGAGAAGACACTCTTATAAAGTTTTCTGGTGTGGCCGCAGGTCAAGCTTGCACCATCGTCCTTCGGGGTGCTACGGAACAGTTGCTAGATGAGGCAGAGCGTTCACTACACGATGCTTTGGCCGTCCTCTCTCAAACTGTCAGGGAGCCGAGGACCACGCTGGGCGGTGGGTGCGCCGAGATGCTTATGGCTAAGGCGGTGGAAGGCGCCGCGACCCGGGTTGAGGGTAAAAAGCAAATGGCTGTATCTTCGTTCGCCATAGCTTTACGGCAGCTCCCCACGATCCTTGCCGACAACGCAGGACTAGACTCTAGTGACCTTGTCGCAAGATTACGAAAAGCCATATATGACGGTATGTCAACGTATGGCCTAGATCTAACGACGCCCGGCGGTGGAATAGCAGATATGCGAGATCTTGGAGTGATCGAGAGTTACAAGTTGAAGAAAGCAGTTGTATCATCGGCAAGTGAAGCCGCAGAGGTAAGTCACTTTCCATGCGTATTCGTCTTCGGTGTAACCTAAATGCTAATATTTTTCTAGCTACTTCTAAGAGTGGATGATATAATTCGCGCGGCGCCACGGAGAAGGGAAAGGCATTAAATGGATGGCACGCGCGTATAAGGATGTAAAAGTATCATAGGCCATGCTATAGACTATGCAAATACCCATCATAATGAGATACAGCATAGTGCTCCGGACCAATGATTTAATAATTAAAAACCAAGACTTCATTACGTATAGGAACCACGAAGTTCTAGATGTAGATGTTGTAGCTATCGTCGAAATAAGTTCCAAGAGACATACTTGTGTTGCAGGTGCGAGTTGGAGTGATTACCGTCGTATCACTCTTCTAAGGTTAGTACATATTGAACGACGCTCTCAGTAAACACCTGCCCGGCTTTAGCCAGCCCCTATTCGGCTCCTTATTCACTAGCTACTGACCAGACCATCGACTTTTATTCATTCTCGCCAACTTTAACGAATCGACGCATATTCTAACTTTCAATTTACAGCTTTACAGCCTGGAATGGATTACGATGCTGAGAAGTGGATATTATGGTAACTTTTTAAGTTATACCACCTTGGGTACCTACCTATGTCTGGTTTTCAATATCTCGCGATGCTTAAGTTACAGACCCGAATCATTCATGGCTATGCCTTAGGTCATTGCTCCACTACATCAACAGAAAGCATTCTCCTAATTCATCTAAATGACGAAGATACAATTTCGTTGACGGCCATACGGCATGATATTCCCGCAAACTGAACTCAATAGATTATCATGGTATAAAGTATCGAGTCCGTACGTTTAAAAGGTGTATACCTATTCATCATTTCACATAAGGGTATAGGCTTCTAAGTGTTCCCATCTTGGCTCAAGTATTGTACTTTTGCATGTGCGACATTGCACAATTTAAGCGAGGGCTACATACGGGTAATACATCAAGACGATTGCTTTTTCCAGTTCTCTTCAACAACCGCACGGTGTAACATTTAAGCACTTACGAGGTACTGAGGGAGTGATTATAAAAAGCATCTTATAAAGCAAGGCCTTATGCAGTTTCCCCCATGCTACGGAATACCATATAAAAAATGCTCGCCTGAGCTGTGGTCGAAAGAGACACCATACGGTTATGAATATTTCTTTTTTTTAAATTCTTCCACGTAGCCTACATAATGCCCTTGCAGCTTCAGCCATATTACGCTTAGGCGTTAAAGATATCACATATGAGCTATCATTTTAGATAAATATCATGGAGTTAGTCATTTCGCACTGTTACAACTATTCAGGCTACATGGCGAGGGAACAACCCATGCCATACGGTGTACATAGACTCTCCCACACACCCATGAAAGATCATCATCATCACTTAGGTACACAGTGGTACCGGGAGTGTGGAAGCTGGAACACAACCCCATACGTACAGTCCCACATATAACCGAATTCCAACAAAGTTCCATGATACCTTCTATACTTGAATATATCGTTGGCCACCAACTGGAATTCGAAGCCTAACATACTCAAGACTGATTTGTCTCTTTCTAGCTCCGTTAATGCATCTATGTAAAGAAACGAACGTGAGACTGGCTTTAAGGGCATTGCAAGAGGGCGCATTGATATTTGGGGCTATGTTGACAGACAAGTGTCACTTGCCTTGATAACTTGTTGGTTTACTAAAGAATCAACCGTACTCGAATCTCACCCTTCATTGGACCCTTTTAGAATAAATGAACACTCCCAGTAGTTATATTGCCATATTATCTTTAATTTACTGATTAAACTTAACTTCCATATAAAAGATTTAACACATATAAGAGATTTAACAATTAAGCGAGAATTAAAACTTATAAATAATGATGAAATAGTAAATTCCAGCAATCATTACCTTAATCCACATCGAGTTGGCATCGAGCATATCTTCAATGCATAAAACTTAAGTCTTTATATTTGAGGTACGACTTAATCTTTATATGTCGCCAATTTTAGTCTGCTCATATCTTCGTGGTTTTCTAGTTTCGATGTTACTTCATGTTACATTCGGCCCCCATATTCACCTCTGTAAACACGGGCAGCACTTTTCTTTTATTTCCAACTGCGAGCTAGCATTCGATAATTATCAAGGCCTTCGTAGTCTGCCTGTTACGGGGATATTCCCCAACCTAGTAAAGACTTACTTCGAGGGCTAATATGTTCGCTACCATATCTTATAAGTCTATCCTCCACGAGCTTGTTATTAACTACCAAGTCGGTCAAGTAAATTTAACTAGTAATTACACCGTATATTTCCGTTTTGGTGGCGAGTAACGTAAATGCAGTCTGGAAATGTGCCGTTCATGAATCTGCCCCCGTCAATCTGCGAAAGTGAGCCATGGCCAGTTTTCACTTATCGCTGCTACCCGGGAGCCCCGGTTAAGGGATAGAAATGATTGTTACGCCCAGACACTCAAGTCTATGACTTACGGACATGTATGCCCTTGCTAATAAACTTGTACATCTACAATGCATGTTGTATACATGTAATCCAAGCGTCTTTTATCGCATATTCCCAGTTTCAGCCAATCTCGTCTCCAATACTTCAGTCACTTTTCACAATAAGTGTACCGTCATCGAGCTATTCAAACCTTGCACGAAGGAAATGAAATTTGTCAGAGCTGCTACCCGGGAAACTAGGCTGACTGGATGAGCATCACAGTTTGCTTTTCATCATGATGTACACCCTCGTACCGCATCCCTGACTATTGATATCTCGACTGCAAGCGATAAAATCCGAAAAACTAGGATCAAGCATTTAGCACACCTTCAGATTTAGCAAATGGTACGCAATGGTTTTAATCAATGATAGAAATCTCATCCTTCCTGCACTGATGTTTTCCTCTGGATACCTAGATTTTTCGTTGTCGGGATTTTCCAACGGAACTTTGTAAAACGAACACGAAGGATATTCACAATATTTTGATCAATAGCCTAAAGTTAAGCTACCTATTCATTCGTATATAACAGCCATCTTGGGCCAGGAATACGCAAATTAAATACCAGGGCTTTGTATATTTTACTATCCTTAAAGTACTTCAGCAGTCGATTCCGTGCGTACAAGTTATTAGAAAAGGCTGCCGGGCCCTTAGATCCTATGAGAGCGTATGAATAGCTGTCTACGACAACTGGTAGGACCCTCCTCGTCAACTTATAATCTAAAGTGTAACTTGCTGACATGCTAGTGTAGCGTGTAGACAAATCTCTCGGGGCTACATAACCATTTTCGAACTTCAAGATAGCACCTCCTCACAGCCCTCCTCAAGCCCCCATTACACGCCGAACAATGGCTGGGTCCGAGGTATCTGGTAGCTCCAAGCAACTCTTACTGATTGAGAAGACAAAACTCCTCAAGATCAGCCATAAACATAGGTCAAGGCTTCTTCATTGCCCAACTACGGGGAAGGACCCTGAGAAAGAATTCTGGATGTCAATAATGGAAGAGTTTTCTACCACCGTCCGTGCGGGCGTATTCAATAAATACGCTCAAGTGAAGAAAGCCATCAATACGATCTGCAAGAATCGACGCAAACAAACAAAAGGCACCACGCCACCGCAGAGACGGTCTCGGATGGTTCACGGTGACAAGTGGATCGACAGATGGGTGCGGGTTTGGAGGTGTCGTGATCTGATAACCAGAACCGCCAAGGCTGATCAAGTAATACGCGAAGCGATGGGAGAGAAGAAGCTTAAGAAGATGTTTCGCGATAGAATAGCCGGTACCGAACTACCCCAAGAGATTGGTGAGCTGACCTTGTCGGCTCCGATTTGGAAAGGCATTCAGAAGGAGATTCGCGATATAGAACGATCTTCGAGAGGCCCTCACCTTTCTTTATATTCTAGCGAGGACGAGTCGGATTTCGTAGACGATGACGGGGAAGAGAATGATGCAGTTGTCGGTTTAGAGGCTAAAGAAACACTACTACAGTCGATTGAGGTGGATGTCCAAAGTGTTGTACCTTCGACGTCAGAAGATCTGCCATCAGCACAACCTAATCAGAGAGTTTCAGGGGGAGTCAACTCTCCAGATCTTTCTCCAGTTACACAGGAAAGGCTTGAGGAGCTGGAAAAAGGATTCATCAACGTACTTAAAGCGAATAGGACTACGACAGGCGAGAAGATGTCCGTCCTCGGATTAGCTCAGCGAAGTTCTAACCAGCAGGGGACATCTTCATCAGGAGCATCCCCGCACCTACAAGAGGCTCTTGTTCGTAGACCTCCGAAGCTACCATTAAAGAGTAAGTAAAGAGACCTTCAATTGTATATGCAACATAACATTTTAATAAAGCCCAAGACAAGGAAAACGATTATTCAACCACTACTCTTGCTGTCAAGACACCGAGATCCGAGCAAAGACGAAGTAGTAACGATGATACTTGCAATAGTATTAATCCAAGTTCTGCCCCGTCACGACATCTTAAACCCAGTACTTATTCTGCAGGCGAGAGCGTTCTGGTCGGTTGGCACGCTCGTCAGATACCTCTAACAGGTATGAACGTCACAGCCGAGCAAGACTTCCGACAGACAGTATTTGCGACAATAAGCGCTGCTGGCATAATCAACTTCCGGCTGCGCAGCCAAAATATACAAGGGCGAACAGTGCCATCAAATTTCCGCCTCGGGAAGACTGTTTCCGTCTCTCGTAAAGATGTTATATACCACCCTGCGTTTGATGGTATGTCCTACGAAGAAGTACGGCTGGAGGTAGCTCGTCAGAGCCTTCTTAGTGTTGATCAGCGCACCGTCAACCGCGAGGTACCGACGCCAATAACTGAAAGCACAGGTGCTACTGGCCCTAGGCCGAGTTCTGGGTTGGCAAGCTTGAGAAATAAGTTACTTGGAGACATGAATGCAACCCTTGGTGCCGGTCGGGATAGAGCAAAGGCTAGTATGGAGACAATAGAACCAAACGATGTGGCAGTTTCAACGTTGCAAGACAGTAGCAAAGACACTATGGCTAGCCAGCACGAAGTAAGAGAAGAAAGACCAGAAACGTCTGCGCATATCCTCGCGAGGGAAGATGAGCGAAGTCTTATGCCGCTCATGGCCAATAAAGAGAAATCTTCTGTAAGGCACTCTCAAGAGAATGCAATAGGCTAGCTTGACCAGCTAACACTCAAGTTTTAGGGGTCGACCTCAAAGAAGACCGGCACGCCGAAAGCATTAAGAAAGTTCCTCGCAGATGAGGCCAAGAAGTGGCAGAAGCCTTTGGCACCAGTGAAAATCCCACACACCAGTACACCACCGAGAAAACCTAGTCCCAAATCGAAGAAACCTTCTAGGTGCAACAGGATCACACCATGGAGATTTTACGGCACGAAGCCCCCTGAGCGTGTTCCTGCCGCGGAAGAACATGAACCAAACCAGAAGCAGAGTTCCGAATATCGGCTACCAATATTCTCTCAAAGTTCAACCGGCCTCTTTGGGCGACCCCAGGACAAGCCCAGAGATCGACGGACCGCCGGGTCTTGCTACGGCGGTGGTGTGGCATCGTGTGACACAATGTCGTCCAAGTTTAGCTCTCCGACAGTTGCTCGTCAACATAGGTACGATAGTTCTGACGACGAGAGCTTCCCTGACGTAGAAGAACTATATAGAAGGAGGCTTGCGAACAAAACTGAGCCTTCTAGCGACGCATCTACTTCTGAAGAGCTCCATATACTTCAAACTCCTGTTGACGTTGGAGTCACGCATAAAGATGATGCTTCGCAAGTATATCTAGACCCTCAAATTTCCGATCATGCTCAAGCACAAACAGAGATACATGCATGCCACTCGGAGGATCTTACTGGACCGAAAGGGGTTTCAAATGAAGATACTCAAAAGATACAGGCCAAGGGGGTTACTAATGTGCTATCCAGCTCGAAATCAAAGAAGCGTTCGAGACATAGGTCCAAGTCCAAGTCTAAGTCTAGATCTGATATCTCAGAAGTCGATTTCATTGGGGGTATCGCTTTGCCAGAATCCCGAGAGGCTACTTCACCTTGCGACACTCGCTCGGTGAAGAGACGGAAGGGACCAGGACACGCACCCAAGACGCATAATATGGCAGACCAGAGTAAATTGGGACTCGGTTTGCACTTTAGTACAGCTTCCACTCCTCGAGAAAACGCTGCAAATGACATAGCGCTTGGATCTTCAAATGACAACCCCGTGGGGAAAAGCAAGGGCGAGACGAATCCACCTCATACACAAGATGATCACCATACCTCAGCTCCTAAGCTACTGAACGAGGATAGCCATACACCTACACCACCTACCCCCTTCGCACCTCCCGCCATACCCAGGGAGGCAAAGCGTAGGCAAAGGGGAAGAAAGAGGCCTGGTCTGGAAAAGAGACGGAGAAAGCGCAGGTACGAACCGAGACAACAACCAGATTGTCCCCGGGGAAAGCATATGGGTAATAGACAGGGGCCTCGCGAGTTCGACCGTTACAACCAATCCAGACGTGACGTCAAGAGGGCAACAAGAGAGAAGACAACGGACACGGTGGATTTTGGTAAGTTTGACGACGACGATAAGTTGGATACTCTATGGCGCAAGTTGTCACGAATGGAGGAGGTTGTCAAGAAAATAGAGAAAAAAGACTGACTTACCTACTAGTGGTTTGGTTAGTGTCATTCGCTATTGGATTCAGGGGTAATTGGTGAACGGGTGCCCTAGTAAGTTCACACTATATGAATTGTAATAGGCTAAGTAGGTAGGTAGGTAGGTAAAAATGTATGTACATTAGAAGGTAGTTTGCGATCAGGTAACTAGGTATAATACATAGATATATCCTATACACAAGAATTTAGATGCTATATTACATTTTGAAGTGCTATCATATTGGCCCATGTTGCAAGTAGCCGCGTGAGGATAATGAAAGCATGGAACTTGCATCATTATAGTTTCGATGAGGCCGGGTGACATGAGGCAATCCCGAATACGACCGGATTGTCTCACATGTGAGTTGAAAAGAAATAATAACCTCTATGTTGGGGTATCAACCGAACACAGTCAAGTTACACATGTAGTTTGAATTGTGACGTAACGCTGAGTTCACTCCCGAATCAACGGCCATTGAAGACGGTAAGTAAGGGCAAGTGTATGATATACACGATTTAAAGGTAACATGAGTTACGTATATCTTATGGAAGATTCGACGCTCATATTGACGCTCATATTTTTTTTTATTTTTTTTATTTCTCATATTCTTTCTTAGGTATTAGAGAATAGCCTACCTATCTAAATGCGGTGCGTTGGTATATTTGGTTCTCACAACGAGAATATGTACAATTCAGAGATTAGCGACAACGGATTGCCGCCGCACGTGGAGAAGCCGATGATTGGCAAGACTTCTCAGGGCTGTAGGCAGGGGTACAAGGGATGGGTTAAGGTTGCAAGGATCTGTATTTCTCAACAATTGATCAATTTGGTAGGATAAGATCCCAGGCGATCCCCAACAGAAAAAAAAAAGTGACAAGATCCCGAGGAAGCGGAGAAACCACCATTCTGGAGTTAGAACCTCGATCGGGAATCCACACCCCCTGAATGAACCATGCATTCCACGATTCGGGAACAAGGGAAAATCAAGGGGGACATGTGAAGAGTCAGATGTAAACGTATTATGCAATAATAGAGATAAAGCAAGACTGTTCTTTAAGCTAGGTAATCCGTAGGTACCTTTTGTAATATAGAAGGCCGTTGAAATACATTCTAATAACTTGCCATACATTACGCATAGTTAACTAGCAACAAGTTCTGATATCTTACCGCTACCGCCACCTTTATCTAGATGTGAATAGTGTATCTCTGCCCCTTCCACGAGATAAGCGTCGATCGACAAGCGGATCTTGCGTTACTTACATAGTCCCGGGAAATATGTAGGTGCGGCTATGTATCCTCATCATTGAATTGCTCTTATCCGACCAAGACACCTTGGGTACGGAACAGAAGTTTAAGCAAGAGCTGGACTCAACAAGCCTCTCGCCACTTGTCACCAGCCTATTTGCTCCTTTTCCCCCAAGATTCCGAACTCAGCGGTATGTTACAGAGCATGTACGTAATGTATAGAGGTATGTATTCGCATAGCGCGCTGCTTTTTCTTGTCTTGTCTTACAGAACCGAGGACGGGGTTGGTCGAACGATGGCCTAGGTCATGTATTGTATGATGACATACGATAATGGTAATAACGGTGATGATAGTGATGACGATAATAATGTTTGTTTTACTGAGTTTGGATATGCCCGTGACCGGGCTGTATGTATGTACGGAATAGAAATATATCAAATCGGTTTGGCCTATGTAATTTTGGTGGAAGTACTACCATGTAATGTATGAATTAGCTGAACACCTCAATGTAATCCGTATGTACATGATGTAGTGTAAGTGGTCTATGTAGACGTCTTTCTTGGATAGGTTGATAGTAGGAATCCAGCCAGCCATCAATTCCACACAAGGCTACATAATGTAAGAAATGCAATACGCCATTCGTATGGTGCCGGGTCTAGCCCTGCTGCTAATGGCAACGAACCGGGAGTCTACTTGGAAATATTTGGATGAACAAACTATGAAAGGCGGTGAGAAGTAAGAGAATCATAGCCGTTCACCAACAAATCCGCAAATCCGCAAATACGATTTTATCAGATGCTACTACATATGTATACGATACATACATGTATATTATATTGCTGTAAAATGAGTTCTAACGTTTCTGCATGTGGCGGCGTAGCATTGAAAATACCCAAATAAGCAAGGATATATGGAAAGTAAGGTACCTAGCGTTAGACCCTGAAAGATGCATGTGGGCCGGGTAACAGAATCTTGGGCAACAAATCGATTAAGCAGGGAAGTGTTGTATACCCAAGTAGGTAATAGTACTGTGGTGTATACAGGAAATAAAGAAAACGATATGCGCAAGTAGATGCGTACCAAATGATGGAAGATAAAATACCTTAGGGAATTTATCGGAAGACTTACGATACATGTGTAATACAAAGTTTAAGCTAGGAAGTTACGTGTACGTACATACATGTACATAATGGATATGGTATTGTGGGAACGTTCGCATTGAAGGTAACGACTTAAGCGATTCGACTTTTTCTTTTTTTTTTTTTTTTTTTTTTTTTTGTCTTCCTCTTGTCCTTTATTGCCAAACCCTTCTTCCCCATAGGTTAAGTTGTACATAATACCCTCGCTCCATAACGCAGGGTTGGTCTCCATCTAGAAGACTGGAGGCGAATTCCGACCTTGCCAATATAAACCAAAACTGTCACTTTGTCTTCCTTATTTATCAATTCGTCCTTTTAATCGACATTTTCCCACTTAGAGATTATCCCCGGTGCTGTGCTGCCGTGGGTTCTCGGTTCTCGTCGTTGATCCTAAACAAACGGACAACTTAGATTTGACCACAAACTCGAGAGTAGTGCGGTTGCTAGGAGCGACCTGACAATCGTTGACGAGTTGTCCCCCCCCTCCTCTCTTCTCTACTTCAACACTCGGAAGCAGATATCCAAGCAGATATCCATCACAGTTCACTATGGCTTCTGCAGTTGCTACCGGCGTTCCGCGCCAGAACCCCGCCCTTCGGCGAACCATGACATCCACCACCACGGACACCGATGTCTCGTCGCCTTCTACTGCTATCGGGTCCCCAAACGACTCTCCTCAGCCCTCCGCGTCTTCTACCTCTCTCTCCTCCATGTCATCTCTCGAACCCAACAGCGCTCTTCACGGCAAGCTGATTGACACGTACGGCAACGATTTCGAGATCCCCGACTACACCATTAAGGATATCCACGATGCTATCCCCAAGCATTGCTTTGAGCGATCTGCCGTCAAGAGCTTCTATTACGTCTTCCGAGATATCGCCCAGTTGGCCATCACTTTCTACCTCTTTCACACCTATGTGACCCCAGAGAATGTACCGAATACCCCTGCTCGTTTTGCCTTGTGGGGTTTGTACACCTTCCTCCAGGGTCTTTCTGGAACCGGTATCTGGGTATTGGCACACGAGTGCGGCCACCAGTCTTTCAGCCCCTCCAAAGTTCTGAACGACTCTGTTGGCTGGGTACTACACTCTTCTCTATTGGTCCCGTATTTCAGCTGGAAGATCTCGCACGGCAAGCATCACAAGGCGACTGGCCACATCGAGCGCGATATGGTCTTCGTTCCCAAGACTCGCGAAGAGAAGGCCAGCCGCTTGGGCAAGCTCGTTCACGAACTCGCAGAGCTCGGCGAGGAGACGCCTATCGTGACCCTTCTCAGCCTTGCTGGCCAACAGCTTATCGGTTGGCCCAACTACCTCCTTACCAACGTCACGGGGCACAACTTCCACGAGCGCCAGAGAGAGGGACGTGGCAAGGGCAAGAGCAACGGCTTCTTCGGTGGTGTCAATCACTTCAACCCATCCAGCCCCCTTTTCGAGGCCAAGGATGCGAAATTGATCGTTCTAAGCGACCTGGGCTTGGCTATCACCACCTCAGTCTTGGTCCTACTCGGCAATAAGTTTGGCTGGGGAAATCTATTCGTGTGGTATTTCCTACCGTACTTTTGGGTCAACCACTGGTTGGGTAAGTCCACTTTGCTTGTGCGCGACCGCTTCTGTTGGGCAGATTACTAACCGTGAAATAGTTGCCATCACTTTCCTCCAGCATACCGATCCGTCTCTGCCTCACTACAAGCCTGAGTCATGGAACTATGTCCGTGGCGCCGCTGCGACAATCGACCGCGAGTTCGGATTCATCGGTCGCACGTTGATGCACGGCATCATCGAAACACACGTCCTTCATCACTACGTTTCCACTATCCCATTTTACAATGCCGACGAGGCTAGTGAATCTATCCAGAAGGTAATGGGTCGCCACTACCGGTCGGATACTAGGGGTGGTTCGCTTGGCTTTATCAAGGCCATGTGGCGCAGTGCCAGGATGTGCCAGTGGGTTGAGCCTAGCGAGGGCGCTAAGGGTGAAGGAAAAGGTGTCCTATTCTTCAGGAACTCGAATGGCTTGGGCACAAAGCCGATGAAGATAAGTCCCCCTCAGAAAGGGATGAAGATTGGCACAGACGAGTAAGGGAACCCAGTTTGACCATCTTAAAAACCGACACGGCTACAGCGGGGTTCTGCCAACTGCGACCCTTGTACAGCAGTGTAACGAGGGTTGGATAATGTCGAGCCAGGAGGGTATACATCAAACGGCGGAGCGTTTGGCTTCGAGGGCTGAATGTTAGATTATGGCATTCATCGCAGCCAGCAAAGGCGCGAATTAAGATCGAGCTCCCTATTCTTTCCTGCACTTTGAAGAAGCAGAAGAAAAAAGGTTACGTAAAAACGGGGGTCATTAAAACGAAGGATGCGAAATGAAATAGATATAGACTAGAAAGCTAGCCCTCATGATAAATGTAATATCTTGAACAACAGTAAAGTAAGGCCGCTTTGGGAACTATTCAGTAGTAAATGTAGACTGCGGGGTATAGGTATTTAGGAGACAGCTTGACATAACGAGTTGATTCCGGACGATCCGTGATCCGAATACGTATTGATACGTATTGATGCCAACCGGGCGTAGTAATACAACCTAACCCCCAAAAGGTCTGCGAATCATCAGCCACGGAAACACTCCCCGCATTCCACCGTACCGGCGTTACAGATCTACGATAAGACAATATTAACCTAGTGAGGTATGTTTGTATATGCTTCCCGCCCGAACGGGACTTACGTATTATATACAAGGCATGACATTTGTTGGCTAGACCATATTACCTACCTATATAGGTAGATTGGGTACCTAGGTGGCCAGCCATATTCTTTCGTCGCCCTCTTACTATTATCCTACTTTCTTCTACCGACACGTAACCAACCCATTCAATATCCACGCCTGCACTCTCCAATAGCGAGTGCCCTAAGAGACCGAATTCGTCTAAAACGAAAGTGTCGAACTTGCATGGTTTATTAGTTCTTCATTCCGTGAACATCAACTAGGTATGTATAAAATCTTAGTTGCTAGTCTCAACAATCCCTTGCTATATAAGTTGGTCGACATCGTCAAATCAGGTCTCGAAGAGGTAGTCGAACCGTAATCATTGTCCGATTAGCTACGTTGGCGTTCGCATATCCGTATCCTGGCTGCCATTTTCCTACATTTGCTTCTCTTTCTGTTTTCGCATTCGGCGGCGACGTCTCTGGCTAGGTCTAGTTTCTTTTTTAGAGCTTGGACAGTTGTCTGCCTTCTGCCTCTTGCTGGCGGGTGGTTCGCCGGCCGGGGAGAAACTTGTAGGGGAAGCTTTCCTCTTTTCCTTTCTCTCGGCCCTAGACGAAGAATGTTGGCCAGCTTGGCTATTATCCGCTGCTATAGCTTTAAAGAGGCGTCTTCGCGGTTCTCGTGGACTTCGTGGACTTTTTAGGTCCACAGATGGCTTCTTCGAAGATGATTTAACTAGTGACTTGGATGGCGGTTTCGTCATGTCCGTTGTTGCGTCTCTGGGCTCAACCACCTCCGTGATGTTGTGTAGCCATGTAGGCGACTGGCGCAGTACGTAATTGAGCGTCTCTTCCCCTGACCCGTCTGATTCTAGACTCAAGTTTGGAGTGGCTTCGTTGATTTCCTTGAAAGACGTGGGCGGCAGCGGAGTAGATTTATCGTCATCAATTCGAGAAACTACATCGTATTCTGCGCGCTCCTCTACCGGCATAAATGGTAGCACAACTTCTATGTTAGTCTTGGTCGAGGTATTGGGTGGGATGAACCATTCAGGTTTGGCTTTTGTGTTGATTGGCTTGGCACTGGGATGCTCTAACCCGACAGACATGCTCTGACCCCTTCCTGGCGCCGGTGGTAGTGATGACGTCTCACAGGACAGTCGAGCCGGAATACCAGAACTCGGTTCGCTACTGCTAATTATGCTTGAACGGTCATCGTCGGAATTGCATTGCTCATTAACATGCCGAGCCGAGGATGAAGCTTTGGTTTGTCGATTCATTGGGCTCGAAAGCGAAGTACAGTCGGCTATTAACTGTCGCGTAATTAGGGTAGAAGTTGTTTCGGATGCTGCAGATGGTGGTGATGTACTGTCGTCAGGTTTCGTCGTTGGTACGCGGCGGGCAGGAAGTTTCCCTCCGGTTCTACTACTTATTGGGCCATGGGAATCAGTGTCTTGGGAATTGATACGTCCGCTAGGGTTTCCGGTAAGCACATACTGCTCTGTTCTCTCTGCACGTTCTGCTCGTTCTATTGCCTGAGCCTCGCTCAGCGTCTTCCGGTTTAATAGTGCTACTTGATCTGGATCTGCCAACGGGGCTATAGATTGTCGTTCCTCTTCTCGCGAGTCAGTGGTTGAGCGTTCTGGGCTGCCTGTCACCCTCGTGTCCTGGTTCATGCCTGAAGCGAGCTGTGTGGAACTGCCTTCGTCTTCGCGTGGCTTCTTTTTATCCGGGAAGTAATCCCTTTCCCATTGTTCATGATCTTCTGAGTCTGAATCGTAGGTGCGTAGATGATATCTGAGCACAGCCGTTTTCTCTGCTTCGGCAATTGTCGCGTCGTCTGGTGGTTCGTAGCCAGGCATATAAGTCCCCTTTCCAGGACCATCAGATATCCACCCCTTGAATGGACCTATACCGAGCCAGAGTCTGTCAGCAACATTAAAATCGATCATAAACCCGGTTTCATATCTTTCTATCCACGCCTGTGGATCCCACCACGACTTTCTCTCGAATTCAGTTGGCTTGTCGTTCTTTTTATTACCCTTGCCCTCTCGAGATTCATTTGAATCAGAATCGGTTGTATCAGTGATGATGCGTACGCGCTTCGAATGACATCTACCAAGCTTGGATATCGTAGGCGACGTAGTGGTCGATTTCCGCTCTTGGGTCCCGGGGGCTGGCTTGTTGATCGGGGTAAATGATGTTGTCGGCTTGGGATAGGATCTACTACGCAGTTTCCGACCGGGACTTAACGACGATGACATATTATCGATACCTTTCGATGAATTCGTGACCCGAGCTCGTCTAGGGAGAGATAGCTCATCATCTGAGTCTTCGCCCGATTGCTCTTCATTATTCGAGACTAGTTGATACTCATCGTCCGAGTAGTTGGGTTCTTCGGATAATGACTCGGATATAATGTCGTCTTTCTCTACAAATACAATTAGCGAAGTTGTGCTGATTATTATTATTATTATAGGTAATAGCGAACCTTTCTTCTCGAACCTGACTTTTGTAGTCTTCTTCACGTCTTTGATAGCTGTCGTGGATGTGCCGGAATCCCCTAAATTTGCACGGTGATTGATTACGTCCTTAGATCCCTTAGATTTACTTTGGCCTTGGTCTCGCTCGGAGCCTTGAAGCTCATTAGAGGTCTTATATTGTGTAAGAGTATTCCGAACTGATTTCATTTCGATATTGTTAAGGGAAGACCGTCTCTGGACCCTGTGTTTACCCCGTGAGGTTCGTTGTCTCGATGAGGTGGTCCTTTGCTGAGCTGCAGCGTCGGCCGATTCGTCGTTTCCTACTAGGCCATTGGAATTGTTATTGGTGTTCTGAAACTTATAGGGAGATGCCCCCTGATCGATTTTCTGCGGCTGTTTTATTTCAGTGTGTTGCTGGGGAATTGGATGCTCTTCATTAGCAGGAGTACTTTCATCAAGCGGGGGTAGCGAATTGCTATTTGGACTGGTAGGGGATTTGTTGTGGTGTTCCTTGATCTCAGTGGAGAATGAACACTGCTTATGTCTATCAACAGAGGCATGAGCTCCTTGAAGCGCAATACTATCTCGGTTTGTTTTCTTGTTGGGTAGTGCTGAATCGATCGGTAGAGAGATTGTACCTTGAGCTTTCTTGTCGATGATACTTAGGTGACTGTTAACAGGATGCCGAGAACGTTGTTCAATGGTTTTGGAGGGCGAGTGTACAGATGTTGATACCTTGCCACCTAATTGCTCTGCATCTGATTCAGACGATGAACTGGTTATCGTTATAATCTCAGCACCGGCAGGGATTTTGGCTGGGCTGCGTTGACAGGAAACAGGGTGAGGTTGTGAGGACTTTTCGAGAGGCGGGATCATTCTTCCCTGGGAACGACCGACTGAACCCTCTGCCGAGTTCGCGAGGACGTGTGCTGGCGTCGATGATCCAACACCTGACCTGCGCTTAGATTCGGAATAGCATTTTCGTGTGATATGGGAACTCGTATCCTCGTTGCTTGACGAGTCAAGTAGGATGATTTGCTTATTTAGGGGGACTGTGGCTGGAGTGTGTGGGCGAGAGCGCTGAGGACCTCTAGAGATACGGGTACCCTGGGAAGAGCCCATGAATATAGACGGTTTAACAGCAGGGCGTGCCGGTGTTGATGGTTGCGTGCGCTTGGGATTCATCGAAGCAGCTATGTTGGTTGTTCTTACATCTGCTGAAGACGAAATTCGGTTATATGGAGGAGCAGGCGTAAAATTACTTCTCTGGCGATCATTGGCTTCATTATCAGAGACCACTTCGTACGGATCTCGTCGGCTGTCGCGAGGCGTTTGCTTATGATCGCCTACCGGGTCACCTAAATTCGCAGCCTTGATTTTTGCTCCATTGCTAGGCAGTTTAGACGCATTAGAATTGCCAGATGAACTGAGTGGTCTTGGAGCTACTGTTAACGCGCGGCCCTTCGTTTCCTGGGAAGCGGTAGGTTTTGAAGACCTGGACAAGTTTTTGATAGCTGGGCTTAGTCTATATCGAGACCTGCTTAAATCTTTTACAGCTGGTCCAAGTTTGGAATTAAGCAGATGCGGCTGCTTGCCCTTGTGTTCGATTGTAGGAGTACTCGGTTGAGCCAGAGCAGGTGAAGCTGGAGTAGCCTGCTTGAATCTAGAGAGGTTTGGTGACCCTGCCTTGGAATTTGAAGACATGATGACGAAAGGTGGTGTTGGTCGGAAGAAGTGTTGTGGTGAGGAACTAGTGGTTTGAGGTGAGGTAAATATGAGCCGGTATAAGAAAGGATGATATTGTGCAAGAGGTTGAAAAGACGTGTGTGGAGAGATGTGAAAGTGGTCCAAGGCCGAGAGAACAAGGCAACATTGACCATGCGGTGCCAATGTTGGTGATCTTGAAGCCAAGTATGCGGGCACATTGACTTTTACACAAGTGAGCAGACAAGCCCTCTAAAGTTACTTACGCCAATACAGGCAAGTATCAAGATAGCGATAATGTGAGAGTGACGGAATGTCAGAATGTCAGAATGTTAGAGGAAAGTGGTGATGGCTGTTGGTAGATTTGAGATCAGCAGGGCAGGTATAAGTAAGGTAGGTGAGTATACCTGAAGCAAGATTCACCTCCGCCTTCACTTTAACGATGCCGTTACTGCAGTGCTATTTGGCCCTTGGTTTTCACACATAGCACATATACCAAGGGGAGAGAACAACCTCTATCACACTAGGTATGCGAAAACCGGGTGTATTGTATGTACATAATGTACTTAAGTAATGAACAAGTGATGGAAATTAAATCACGAAACTCCAAACCGACATTTCGCTCTAGGTAGCCAGCCAACTTGCTCTTCGCAAACCACACAATCCACAGGCGCATCAAGTCGTACTTGACTTTTAAGAAAGTAGCAAGAATCAGAAGGAGGAGTATTAAGATTAGTTAGTTAACTAGAAGAGAGCTTAACTATCTAGTTTCATACCGGAGTAAAATATATAGCGTATGAGAATAGTACTTGAATAATGTGCAAAGCATTAATACATATGACGGGTTTGCATGTGTGCACAGTGTGCAAGAAAAAAAAAGGCTTGAAGCAAGGATTTCACTTGTTGTAAGAGGCTTTTGAAGAATGACAAGTCATATCAAGCTACCATGTACTAAAGTCGTTGAGGCTTGTTGTACAGTAAATATTATCGTGATGTACGTTGTCTAAGCCAACCTAACTTTTGCTTTGTAAAGAAGAAAAAGAGCGCGTGTATCTAAAAACGAGACGCGAGGGGGTAGACCACATACATGTACCTAATGCATGTATATTTCACATTTACATGTTGTCCCCAAAGACATCAAGCACCAACTTAGGTGCAGCGTGCATACCTAGGTAGTACGTACATCATAACATGTATGTACCTAAAAGTATATATTGATTTTTCTATTATTAAACACGATCCATCCGGCTGGGTCGTGACATCCACCTTCATACATTGTGCCTAAATATATATCAAGGTGGATTGGAAGGTATTAAAGAATTAATGCTTCAAGATTATTGAAAAACTTAAACCCCATTAAAAATACGCTTGTCAAGCCATGGCACATAACAATTCATGGCTCAAGATGTATACAAGCACGTTTAAGTTGCCCAGATCAGCTTGGTCAAGTATTTAAGCCATTCTTAGCTAGCCCTTTAATTCATGCATCTCGTAGTAAAATAGAAGACTCGGTAGATGGCATTAGGTATATTATCTAGCTAAGGTCATAGAGGTGTTCTCGGTTTGAAGTACTCCTTGAAGATATCTAGTTCCTCGAGGTTTAACTTGTAGATGACCGTGCAGCACACAATCAACAAGTTCGGAAATCGTCGAGTCCAGAAACTTAAATATCCATCTGGCAACGGTCCTACCATCCTCTTCAGCGGCTCGCTCATATCACCGTAATGAAACCTTTTGTTTCTGAGCGCTCGTAGCAGATCTAGAAGCCTTGAACCGGTGTATTTGCGCTGCCTTCCCAGGCTCTCCACGAATTCCTTAGGTAGTGTCTTGAGAAAATCGCCGCGGCACACTTGAGAGGCACATGCTTCGAGCTCCGTCAAGGCCCTGGATGGCGGATCTCGAGGCTCAAGCTCAAAATGATCCGACACGTCACAAAGAAAAGCAAGCCGTTCTTTTGCCGACCAGAAGAACGGATGGGACATGACATCCTTAGCCGAAGGTCGGGCCCTAGGATCGGATCGAAGCATCGTCTCAATTAGGGCTTTAGCCTCGTGTGCGGCGTCGCCTAGTACATCTAAAGGTTTGAGGCTGAATTGACCCTTACGGATGTTGACTTCTCGCATATACCGATCGCCACAATCGAAAGGGTGTAGTCCCTTAGTGAGTACGTAGAAGAATACAAGTCCAAGACTAAAGATATCAATTGAGCGAGTAGCGCGGCGATTAGGCATAACATCGGCGCTAATCAATTGACTCGAGTCGCTATGCGTGCTGGTCATAGACATCGAAGAAGATTCGCGCGCGTCGTCGTCGAGGAGGAGCTCAGGTGCCCGCCAACCCGAAGTCCCAGCGGCGTGGGCTGTGGTCGCGCCGAAAGATGATTGGCCTCCTTCGAGCTTTTTGCACAACCCAAAGTCCGATACGAGAAGTCGCGGCTTACCGTCGCGTCCCATGGTAACCAGGATATTCTGAGGCTTCAAATCACGGTGAACAATGCGAAGGTCGTGAAGGAACCCTAGACCATGTGCGATCTGTAATAGGACTCGGGGTAAATCCATCTCGCCGGCCCGAGCCAGATCCTGGAACATGGCGGGCTTCTCGATAATGTCCGAAAGCGAAGCCTGGCACAACTCCAACGCAATGTACAAGAAACTATCGTTCTTCGACATGGCAAAATATCGAATCACTAAACGAGCGGGTTAGCAGTCATAAATAGAAGGGACGACTAAGCTCGTACCATTGGGATGATGATCACTTTCGAGCAACAGCTGGGTCTCCTGGGTTGCAATATCCCAGAATTGGGTAAGCATGCGCTTAACAGCAACATCCCGTCCGTGGAATTTTCCAGCGAAGACGATGGTACCGTTACTGCCCATACCAAGCTGTTCGTCTTGGTTGACCTCGATACCACCTATCTTGACGATCGGGCCGCTTACGTCCTCGGGGTCGTTATTCATGGTTGTGATATTCGGCTCAAGCTTGGATGGTAGACCGATGTTCTGCAGGCCAGGGATTCCCTCTCCAGCTTCAGGGGAGGCGTTCTCCCCCGAGCTTTCAACAGTGTCGCGCTGTTTCTTTGCCCCCTTCCGATGTTTAACACCTCCTCTCCGGCCGCGGTGGGCCTTCTTCTTTTTCTCGGGAGACTCGCCCTCGGTCTGCTGTTCACGGTTGTCGTCTATATCTGCCAGCTCAAGCTCCGCGGTGGATACGATAGCGGGTACAGCTTTTTCGGTACTTTCCTTTTCAGTTACTAACTGTAACTGCTGCTTCTCATCCGGCTCCTCAACCGACGCTCGGACGACTTCAGCGGCTACTTCCCGTGGCGGACCAACTGTAGGATCTGTCGAAGGTACATATGTCACCGTATCAAGATATTGCTTTGGCCTAATGCGGCGTTTGGACCACCTAACCAAGTCCTTGTAGTAGCGGAACAAGAGATAGACGACGACGGGGAATAGAATCGGATTCATCAAGAAGTCGACTGTCTTATCAGCGGCGTACTGCGGAAGAGCAACGATGCTGCCAACGATGCCTGTAGAATCAGCCTCCGTATCAGGCAGTGAGGTCGGCACGACAGATTCATTATCATCATTGTCAGATTCGGGCGTGAAAGGTGAGGAAGGCAAACTTGGAGGAATAGTTGGCGGCCACTGCGCCACGGTCCTTGCATTCCCTAGGACATGAGTACCAACCAACACCTTGTTTGCCCATGTAGTATCAAGCGTATCCCAAGGGTTCTCGGTGTCCCATCGGTTCCTACGGCTAAGCTGTGCCGCCGGAGCATCGACAATCAAAGGGTACGACCAACCAGACATGGCATACCAGCTACCGGATTCGGTCTGGTTGAGAAATACGCTATGGCTTCTGACGCGGGCAGAGTCTTCGTCTCGAGCGGGCGGAACGGGCTGAGGGAGCAGGACAAGCTCGGGGTTGCTACCGGGAGGAGCATCTTCAGGCCTAGCGATGTCGAAAACACGCGCGACGGGGACAGAGAATTGGAGCGCGAAGGAAGTGGCTCCGGCAGGGTAGGCGAGCGCATAGACTTTACCGTCATGCTGGCTAGTAAAGTATCGGTTATCCTGCGTCGCTCGATACTGCTGATGGAGATCATTATCGAAATTGTTTGGGCCCCATTCGGCATATTTAAGTGTGGCAATCTCCCTACCGTCATCCGATCGGTGTATGGTAACGATATACTCTGTTCTACTCAGAGTGATGGTGCCACTATCACTGCATTCCTCATTGTCCGAGTCAACGAAACGCCCGTTCGGGGGGAAGCAAGTAGCACTTTGATCAACCTGCGAGCCACCCTGTCCGAACCACTTAAGAACGCGACCGGTCGCCGCGTCCAGCGTGATCATGGTCGTTTTCTTGTGACCAGTATAGACTACGGGTGGATTCTGAACAGCGTAGGAGCCGAACTCTTCCACTAGCTGCTTCATTGTTAGGCCCGTACTCATCAGGCCGCTGCCAAAGCCAGATGGGGTCCAGACGTAAAGGGCACCATCACGGGTTGGCTCGACAGCCCAAATGTAGTCATCCAGGGGATGATGATCATAGCCATCTCGTCTATCGGCTAGGGAGCTATTTGGGCGGCGGTGAATGGTTTCGACGATAGGTTGCTCAACTTGGAGATGCCAGCGCTCGTCGCCGGACTCGCGGTTAACAGCATAAAGATGTCCATCGACGGTCGCCAGAAGAATGTAGTCTTCCACTTCCCAATTCTCCAGACTCCGCGCAATCTGCGGCGAGGAAAGCCCAGCACCGGCGAGCAGGCTGGGCAGATATCTTGGAGAATTTGGTGCTCGAACGGACAAAGCCGGAGCCAAAGTTGCGAGGGCGCTCGCATCGTTAGGAAAAGGTACGTTTCGGAATCGCTGCTTATTGGTAGTGACACTGTTCCTGCGGCTAACAGCTGGGGTCTCGTGATGGTTGCGTGGTTTGGAGGGCGTAGCGGTAGCGAGGTTGCCTACGACTCGCTCAGCACCGAAGGACTCGTGTCGGGGAATAGGGACGTCTGGGCCGTGAACGTCATGTTTGTTCACGCCTACGTTATCATTGTTATAGTCGTTTAGGAGATTAGCAACGGAAGCTGGTTCCGGAGGGGATTGCTGTCGGTGTTGCTGCTGCTGAGCATCGACAAGCTGGAGCCAAGGTAGAAGGAAGACGGCTAAGGCGAGCAGAACCTTGCGCTGCTGAACGACGAGCCGTCCCTCGCCAGGAGGCCGTCGTAACATATTGAAGACGTCAACGTGTAATTGTCGATAGCGGTATTCGGAAGGGAGAGTAGAGATGGACGCGAGCGGGATAATTGTCGGATTACATCAAGGATAAAAAGAGTAGGCGTGGGATAGAAATCGATTAACCGCCTTCGAAGTAAGGCGAATAGGCAGTAAGAAGATGTAGAAGCTCGAAGCACGAAGCACGGGAACTAAAGTTCAATGGTAGGTTAGATAAAAGATGGATTCGAAGGATTTTGTGTTGACGGACCGGTCGGAAGGGGGGATACCTAAGTCGAGGATGTCTCGGTTCAATGAACAGCGGTTCCGTAGTTCAATCGTACCTACCTAGCTGACCTAGGTACCTAGTCACTAACCTAAGGTCAGGGGTTCAATTGTAAGTAAATATTTAAATCCCTCCGGTCCGAAATAGTGGATAGTAGATCTGATAACAACGTCGACGCCGATATTTATAAGTTAAGGTAAAGTAAGAATGCGATAATAATATTTCGTCCTATTCCCTTGTTTTACCCCGCTGGCGTTGATGAACGACACATGAACAAGAGGCGAAAAAAGACAAGAATCAAATCAACAATACGGAATAGTAAGTGTGCATATGTTGGTTGAGTCTGCAGTCCGAAAGGATTTTGTTTCTTTTTTTTTTTCTTTTCGTGATGCAATGTGGTGAGACGAGCCCTGGGCACAAGCGGTTAGACTCTCGGTTTGTAAGTTGTCATTTCGCAGCTGTTCTTCATGAGACAGGGAGGCCAGCCCTTTGGATCAATCAATTTGATAGGATCTCGTGGAGGACCGCCACGGACAATACGCTCAATACGGATAAAATGGCTGATTGGGTTTATGTATGTATATATACATGTTATGCAACGCCTCTCGTTACGTGTACGTGTATCCACGGGCTATTTTAAGCAAGGATAAGATTGCCGGGGTTTAGAAAAGGAGAATAGGTAAATTCAATGGTTGGTTCGGTTGGAGGCTGACACACATGATCTTACGGAGATCTTACCATTGATAATTGATACACGTATGTAAGGTACCTACATAAGGTAGATACCTTAGGTATGTACAGTAGATGCATTATTATGCATGTGGATGTATACCAGTTCCCACCGTAATAATCGGGCACGTGGATGTCATTAGCGGCACTTCTCATTTTCATTCCACCAAGTCAAAAGTACATAAATACATGTACCTAGAGGCTTAACCAACACGAACCTACACGTACAGCGCCAGGGCACAACGGACTTCATCCGATCGTTGATAAAACGAAAAAAAAAAAAGTTCGGGATTACCAGAGTTGATTCTATTTCTATCTTATGTATATCTCTAAGGCCGAAAGCTCTAATCTCATAGACGCAAGCTTCCCGCCCTTTGCTCGTGCACTTTCTCTGAACTGTCAATCGAGTGAGCAGAAGGTTCTCGTGATCTCGTCTTCGAGTCTTGCTCAACCTCTACTACGACCGTCGTCACGGTATCCATCTGGATTCCTGCTTCTGCTGCTCTCGTAATACCCCTTAAGGATTCCTGGCTCCCGCTACCTGGACCTCCAACCCAGCGGCTGTTGCCATTCTTGGAACGTCCGTCTCTCCCATCCCACCCTATCAACTCTCCGAGCCGTCCCAGTCCCCATACTGCCCTCCTCCGTCCCCTACCTTGCCGGCCATCTTCGCCGTTACCGGTGTGAGCTCCACCCTGTACCCAGACCATATTTCCGTATTGCCTCCAGTGCGGTGTCCTCATAAACGTGAATGTCTCCAGGCCCGTATCCTCGGAGTCGAGGGGCGCGTTGAAGATGATAGAATGTCGTGTGGTCGAAAACAACAGGACGTCCAACCATCCATTAGAGGCTATCATCGTGCCCGCCAGGCAGAAATAAGCTATGCTCACTTCCGTTCCAGACATGCTCACCACACGGCCCAATGCTAATGGTGCTGTACATAATATGTATATGACCGGATAGATAAGGAAAGTGGGATGGTGTCCCGAAGGGTTTGTCTGGGTTGATGTGTTATTCGTATCCGACCGTGTCGAAGCTGATGGACGACTATGCGAAAGGGGTTGAGAGAAGGCCCTTTTCTGGTGAAGGAAGAAGAAGATAAGCGAATATAGGATACTCGTCATGATAAACGAGAGGAAGATCCATATGTAGTGAAGCCAGAGACGAAGCGACTCGAATCTATCGTTTATCCAACACCTTCAACCGATGTTAGTCATTTATGTTAATATATATAAAACACATTGATTGGGTGTTGGTGAGCGATATCACCCATTCTCTCACTTACCAAGCTGCTGCGCGAACATAAAACCCACCGGCCCCTCTCCCGTTATTGGTGGCAGCCACACCGGCAAAAGACATAACATAAATAAACACCCATAAACCGATAATGGCAAGATACAAGGCCCACTGTGGCGGTTTGTACCCTCTCACGACGGTTAGATAAGTATGAATAGCAATGGCACATATGAAGCAGCTCGCAGACAGATCTCCTGTCGACACAAACCAGCCCTGCGCCCAGCAAGTCGGAACTCCTACGGTAATCTCGTTGTTCTGGATCCACGGAATATTCAACATGAATGCCGTAGCCTGGTGCATATCGGCGAAGAACAAGTTGTATACGAGGACGAGAAACTGGTTTGGCGGCCCTCGTCCCGCCGCTTGTCGTCGCCGCCGTTGTTCATCGTGTCCCTGTGGAATAGCCTTCTTGGATAACCCAAAATTCCTTTGGGCTAAACCTAGCGACAGATCGTTTGCTGGGGTTTGGTGGCCTTGGTCTATTCCCTCCGGGGTCCACAAATGCCAAGTAACTAACTTATACGTCAGGAATAGGAACAATGTGGACGTCGTGATAAACGACACTATGCCGCAGACGGCGACGGCGATGAGTCCATTCCGATGGCCATTAGGCAGAGGCGACAGAGTATCGCAAGCTGGGGCCAATGGACCGTAGTCTTCGTTATAAGCCATGCCCATCTATTTACCACCCTCGTACGTACGTAGGCTAGCACGATATTGTGCAGCTAAAACTTTAACACGATGGGAGACGACCAAAGGATATACTCCTAGCCGATGCCAAGTACGGATCTGTCGCCGAGGTTGCGATGCGTTAGGGCGGTTCGGTTCCCCCCCAAACATAGGTAGGCTAGTAATAATAAGCTTCTCTCTTATGATATGGCATTGGAATATAACAGGCCGCAAAGCCGTAGTAAATCAGTTCCCATGAAGAAATATACAGCTTAATAAGAGACGATCTTTTTTTCCCCCTCCACTCATTTCACATTTTTCTTCGACGAGTGTGTAAGCAACGAGACGGTCCAGCTGTACTAGTTCTCGTTAGCGCTGTCATCGATAGAGCACTCGTTACATAGTATACTATAGCTTACTAGGTTAGGGGATAGGATATATGAAGCCCGGGCCAGCGACATAGCCAATTCCATCCTAGCCACACTGGGCTAGCAAAAGGAGTTCATGACAAATGGAACATCTCGGAGGGGCTATCGATTCTTTAGTATTCTGATCCTTATTACCACGTGGGAAACACAAAGCTTACCTTGATTCTGCCGAACAAGGTGTAGGTATGCCTAGAGACCGTGTAACAGAACGGCAGCACCTCGATAATCCTTCTCGATCCACGCGACACTATGTACGTACGCTATTAGATACCTAGCCGTTGTAGGAGCGATAGCGTATAGGGAATTCGTCGGTTTAATCTCGTTACTAGTAGTGTAGGTGCCTAACTTTGCATGGGTAAATACTGTGGCGACGGGCTCTAATGGAACTCAGCTGAATGGAACTTTATGATAGCCGAGATTACCCACACAATATACGGAATATCATTCCTTTAGTCTTGATCCCTCATCCCTGCTTACTTAGATGCACCATCAAGCGAAACATTGCCCACTGTAGATAAAATACATGAAAGCCGGCCGAAAAATCGCCAGCACCACTATACTGCATCTCGTGGTCGATGCCCGCCCTACCCTATTGTCAAGATAGTTTCCACCGCAAAGCGATTGTTTTGTACAAGGTATGACATGCAGATGACGTGCTAAGGTAGGAGGTCTAAGCGTAGTTCGCCAAGTACATACGCCGTTGGTCTTGGCTACATTTCAGCTCATGTGTCGCCCCTGAGCAATTTGGACTCTCAGCCAATCTATTACCTACCTTGGTAAAATGTCACTAATAAGGAACGGACTAGCCGCACAACCTAACTGACAACCTACCTAGTTAGAAATTAAAGTTGATACTAGTAGTAACTAGATAGTGTGGTAAACTTAAAAGTTAAGTATAAACTCAACGTTTGTACATACATATGTTAGGTACCTACTTACCATAAATGGATTTTTCGTTTCGAAAATGAAGCCTATCATGCTTTTAAACTTAACGCAAGGATGATGTTAGGATTAAAGCTGAAGATACCGGCTGCATTGGTGCGGCTTAGTTCCATCGCTTCAAGTATTAATACTGTTTCTTTTATGCAAGGCCATTCATATCGAGCCATATATATGGAATACGTATTATAGAAGAGCAAGATGATTCATTCTTACTTTCACATGCGGAATAAGGCGGAAATATTCCGCTTATGTCCATATATCTATGGCTGTGTTAAGCCGAATTTTCCTAGTGATACTCGTCTAATCTAATTTATACTATCAACTCTTCTATATTTTATTAGTACTGCCACAATTTTTCCAGCCAATCAGATCCTTAGAATCGCCCCGCAGTTGGCGACTTTTTCCTTTGCCATTCTATCGCATAAGGTCTGAAACACATGCAAATAGGATAGAAAGGTCATGCAAAACGAGCTCTATCCAACGATACCAATTATTAAAAGATTTATACAATAGTATAATAGGTCAATTGATTCTACAAAAAATTCATCGGACGTGCGCTGAGGTGTGGCTAGCCAATCAGAAAGGCCAGACTTATATGTGGCGTATGTAAAAGGCACTCTTGAAGCTAGGCACTCCCCGTAAGCGCCTGCGCGAACGGGTAACGCAGCTAGTAATATTACATACCGTAGAGGCGGGGTACGCTGGTACACAATGATTGTAAAGTTAAACAATGATTGTCCTATATTACAATCATTGATTCATTACACAATGATTGTTGGTCAAACAATCATTGTGTCCCAAACAATCATTGTGCCGCTAAATTAATATGGGGAGTGGCACGTGATGTAGGTACTTGGGGTTACAGGTCCCACTTATTACTCTGGTCACACTAGTATTACTTGCATGTTACCGGTCACATTAGGATTACATGTATGTCACAGCAACAAAATCAATTAAGTACTAGGAGCAATGAAGAGATACAAGTTATGCATTCCCTTCTAGTCGTCATCAACCACCACCAGTACAGGCCACTAATCCGAAAGCGACAAAGGGCGAAAGCTTGCTGTTCCAGTCGAAGTACTCCTGCGAAGGACTTGGCCTATTGACAATGTTAGTGCTCAGGCCATAAATGTTGAAGCTCGAGCCAACTTACCGTGGGCAAAGGGGGTCCATGGTCTTTTTGGGTGAAATCGCGATTTCGGAAAAGTCCGGAGACCATTATAGCAATTTGATGTTCCAGTCGTTCAAGACGTGTCCAATACCAGGGACATAGATGACATACGGCCTAGTAGGATTTATTGCCGTTATGCCAATCATAATAGGTGCATCTTCTTGTTCTTCCATGATCTCCAAGTCGAGAATGCTGTCTCGCTCACCTGTTCTTTCCAAGGGTGTGATCACCAAGAAGATGTGACGTTCCCCATATACATCAAAGAGGAAAATGTGGTCGATGATACCGATTTGATTGTCATGATACGCAATTGAGTCCCCTTTACTGAAAACAAAGCGCTCGGGATCCTCGCTATTGCATGTCAGTTAGCTGAGTTCAGGTGTCATGTCAATTCCCTGTTCACATAAAATGAGGACTGCATGTAGATCACCAACCCAACACCTGCCAAGACTCGTGATGCTTCTTTTCTTACAATAAAAAATGACTTCATTTTTTACTGTTAAGAACCAAATATGGAAGACTATCAGCTAGAGAACTATCTCTAGCAGCAGTTAAACCATTCACTTGGATCAGAAATTGGTTGTCTTGGCAAGTGCTGTTAGAAAATTCATCCTTCAACTTTGAAAGATCAAGCTTCTCAATTGGTGATCTCATGAGCCTCATTCTAGTAAAACAAGAACATTGAAATTGACTGCCAAGAGCTTGCTCAACATCATCAGTGGAGCAAGCCATGGTCCGTGTTAGCTCATTCGGGGGGAGGTGTAGACTTACCCAGGGGACATAGGCGGTCGATTGAACCCCACCTTGCGGGCATACTGCACCATCTTCTTCTTCTCGTAATAGGATGGCCAGTAAGACGCCTTACCATAATCCCGATGATAGGCCGATCGGAGTTGCTGAAGGAAATGTTCCGATAACTGTTCTGCTCTAACAGGCATAGGGCTATCACCTTGGATGAAATGGGTTGAGTTAGCCATCTCTTTAGAGGGGATCTTGTTAATAATGGAAGGGTCCTGATGACTCTCATTGGCTGACGGAGGGACGTCAAGCTCAAACTCGTCCTGATCGAGCATAGCGTCAGCTTCTTGTTCTAATTCATTGCGATCCGAGCGGGCCAAAGCGCGCTTGAACAGGGTAGGACATTGCTTGTAGAGCGTCTGAATGTCATTGGTGAGTTCGGGATCATCCCGTCTAAAGGCGTTTCGCAATACCAGTCTCAGAGTTAATTGAGTATTAAGCTTCATCAAAAGCACCTTTTCAATGTTCGAGTAATTGGTCTCGTATACTCGACGTTTGAACCATCTAGATGATTGATGGTCAGTTGATGTTGAAAAATGCCCTGTAGCACAACAAATTATGCTAATTAGAAAGTTTTGCCGGCAAAACTCTTTAATTAAATACGTTAAAAACCAAAACCGATGGCTTCGGTTTTAGATTTTGAGTATAACGTAATAATGTTTAATATATGTTTAAAACACAAACAAATTAATATTTTAAAGCTTACTTGGTTTTTATTTTATATATAATTACATATAAAAAAACGGAAATGCCTTTAAAGTAATAATAATAATATTACTTTTTTAACTTTTTATTTTATTTTATCTTTAACAGTTATTATTGGAAGGGCTACTTCGTTTTGCTAAAACCAATAATATAAATATTAAGATTTAAAATATTTAAACGCCGGTAAAATTATTAATCATATACTTACATAACCATTATTTTTAATTAAAACATAAATATTAACAATATTATATTCCGCTTAAAAAAGATCGTTTTATTATAACAAAAAAACTTACTTTTTTTCCAATAGTAAATTTACTAACCAGTATAAAACGCAAAAACTTTTTAAAATAAATCGAAATATTCCATCCGCATTATTTAAAATTTCTTATACTCCGCTTATACGCCTTTAATAAAAGTAGTATTAACTATAACGTAATATATTATACTAGCAATATTATAACCGAAAATTGCTAGAAATTAAACAAAAAAAAAATAAATAATAAAGAAAAACCTTTTATATTAACGTATAAAGATAAATTTAAACCTTACGTCAATATTTCGTTTAATAATATATTAAAAAGATTAAAATATTACTTCCACATCCTTAACATTAACGGCAATAAATTACTTATATAATATAAAAATATTAATAATAATTATTAATTAAGTTATTATCCTATTACGCCAAACTTTATAAATTAAATATTTCCTTACAATAAAAAGATATTAAAACTGTAGAAAACTTACAAACACATTACTTACGCCTCGGACTTATTAAATAACAAAATAACAAATACCCACGCTAAACTTTACGTTATTTTAAACAACGATAACGTTAATAATACTTACATTATTTCCAAAATTTATAAACAGTAATATATAAATAATAAAATAAATAAATATATAACAAGAATTAAAAAAAATAAACCGTTTAACAATTATTACAATACATTTTTATTACGTCCAAATATCCATTGTTATTTTAACTTTAATCGTTTAATTTTAATTTTTAAACGCAATAAAAACAACTTGTATAAATTAGCAGTTTACATATTTATACCTCCGAAAAAATTTAATAATTTTAATTTATAAATTATTAAACAATATTATAATCACATATACCGTCCGATTAAAAGTATTTTTCCAGAATACCTTTTTGCTTATTTTACCTAGTTTTTATTTTATAACATAATCCTCGTATTCTTTACAAAAAATAACAAAGTTATAATTAACGTTAACTTTATCGAAAAGAATAAAAATATTAATAACCGTAAATTTATTTTTAAAATAATAAATAAAAATATTCCTTAACCGCGGTTAAGATTTTTTAAATCCAAACCCCAAAATAACAATACCTTAAATATAAAACGCAGTTAAAGCAAATTCGAAAAATAAAATAATAATAATAGGTATTTTTTTAATTTTTTTAATTTTAACGCATATAACGCAACCTTAAACGTCCATAGCAATAATAACTGGTCCAATATTAATATTAACAATATTAATAGTTATAACTTTAATAAATTTAAAGGCGAATATTTATAAAAATAACCGTAAATTTTTAACTATAAAAAAGCTATAAAAAAAAAGTATAACAATAAAAATAACATGTACGAGTAAATTAAAAATTAAAAAAAACAAAAGCCTTATTTTTTTAATAATATTAACAATAAACCTATATTAAGATTTTTAACCGTATAAAATCTTATAGGTAAAAAAAATACAAATAATAAAAATAAATATAATATTAAATATATATTAAAAATTAATATTAACTTAAAGAATATTTATTCGAAAATCTTAAATAATTGCGTATTATATATAAAGATCGATATAAATAATAATTAATTAATTTAGCTAATTATATAACCAAAATATATAATTAAAAACTATTAATTAATATTATATTTTTAATAACTATTAATATTAAATAATGAAAAATAATATTTATAAAGGTTAAATATATTTACTTTATTTAATTTATACCGTTAAATATTCCCGAAAAATTTTATACTATTACGTTTTATATTTTATACTTTAAATTATTTTATTAATTAAATTTAATAATTTTATTTATTATTAAGAAAACGCTAACGTTTAATCTTTATAATTAAATTATTTATATTTATATTTTTTAATAAATTATTTCTAAAATTATAATCTAATATAATAAATATATAATTATAATTATATACATTTTATACTTTATATTTTAGGTTATTTTATTGGTTTAATTTAATGGTTTCGTACCTCCCTAGCAAAGGTTACAAGAAAAGTATTTCTTTTAAACAACCAATTATCCTTACCAAAAAAAGCATAAAATTACTATCTAATACTTTCCCGGTAAAGGCTGTAAAAAGAATATTTCCTTCGAATAACTAATTACTTTTACCGAAAAAGACGTAAAACCTTAGGCGTTTAAAAGGACCATCTTGGCAATTTTCTTATTCCAATCCTTTAACCTATCCGCAACAGTCTTCCCGGTAAAACGTTATAAATAATTAAGGTTAAACGGAATTTCAAATATAATATTTTTAAACGTTTTATATTAAAAAACCGTAACGTAATTTAAACCAGGATTAAACTCTTTTTCGGAAATGTTTAAAATAATCTTATTTATTATAATAAATTAGCTTTTATATACAATAATTGCAAAAATAATTATTAGCAGGAATTGCATATACTTATATTTATGATTTTTATATTTATAATTGCAGGTCGAATAAATAACAAGAATTATCGGGTAGCTGTTAAAAATATAAAAATTAATTAACCTTTTATACTTAAAAGCAAACGTTAATAAACGGGGAAAAAAGCGTAGGCCCAATAAAAATTTACCTATTAAACGTTATAAAAATAGTTTTAAAAACGGTAGTTTAATAATTGGCCCTTTTAGTTTAAGCAATATTTTTAATAGTTTTGAAAGTATTATTTATTAAGTTAAAATTAACCGAAAGATTTTCCGTAAATATAACGTAAATATTAATATATACGGGTAAATGTAACTTTAAATTACCAACATCGCGCAATATAACTTTATCCCAATTTAAACCGGTACCGCTAGTTAAAATGTAGATTATAAACTTTTTAAAACTATTAATATGTTTAAAATTGTACGTATTAACGCGTTTATTAGTAATAAAAATGCGTAAAGTACTGTTAAAACTTGCTATTTTTTCGGTAGTTAAGTTATATTGGTAGTAAATATTAAATAATTTTTAATATTTATAGATAATTTGGTATTATTGCAACTTATCTAAAATAAAATAAAAATTAGCTTAATTATCTTTCTTTTAATATATTATAAATTAAAGGCGAATAATCTTATTAAATAATAAATAAACATTTTTACCGGAAATTTCGAATTTATTAATTAGCTTATTTGTATTATAAAAAGCTTTAGTTGTAATAATGGGAAGTTAGTAGAAATTGCCAAAAAGAATAGAATTTATTTCTCTTATAATATTATTTAAGTTAGGTTTAACCTGCTTAAAGTAGCCGTTAATATAACTAAACTGTTAAAGGTTAACTATTAACTTTTCGTTAATAAAAAGATATTGCTTACCCAAAAAATCATTTTATAAATTGGATATGTAAATATTATCCAAAAGGTTAAAAATAATAACTACGGGTAAATAAAATAGAAAATATATGGTTTAACTTATAATATTATTTATTATAATCCCCGTTAGAACATATTGCAAAACAGGATTAAAAATACTTTTATTTTAAACTATTTGCGTTAAATACACATATAACACTTTAAGTAAGTAAAATTTACCTGTACTTACAAAACTGTTACAATTAATTAAAATAAATATAAATTTTTAACCGTTAAAAAATGTAGCATAATAATTTATAAATATATTATAAAACTAACGTTATTTCTGGTTTAAAATTTCTTTTACACGTTTAAATATTTCGAAAGTAGCGTTATTTATTGCGCTTTAATTTTAACGCGTTAATTTTTGCTTATACTTTTAGAAGTTTTTATATCCAAGATATTTACCAACCCAATCGCTTTAATCAAAAACCTGGTCTTTATTTTATAAGTTAAATTCTTTAAACAAATCGTTTTAGCCGCATTTGGGGTACTGGCAAGCCAATTTATCTTAACTATTAACTACATTATTAACCTTTTCTTTTTAAAATTTAAACTTATTATTATTAATAACCAGAAATAGCACGTTATAATAGTTATAAAAGTGCTTATTAACATAGCGCATTTTACAAGTAACATAAGCTTTTACGTACGTGTTATATTATACGTTACCAATAATTTTGGTTTCCTTAACGCTTTTCTGGTTGAAAAAGTAATAAAATATTATTTTAATTTTATAAAAGTTTTTTTTATGCGTTTTCTAATTATATTTAGAAAAATAAATTAAAATGCAGTTTTTTACTTAAAGGTAAAGGCAAAACAGCTATAAATTTTAACTATATTTGGTAAACTACTCAAAATAAGTGACATTTAAAAGCGGACCAATATTTAAGCGGTTTTTATATTTATTTAAAAGGTTAAATTCCCTGCTAACTTTACTTTTTTCTGTTATAAATTAATAAAATTAAACCTTTTTAAGTTAATAATTTACTATTTGACTTATTCGGGAAAATTATTATAATAAAATATTTAATAATATATATATAATTTTTTAAACAGATTAATTCTACTTTTTAACCAGCTTATTTATTATTTATATAATAAACGAAAAAATAAAAACCTGTTCGTTAATACGCAGTAAAATCTTACGTAGTAAATTATAATATAACTTGGTTTTTACCTCGGCTTTAAAATAGTATTTAACAATATAATTAAACATAATAGTTAAATTTATGCATAAAATAATGTCCATATTAACTATTTAACCAATAATAATTAATAAGTTATATAAATTTAAACATTTATTATTGTATTCCAAAATGTATAACTAATAGTTAAAATTTAAAGAATAATTTACCTTTACCGAGTAAATAATCTATTATTTAAAATAAAACTAGTAGTAAAAATTAAAAAATAAAACGTAAACAGCCTTTAAATAAGTAAAAATAACCAATCTTGTGTCGTTTAAAATATATTCACTGTTTTTTATTAAGTTTAAGTTAATAGTATAAATTTAAGCTTAATTAAAGTGTTAGCGCCCCGCCAGCGCTTATATCCTTTTCTTTTGCATGTAATAAACCAAACTATAAAAATAAATCTAAAAACGTATTAAAAACCGGAAAAAAAAGTCGAAAAATATATTTTACTTTTCCCGCAAAAACAATAACAGGTTTATATTAAACTTAAACTTTTAATTATTATTTATATTTAACGTTTTAACGTAGTTATTCTAAAACGTTACAAAATCTTGCTACAATTGCTTAGTACTTATATCAACAAGCGGTATATTTTTAAACTATACAAATTTATAATTATAAGACATACCACAATCTTACCACTTGTAACAATTCCACCAATCTGTTACGCGAAATTTAAAAATTACCACCTTTTTTATAAACATTTAAAACCAAACATAAAACCAATAAATAATAATATAAAGATTTTTTCGATTATTGCAGCAAAATATTTTAATCTTATTTTTATTTAACGCTATAAATTATTTATTAAAATTGGGCAAATATTTTTGCAAATTTTACCAGTAATAATTAACAGTAAAAAAAATAAAAAATAAAGATAGGTAATTTAACGCTTAATAAAAAAATTTAAAATTTACCCGCTAACCCGTTTAAAATAAACAGATACCTCGTAAATTGCTTATATAACATATTATTAAATTAAATATCGCTTAGCCTTTTAACAAATCAGCTTTAAAAACGGCTTTAAACTTATCCGCGTTAAAAACCTAATCCCTAATTAACCACCAATTAACAAAAAATAAACTTTAAGTTTTTACCTACTTTTTTACTATCGTATTATAGTAAATAAAAAGGAATTTTAAATATTACGCAAATTTTTTATTATATTACTTAAACGCATAATTTACCTAGACTTTAAACTTTACACTTTATTAACAAACAACAATAAATTTACTTTTGCCTTAAAGAAAAAGCGTAAAAAAGGTAACAAATAGTAAAGGCTTTAACTTATTAAACTCGTTTAAAGGTATGCTGCGGAAAAAAAGAAGTTTAAGGAAATCCTGCCGAAAAGCCTTACTTTACTACTAAATTTCCTAACAGAAAACATCAAGTTTAACTTAACAAACTAACATATCGGAAATTGCGTTTTTTTCAAAATCGTTTATTATATTCTTTAATTTAACATTTATAATTACTTCGTTTATAACGTCTTTATTATTTACAATAATTATATTAACTAGATTATTAAACACGTTTTTATTATTAAATAGTTAAAATAAACGGTTATAGTTTACAAATATATTTTAATAACCAAGATAATTAATTTTAAAATATATTAACTATTGTTAAATAACTTCGCAGCAAATACAAAAATTATACTAAATTTACCGTTATAAATAAACGTTAACCGTTTTAACGATAATGTAATTAAGTTCTTGCAAAAGTAACAACAGTTAATTCCAAATCTTACCAACGTTACAAATAAAGTAACAAATATATCTTTAATAATAATATAATACCCTATAAATTTAATAAATTTTAACATAAATATAAACGCAAACAATTATTATCTTTTCGATTTAAATAAGCTAAAGAAGATTTATAAGACAATTATTAAAATTTATATTATTACTAATAGTAAAAAAATGGACCTAGTTTTTGTTACTACCAACGTTTTTATCGCGGCATTTTTTGTAAATATTTTACCAAAGTTTTAAACCAAACCATTTAATTTTACACCGTTTATAAATTTGCATTTTTTAAACGTTTAACGCCTAATAGAAATTGTTTAAAAAAAAAATGTTAATATTATAAAAAGCATTTTTTAACATTTATTCCTTAATATTGCCGTCCCGATTCCAGGCAAGATTAAACCGTTTAAACTTTATTTGAAATTTATTTTCGACCGAAGGCTCCGGCGTAAGCACTTTCGCACGATAATATTACTTGCTTCTAATATTAAAATAGCCGAATATTTAATTAAGAATATTAAAACTTAATATAAACCGAGTTAGCAAGCTACCTACATCTAAGCCGTAAAGGTAAAACTAACAACTTTACTCTTTTTCGTATTTATCTTTATTAATAAAATAAGCCATAAAGTTACAACATTAAATCTTATACCAATTTAAAAAGTATTATTTATATTCGGTATCCAAATTGTTATTAATAATATAATTAACGCAATATATACAAATATTACAAATAAGCTTAAATAAATTTTAACGGTTATTTTTACGGATAATATTGCAAAGTTTACAAATAAAATAAAGGTATTAAATAAGAAAATTAAGGTAATAAAAAAAAAAATTATTATTACCGTTATTATCGTTATTATTACTACCGGGGTTACCACCGGAGCTACTACCAAAACCTCAACAAAACTGGCTTAAAAATAACGTGCCAAAAAGGTTACCGCCGTAACGTTTATTAAATTAATACTTATAAAAAATTACTGCTTACTAACGTTACATAATAACAATATTAAATAAATTTTAACTGGTTTAACCTTATTAGAAAAATAAATTAGCAATTTATTAATAATTTTACCAAAAAATATTATTACGTATTATAAATGTTTACGTAGGTTAGGTATAACCATTAGGAATACGCGGATAAGCCTAGGCGGGAGTTAAGGTTGGGGTAAATGTTCGGGGACGGAAAATGTTAAGGAATAGGTTTACAGCGATACTTATATGCTTAAGTGCCGGGTGCATAATAATAAAAATAAACGCTTATTTATTTTATTATCTTTTTAAAAAAAAAACGCGTTAGGAGGTTATTATAATAATGTTTAAACTTAATTTATTTGGTAAATACTTTTGCAATAATTAACGTAATTTATAACTTTTTTATTTTTTTGTTTGGGGAAGAAATATTAAAAAAGTAGTTTGTTATGATAAACGTTATATATAACTGTAGCATAAAGATCAATTACTTAATCCAAATAATTGGCAAGAGGTTTACGTTTTAAATAACGTAAAAGATTAAACAAAAATATGCTGTTAATTGCAATTATAATAGCTATTTTATTTAAAATAACGTTTTTAAAACGTATATTTAATATTAATTAAATAATTTACATATATTAACACGTAGGATTTTAATAAATTTACCAATATTTTAATTAATTTAATTAATTAGGAATAAGATTAGGTTTAAAAATAGAAAAGTTAAAGTTAAAAATAAAAATAAAAGGTAAAAAAGAAGAAAAAATTGAAAATTTTTAAAGTTAAAATAAAATATTTGTATATTTGGTAGTTATAGTAGGTAAAAAGTAATATAAAAAATAGTATAAAAAATATTTGGAAAATATTGCTTAAAAATAAAAAATATTATAGAAATTATTTGAAAAATATTATGCGATATATATAAAAACCGAAATTTATACTTTACGATTATTATATAAGTAATTTATTAAAATTTTACAATAATATAACAATATTAATTTTAACTGTAATTATTAAATATATTTCCAAATAATCTTAACTTTAACTATAACCTTAACCGTAACTAAACTTTAATTAATTATAAAAAATTGTATAATTTGTTATAATATAGCCGTAATTTTTTTATTAAATTTATAAAAACGTTTTTAAATACCAAGCAACGCTTGTAACAAACCTGTAACGTTTTAACAAAAAGTTATTATAAATTTACCGTATAATAAAAAGTTATTATAAACTATTGTAAGTTTACCGTATACGTATTTAACTATATTTTTAACTATATTCCTTAATTAATCGCATTTAAAAATCTCGGGTAAACTCTAGCCAATAAGGTAAATACAAAATCGTAAAGTTTTATTAGCGTTAAAATTTAATCTTTTTACAAACCAAATTTAATTTAGGAAAATTTTCTAAATTAAGCCTCATTGGGAATTCGTGTAGTTTAAAAAGTAAAACTTTCCAATAAAATTGAGGTTAAGTTCAAATTGGCACGGGCAGTTGATTTGGCAGCAAGTGGATCCGGCTTAGTAAATCTTCCGTGACCACCTGCCATTAGGTACCAGGTACGAAGTACTTCCGTCCAATTGGACTTAGACGTTTTACAGGTCGACTTGGACTTAGAAAAAAAAGGGGGGTAACTCACCGATGAAGGTCTTCTCCAGTCAACGTATTACAGTTAACCATCATCCCATATTCCGCTGCGAAGTCATGGTAATGGGCTGCTATATGGATGTTCGGTCGCATTGTATCCTTCATGTACAAAAGAGCTTTCTCTCTGTCTCCTGGTTCAGCAGCTGCTTGGACTTCTGGGTTGGCTTGTGATGCATCGGGAGCGCGAGTTGCTGCTCGGGACCCAACTTGGGAAGCGAGAGAACCAGCACGCGAAGATGCCGCCATTGATGCAACATAGCATAGCTGGTTAAATGCATTCCGGCCATCGGCAACAATTTGTTTCAAATTCTTGTAGTCCTCACTGGCCGCTGTGTTTCCCATCAAGACTGTCGCACTCTTTGCCATGGCAGTGAATGCAGCAATAACAAACCTAACTGGTTCGCCATGTTCGCTGGCCTGTACTCGGAATTTTGGCTTCAGATGCTTAGGCCGAAGCCAACTCCGAAGGAAGACTGGTATGATCTTACCCCAGAGACCATGCGCTGACATTTCGTAACTGGAGAGGTGGTGCTTTGGCGACTGTAAACGCCGAGTTCCAGGTGGCAACGGAAAGGCACGGAGATGTAAAGTGTATTCTTGTACGGCGTCTGCAGTCAAGATACCATCCCGGAAGAGAAAATGTGCTAGGTTTAGAAGACCCGCGAATTCGGAATGGCATGGGTCATATGGCCGAGTGAGAATAATGTCCAATGCCGGTGCTACCATCTTAAGTCAGTCTAACGCGTCCTTTGCACATCACATCTTGAATGAAATACGTGGCACTTACCGATTGTTTCTAAGGCCGGGCGAGGATTGTTCATCCCCCATTGTTGGCCATACTCATCGCGTTTTGCTCCTTGATGACGCTCCATTTCCTTCTGCATGAATTTAACCTGGTAATGATATCGACCATGAGTTTGGCAGTCAAATTCTTTCTGGCCCGTGCTGATATAGCAGTTGCGGCAATAAATCCAGCCTCGAGGGCCTTTGGCGCCGCTGTTCTCAGCCTATTATGGGAGTCAGTTACCGCTATGGGTGGGTAATGGCGACAAGAAACTAACCTGTTGAGGCATATCACCAATAAACACCATAGTCCATGTGCAAACCAATTTTTCTTCTCCTGAGATGTCCATTTTGACGCCCATGTCTAGGTCCCTCAGTGTTCCTAATCCCTTGATGACTTCAGCAAAGTCTGAGCCATGGGGCCCAAGAACAAGAGGGATAATATGGCCGGGACGTAGACGGTCCTTTGCCGGAAGACCACATGGTGTAATATAATAACCCATCAAGCTCCGGTATGAATTCGCGAATACTCCGAATCCATCGATGAAAGTCACAACAGGCAAGGAAAGGACGGGTAACGAATCAGGAGACATCTGGTCCCAAAGCGTCTCAAACATCTCCCGTCCAAAATACTCTACTTCAAGTTCGCCTCTAATGGGGTGAGAGTGGCAGAGTGGGACGACGTCAAGCACAAAACCATCGAGCTCAGGGTCCCACTTTTTTGTGATCACACGACGAACGAAGTCTTCCTGTTCAGGAGTCCTGGAAGCGACTTCGGGCTCCCGATACTTAGGGTATTCCTCTCGCCGTTTTCTACCACGAGCTTTAGGCAGACTGGGGTTCTCATGGATCTCTCCGGTACAATAATCCTTGAAGATGGATACGTGACAATATGCGTTTTTCTCGGAGATGTATTCGCCCTCCACGTCGGTGAAAAGACAAAGCTCATCATCCTCCATTGCCGGAATGATTTCTGATGTTCTAAGTTCGGGTGAGTCCTTGTTGACATACCGTTGAATCTGCAAGGCGAGAATTTCCCGGCTCTGGCCTGTAACAGATTCTGCTCTCATATCCCAGCCATACCCGATGACACGGCCAATATGGAGGTCAACAGCCTCTTCACTATAATCCTCAATGCTATGGCAATGACAGTCATGCTTGCTGCATCGATAATAGATGTCATCACCAGCAAGGATAAGGACCCGCGCACCAATAGGCATATGAGGATAAATCCCTTGAGAGGACCGGTTGGAACTGGTCCACGCCCGAGACTCGTACATCTCTTTGGGTAAATCAACAAACTGCCCAGGACCAGTCCATATATCATTCATGATATCTGATGACACATATGCCTTGATCATTGACGGAGGATCGAAGTAGGTGAGCTTGACTGAGGCAAGCGGCTCATCGGGGTTGTCATCGGGTTTGTCATCGGGTTTGTCATCTTGACTTGGTGATGCCTTTCTCTTTCTGCCACGTTTTTTAGGCTTCTGCCCATGGGCCATGGCCTTCAGTCGTTCAAGGACTTCCTTGCGTCGCTTCTTCGCTTCCGTCGGCAACTTCTCTGCCTTCAGGGGGATCTCTGCCTCTCGCATGTTGATAAGCGGTAGACGCTTGCGTTGGCGACTGATCAAGGTTGAGAGCTGTTTAGGAAGATTGACAAGATCTGGAATCTGGTTCCCATCCTTGTCACGAACGAGTTGGAGACCTTCACGAAGCATGGTCCATTCGTCACGGCTAAGTCCCTGAAGGTCGGCAAAACAGGCGAGAAATTTCTCAATGAGGGTGCTCTCTATAAATTTGTTTTGCTTCATCTCGACGAGGTGTGAGATGTCAGGACTTCGCTCATCTTCTTCGTCTATGAGTTCATAGACTGGTATCTCGATAGGCAAGACAGTTTCGACTTGCGGCCGGTCGGGTCCTACAGATTCACCAAGGGGTATTTCTCCAGCCTGCATTCCCCCGATTGTTAAATCAGAAATACTAGGCCCCCCGGTCTCTGTCTCTTCATCTTCAAATTGATCGAAGGGCTCGGGCTGGGGCGCTTCATTTGATCCCTCGTTGTAGTCAGCGGCCCCTAACACGTCAAAGGGGTTAGGGCGCACAGTGCGATCATCGTGTAAAACCGCCCCACCACTATCACCAACTCGCTCCAAGTCAACCCCCTCTGTTACCCGGCTGTTAGTACCAAAAAAAAAAGCTTCGAGCACATGTGAAGAGGGGAATTATTTAAGTTGAATATTTGAATTATAACTGACCTTCGTCGTCATCAGTCTCCCAAGAATCTCCGGCTGGATCATCCATGCCTTCGTCATGGCCGTCGCCCCCTTCATTTTCGATAGTCGACATTACTGCGTCGTCATCCCATAGATCTTGCGGCTCAGTATCAGATTGAATTAGCTCCTCGGCAGCAGGAGCACTAGCACCTGCTTCCTCTTCCTCTTCATCTTCATCTGCTCCTGCAAATCCCTTATGCTTCTTGGGTAAAGGCCCAGTACTGGGAAGGCCCACACGAGGACGCGGCATCTTGATTGATTCGGAACTATCAATTGAAGAAAATATGAAGGTGTGTTTAATGGACGAAAACGAGTAAAGAGTGTAGATGTGTTTGTTTTAAAGAAAAGGAAGGAAGTCAGTGCGGGAGTTGCTGATGTTCATATTGCCAGGTGTAAACTGCCACTTAGGGCAACACGATTATCAGCACTACAGCAACTATGACGAGAATTAATGCAGGAGGTACCATTAAAAAGTTGCAACCTGATCAGGTTGCTGTCGATTAACAAGTGCTTTAGGAATACACGATAGGAAACCACCTAGCAGCAAACATCACAAGAAAGGTCTTTGCTTCCTTTTCTCCCACACGCAACCGCCTTTCTCCCTCCCACATATAACCCATCCTTCTCTCACCCACGCATTAATAATTCTATTCCCCCATACAATATTAATTGTTGGCCCCTCCCAGTCAACAACAGTTATTGTCATCTTCTGACACATAGGCGACAGTGACCCAACGAAGACTTTTTGATACTACTAGGAAAAGGTAAGTCCATATTCCATCTCACTTCGTAACACTTGATACATGCGTGGCCAAAAGAAACATCAATAATCCATCGTTATCCCTTCACTTATGATTCCCTCGTCTTCTTTTTCAAAGTCCATCCCCTAAAGCCCTATATCTAACCCCTCCCCACTTCATCCTCTACCTCGACGTTCTATTATTTTATTCGCAATTAGCGAACTATTCTATTGGTGGCCTCTGTCAATTATTAACTCGTCTTGCTTTAGTCCTAACGAGATGGCTGATAGCCCTACTGAGACGCCTACCGACAGCGCTGCTGGCGCTGGTCCCAGCACTCGTCGCAGTTCGCGACAAGTCCCCAACCCCAATGCGGGCCAACCTTCCAGCATTCCCCGTGCTAGTCGAGTTAGTATATCCTAAAGCCTTTAGTTAATTTACTCTAATATTAATATAATTCTAGGGCGCAAGTCGAGTTCGCGGTGTCCGTAGCCGTCGTCGAGATAGAAGCCCGGACCCCGCTGAAGACCCTAGCGGTTCTGGTGATCCGAGCTCTTCTCAAGCACCGGGTCTCTCTCAGACTCCTGGCCATTCCCAAACCATGGCCACATTCGGAACTTTAACCGAAACCCCCACTGGTGCCCTGAGCACTCCTGTTGCAAAGTCGACTTCAAAGTCGAAGAAAGAAATGACCCTCGAGGAGCTTTATCCTGATGCTGCGTTGGAGTTAACTCGTGCTCACGTGAAGCATGTTATTGATAAGGGATCATTGACCTACATCAGCTTCACCTTCAAAGAGTTCGGCAAGCCCTCTGATGAGGAGTACGTTGCCATGAAGGACGTCGCAGAGTTCGAATTCCGGAAGCATTTCATCGGCATGGGAACGAACAAATGCGTCTTCTACTGCATCAAGAAGGCACTGCCCAACGTGGACTTGTCTTCCACCGTCTCTCGTGAGCTGCGCAAACATCTTCTTAGTCGATATGCAGACTGGAAGTTCGATCTGGTTTCTGATCGCATCTACGTAAGTTTTGTTTTGTATGTCTCTCTACGATATCGACTGACCTGTCACAAAGGCCTATGTTCTTGATCAGCTCGCCCAGTTCGGGTCTCAGCTTGATCATGATCCCAACACCAAGGCCGGCGAGGATGCCCTTGCTGAGTTCTTTGGGCCTCGCATTGATGCTAACCTGTTCAAGGGCCTATATGGTGAGGCCAACTACAAGGTCTTAGATGTCGACCTAGTCTTCGCCGAGGAGAACAGAAAGAAGTTGGCATTCTGGTACTTGAAGCAGGTTCTTGTGAATCTATTCCTGCGTACTGTGCCTCTTGTCAAGGAGGAGCTGAGACTTAACAAGGCTGTGAGTCTGGTTTTATTTTTGATATGCTATTAGGATGTTTCTGACCTATTACTAGAGCGGTAAAGACGGTGCTCCAACCCCGTGGGCAGCCCGACTCCCTCGAAACTCCACCTTCGTCGTAGCCGATACACTCCGCAAGCACGTCCAGGATTTCTTCGACCGCATTCCCACGAACACAATGTTCTCCACCGTCGAAATGAAGTACTTCCCGTGGAAGAGGTACACAGATGAAGCCAAGAAAAGGATCGCTGTTTCTGCCGAAGGTGCTGCACGCAAGCTGCTTGCATCGGAGTTAGCGGACCAAGAAATGCGCATCCGTACCCCGCCTCCTCCCGCCGGAACTCCCTTTGGCTCTCCCTTCGGTAGCGGAGCTAGCCAACAACCTGGATCAGGACAAGGACGCCGTCAAATCATCTCGCCCATCCCTCTGGCTCTTGGGAGATCCCGCTCGGACAGTCATCCGAGTCCTTTGGGTAAGGACATTCCGTAGCCCTGCTTTTTTATGAATCCCTTCATATCAACGTCCTTAAGGACCACATCGCGGTTGAATTTAATAGTCGAATTAAAACTGATAAAAGACAAAAAAAAGATAGTTGCGAGTTAGACGACGCAAACGAGTCATATACTGACTTCAACATGGACGCCGAGTCCGACACCGACATGACTGAACGTTCTATAAGCCCTTCGATTCGAATCATGGAACGTGCTAGCAAATATGCGGCAGCATATCACTAATGGATCGTTACTTGTGTAAGACCCTACAGGACAGGTGACAGGTGGGCATTGCTATTGCTTGGCTTTATAAATGGCAATCAACTCATATGATGCATTGATCGATTTTCTTTCATGTTACGCGTTGAGTTTTATGCATCCTCATAGTTCGTTCATAGCAAACCTATTAAATACACGATATGAGGTGATGAATGGTTCGTGGTAAAAGGGGTATAAGTGATAATGATCGCGGCATAACCTCGGGATACCCCTGTGCACGGACCATCAATGCGCATGTACTTCCGCATATAAAATTTGCGGTAAGATACTTAAAATTCTACAATGACTCTTTTGAACACAATGATTGTTGGTCAAACAATCATTGTTTAACTTTACAATCATTGTAACCCCACACATTTTCCCACTACGGTAGGTTTTAATCATACCTTCACTATTCCCACATATAATGGTCGAGTAACAGAGCTGGAGTACGGGATTGCTCTTTGTTCGTATTAAATAGGTACATAGTTATGCTGTTGATCGTTTCTTGCTTCTTTTTAACATGTCGTATTATCGAAGGGGCATCATTTGCGGTTATTGGCAGCTCCACTTACACTATGCGACCAAAGAACGAGAACACAACTATTTTGAAGCACGAAGAACTATGAACCTACCTAAGCAACTAAGACTAGGCAGCTCATGGTCAGGAATTGTTGTTTGACGCATCTTAATAACCGCACAGTTTGATATAAAAGGTGCTTATGCAATCTCGTTTAATATAAAGAACATTCTAACGCAGTACTCATATAAGCTTTCACGTTGCATAACAAATCGCTTATAAATTACAATATTTCTGTGTATTTTATGGGAAAAGTGATGCTGAGTAAGATCATACTTCTGCTTGGATCTAAGGCTGCTGAGTCAATATCACGTATGACTATGTATGCCTTAGGTTTTCCCTCGATGAAGCCCGGCTACTTAGCGCCAAGGCCAACTAAGTGGAAGAGTATCTAGGTAATGCTGCTGGAAGGTAAGGCTATGAAATTGTATAGGAAAGTTAAAAAGGATCTGTCATGTCAAACGATACGATACCCTAGCTCTGGCTCCCTCGAAAAGGGTGATGCAAATGCCTTACGCACCATAACCGCGCCTCTTGGGTGATTAATAAATGTATTGCTAGGTACTTAAACAGCTTATACAACTACTAGACGTAAACAAATTCATTGTCATTACCTACCTATAAGTAAACGTAGCAATAAAAGAGGTAGACTAGTAAAGGGCTTAACTATAGAGTTAAAAGTATTAATATTAAGCTGTGGGATTTTGATGAATTGTGGGAGTAAGTATATAGGTAGTTAGCTTGAGGAAGATCGCATAACCACAATAAACTTATCATATTGTCACCGCAAAAATAAGTGTTGGACATAGTATATAGCACTCCGGCGTGAAATGTATACCGGTAAGGTACCCAAATAAGAAATAATGAAAACCTCCAAGTTAACCTGCACAAGTACTAAATGAGTTCATAAATCATACAACTACTATACTTTATCTCCAAACAGTCCCAATAATATTGTTTGGAAGACAAGGTGCGATTAGATGAAAATGATAGCGATGGTACATACTTGCGCACTTCTGGGTAAGGCTGACCATGCCTAATGCGGTAACTCACACAAAGGCTGGCCTTATGATTGGTTGGATTTAGCCGCACCATACAATCTCCGTCATCCCGCGTCCCATCTGAAGCTAGCGTTGCCGCTGGGTAAGGTCAGGTATCATTGTTGCCGATAGGCGGGGAAAGGGATAAGACCGTCAAGTATCCGTGATATACTTTCAATAACTTTGTCTCATGTTATTTAGGTAGTTTTAAGGTCTGGCGAATGGGGTAACAATAGTCCAAATAAAAGTGAATGAAGTATAAAAGATCCATCTTCAAATAATAAAAATACATCTGGCTTATCTTTTAGAATAACTACATTGAAAATAGATGTTCAAGTTAAATTAGCAAATACCTTTTGTATGTACATAAATCAGCTTACCTCTAAGTTATGTAACTAACGTAGTCGGCCAGAAACCTTATATGCAACTAGCAAAGTTATAGCGCGCCATTGGTCCAATGATTGGTCTAGTGACCTTTTCTCGCGGGCGGACTGTCAACGACAAGTCTTTGTGCTGTTCCTACCTTATGTACAAAGGATTATAATCATCTTCCATTGATAGTTACAACTACATGACTACAATTAATAAGACCTTCCAAACTAATCCTGGTCGGCTATACTTCCATTTTTACATCTGTTAATTGTCCATCCCGCCCCTACCTCAGCGTCAAGCCAAGGATATCTGCTTCTCCGAAGCTACGTCCATGCGCGCATCATCGCAACAGACGTCGCCCACATCCTTTTCATATCCCTTCCGCAGCCACCGACTTAACAACCATAGTAGCAACTAGTTACTCCCATCAGGCCGCCTACGCCTGGACCTGGACGTATCGACCGGGTATAGCATTAATAGTGCCCTTACTACCTACAACTGCCATCGCGTCTTTAGCCGCTAGCTGCGATTTATAGGTAAAGTGCAAAGTAAGGTGTATGTAGACATGCACTACTATGATGTAGTTAATCCCTATAGCTCAAGCAGTTGCTGATACTTTCCTAGAACTTGGGCATCCAATTTACCAACCGCCACTCGTTTAAACCCAATACCAGCTACCATAGAGCGCCGCCCATCGACTACCTAACCCTGCCTACCTTTCCTCCTCACTATGTTCTGACCTCGGAGGCGATCCTACACACATTATCGCGCTTGCATCGAACCCCTCTCTTATCCTTGTCAAGGTATATATTTGACTAAACACGACACATTCCTCGCCAGTTGCGTGCCACAGAATTTCCGGTTATATCGTATTTGGAAGATAATCGCAATTAGCGTGTAGCATCATGGCAGCGCCTTGTAAGTTTCGCATCTATACTGCACCCTTCAGTTCGTATCTATCTTATGCTATTTCTATTAGATACCACTGGTCAAGTAAGCTAGCATTGAACTAATAGAGGTAGTGACTGCGGAAGAGGAGACCCGTTATACGGAAGTCATCGATGGCATCCTAGCTACCGCGGACCTTGAAACTGTCACGCGTAAGAAAATTCGCATGGGCCTCGAAGCTGCACTGGGCGGGAAGGATCTGAGCGATCAGAAGGTGCGTGGCAAGTTCCTAAGTCTTATTACTGCAACTTGATTCTCTACCCTTATTTACTAGTATCACGCGAGGCTTCTACGTTTTACTAACTTGATATCCTCATAGAATGCTATTAAGGCGCTGATCGAGGAGCGTTTTGACGCTATCTCGTCAGGTGCTCCGCCGCCATCCTCCGCAATTCCCCAGCCCGAGTTGACTTCTCCACGTCCTTCGCCTCTAGAACAAGCCAATGGCTACGAAGAAAACAGCCAAGATGCGGATGACACAAACGGGGATGAGATAAAGGTGTCAGTGCAACCGCCTAGGAAGAAACAGCGGAAAGAGAAGAGTGAAGATACGGAGGACGCGGACGCCAAGCTGGCAGCGATGCTCCAGGCACAGGAGAACCAGCGCACTCGCGCAACACGTGGAGGTGGGAAGCCTAAGGCCCCGGCGAAGAAGAAGAAAGCCACGCCTCGGAAGAAGAGCGAAAAGAAAGTCGGACCCGATGATGATAGCGACGTGGCAGGAAGCGAGGAATCAAGTAGCCGGCCGCGAAAAGCTGGAGGGGGTTTCCAGAAGCCCTTTAATCTTAGTTACCCGCTCGCCGAGCTCTGCGGAGAATCACAGGTGAGCATTCCTCGAGTCAAACTTTTAACCAGGGCCAGGTCCCTGTAGCAGGTATCCATCTTCTAACCCTTAAGCACAGCTGTCCCGACCGCAAGTCGTCAAGAAATTATGGGAACACATTAAGGGCAACCAACTGCAAGACCCAAATGACAAGCGGCAGATACGATGCGACGAGAGGATGCAAGCCGTTTTTAAGCAAGCTAGGGTGGACATGTTCCAGATGAACAAGCTGGTTGGTAACCACCTCTACCCGGTAGACGAGGAGTAATTAGCGAGTTGGCAAGTTGTGCTGCGGGTACTCTCTTGAGTTGATCCTTAGAAGATATAGCTGGTTGGGCTTACGTGATTAGCTAATGGTGGATGGCTACATGTTCGTGATATGGACGTGGCATGCTTTATGATCGTTTTCTTTACTCCCGCTGACCCCTTGAATGCGGCCGTAGGTGGAATCGGTCGGTTTACCATCGGCGTTAGGGGGGATGAGATTGATGCATCGGCGAAGCGGCGTAGTCACTAGGCTATCTACTTTAGATAGGCTTCGATAGTTAGGTTTTGAAGCTTCATCTCAGATTAGCTAAATTAACAAGACGGGTTTCGAAGGAGATGTTTGGGGTTAACTCAGTGACTGATCTCTGTGTTCTATTTACGCTGTGACCCTAAATGAGGTGAACCTAGGACAGTCATACCTAGGTGTCGCGGATAAGAAGACCACTATACCGGTTGTTTGTGATTTCATCAGCTTATTACATACCTAATATACATATCCGATGTTTACCTACCTACCTACCTCTTACATACCTCTTACATGTTTGCCCGTTAAGGAAGGGCATCAGGCCGGGGTATATCAAATATATATCCCCAAACATACCTAGGTAAGCAAAGGAATTACGTATAATTATGCTAAATGAATACCTACATGTATAAAATATATATCGAATGTATATAACCTAGATCTTTTAATGGAAATGTTCAATTAGTACCTACTTACATGAAGTAGAGTACCACCCTTTATACATATGATAACCGTACCTGCAGGGCTGTCATCCCGCTTGACCGGGTAAACTTAAGGCTAGGTACTTAGGTATTGTACAATGTTTCACTCATTTTCACGATCTCACAACATTTTCAATCACATCATCAGTAATTACATCAATATTGCCTCAATAATCGCCCAAATATTCCGTATCAGCTATATGACACCAATCAAGTGGCGTAAATCACTTGCCAACATGCCCTTGAATCCATAATGCCTATTAAGCCTCATTCTCGTATATCTTACCCCTTGCCGCCGTTTGCCTTAAGCTACTATTAAAAGAAAGTTTCACGGTGGTAAAATAGTTTCTTATACCCATAAAAATCAGCTCCGATAGTTACACAAATATTTCCGTCGCTTTAGGCTTGCTCTCCACTAGAGCCGCGATGAAAATGGCCTCAGTTGTTGGTAATTGAGGCTCTGACTCGGAGATTGTTGATAAATGAGGCTGGAGTGCCGTTCTTGCGAGGTTGAAAATTTCGTCAGCGGTCAAAGTAATATTTAATGTCCATTCTCCAAGGAGCAACTCCGTGCGTATGTGGTAACTTCTAGTAGGTACGTTCAAGCTTGATGGTTTGGCGAGTTGTTGGGAGTTTTCGTCGGTTAGGCGCGTGTGACTCAGCTTGCGGACCAAGTATAATGTTACTGTAAACACGTATTCCGGAGCATGTATTCGGCGTTCTTCTGGTTGATCCGATGGATCTAGTTGGTCCGATTGATCTGGTTCATCTAGTTGGTGACCTATAGATGTTAAGCTTTAGTTTCTAATTAATGCTAAAAGACAACCCTGAACTTACGTTGAAAAAATGAACAACTACTGCCTCTACTGTTATAGTAACAGTTGGCACACGCGCCCCCGAAGTCATACTCCATACCCATTGATGCAACCACACAGCTATCCCAAAACCCTTTTCCTTCGGTACAGTTATCGCACCTATTATTATAGGGTTTACGTGTTCCACATGCTTGCAGCATAGCAGCGTTGATGTTAAGTGGTCGTTGAGCGCTGAATTGTTTTCGCGATTTGGCGTACATAGGGTTATGTCGTAAATGGTTGCGTGCTGGTTTTTTAAGAAGAGTTCGGACTACGTGACTTCTTGATGTAGGTATAGACTTTAGCAGAGGCGGAGGGATGACATCTTTATATTTTGTCTTGACTATAGCGAAAGCCGAAGGTGTACCCTTCGGAGAGTCTTTATCTAATTGGAATTCGGGTAGTGTAAGCGAGTTTGAGCAGCTCGGCGGTAGTAGCAAAAAGTGCATGTCAAAGTCTGTATCAGGAGGCAAAGGATAGATGACAGCACGAAACTTGTTATCACAATGGCCCTGCTGCTCTAACTCTTCACAGACCGCGATTACTTCGTCTTGTAACTTGTCTGATATAGCTTCGAATACGGCATTTCTGATAAGTCTTGTAGGTAACTTAGCTGCGGATTGATCAATTCTAGGGAAATTGGTGGTATCAATTTCTAACGCAAGCTCCGTGGTCATATTTAGTTAGAAGCTAAAAAGACAATAACAACAACTTTTGCTTGATTGATGTTTTGACTGAAATAGAAACTGAAGACAGTATGAAGATAGTAAGACTGTTTCTATTTATATTGGCATATTTAAGGACGTAAAAGGTGAAAGAAAAAGTTGAAAGTTAAAATAAAAGGTGACGTGCGTTCGCGTTTTAAGTCATTGGGTAAACGCGTAAAAGATGGTATGACATGGGCTAAAAAAATGTATATACTGCTCAACTGTATGAAACAATGCATTTTATGTAAATTATGCCTATTCTAAGATTTTATCTTGGTTGTTGTGGATTAGATTGTATAAGGGGCATGAGGTTTTTCTGGTAGCGAGCTTAACTTTTTGAAGCCATTGGTTAAGATGATGGATGTATTTTGGCTTATGTCCGGCGGTCAATGCCATACGCTTCCAGATTACTTACTGACTAATCGTACCCTTGCATTTACACACACTACGAATTTCGAATCCGAAGCTTGGTACGGGAGGATTTCCAGAAGTCATACAGGGCTGGAAAATGTCATTTAAGATGCGATCGGCCCTTCGATCTAAGACGGCACTTACGTATGATAGATTAGAAGTTAGCCTTTAGCATCATTCATTTTCATTACAGATAGTCCTTGCTCGCGGAATCGTGGCTTTAAACCCGAAGTTATTAGAAAGCAAAAGGTCTTTTAAACCATCCACTGTCACTATCTAACATCTCATCTAAACGTTTTCACCTATGCGATTTTTCGTGGGCGCTACTCATTCGTATGGTGCTGCGACAATCCCAACAGATATAAACATCACTACACATGTTACACTCGTAAGCCACCGACTGAATCGTGTGATGGCATAAACTGCACTATACTGGCAACTCCTTTTGCTCGTCCACAACAAGGAGCTTCGTAAATGGGTCTGTCGTTACTCTCAGCATCCACCTTTTATCGAGCGGGTTGCGTATATTTCGAGCCATCTTATCCACTTTATGACATGTCAATTCGAAAGTTAAAGAGTTCATGTTAGCCGAGCCATTGATGTTCATGTCGTTGGCAATCAGATCAACCGTAAGATCCGCCTAACCGAAAGCATAAGCGACCTTTCGGAAGGTCGGTAGCTAGAACTGAAAATCCTAAGTCGTATGTCTCCATAGGAGCGTTGATGGCCTTGTCGAGAGGGCCGATCCTGATAGGATTAAATCTAGTGTTACGCCCGGTTCCCGTCCTCACTTCCAAGAGCTCGCAAGACCCAGTGGCCCCATCCTGAGCATGATAACGACGCTTCAAAGCTTTTCTTCCTTTCCGCGCCGATCTGCATTCACTTTAATGCTCAAGAGATATCAAGTCTTGACTGCATATCCCTAGACCAAGCTAAGCAACAGCTAAATCTAATATGAGAGTTGCTCTATTAACCTCGTTAATAATGTAGTGCATGACGTTCGACAGGAAAAACATGCCAGCGTGGAGATTAGGGAACCTCGTAGGTCATTAAAGAGAAGGGAACTTAGCGCTTCGACTATACGCTCGCGTGCAAATATCGAGGTGCGAAAAGGATACGAAATATCTTCATATCCCACTTTTACAATACATCAGTTACCACATGAGCTTGAAAGTCGCAACATAAGGTATGTTTCTAAATCGAATAAACAAATCCTTGCATACCAACTTGTACGAGACGACCGTCACCGGAGTTGTTAGAGGTGCGTCAGGAAGTTGTCAGGATTCTAGATGAGACATCTAGAACAAAGGACATGTTCAGTATGTATAGACTTAGAATTTGTTTCCATGCCGTTTAGTTCCACCTCGTGACAGAAGTCGCTTGTTGATGAACACGGGAAAGGGTTTTTATGTGTTTTCTCGTTGGGATTGTATTTGACTAATTGAGAACTTGAGTTACGTTTGATCAGTTTGATCGTGGAATATTTAAAAGCTGTGGGGGAGTGTCATGGTCACTACGCGCGCCACAAAATTGTTCAGCGGAGGACGTAGGACGTAAGAAGCATCTGTTCATTATAAAACTTATGTGATTGGAACTTTTAAATCCGTTAGTTGTAAAAGCTTCATGTTCGAAAGTACAGTTAACTAGCCCCATTGTACCAATACTTTCTTCCGGCCTTTATTTCCCTTTTTGCCTTTCCCAGAACCATCTACTCCGCCTTCACCAATATTGCCGTCGGGTTGTGTAGACGTATCCCCACCCGATGCTCCCCAGGAGAAACCGGTATTCCTCGAGCCACCAGCATCTCTACGTACACTCCCAGTCCCGTAGCCGAATATCGTCGTTGTAGGCTTGGGCGCCGTGGGAAGGGCTGGAAATGCTTCTTCCCGGCTAGCATTCTTCGACGCTCTGGTTGGAGTTTGGGACGCCGTGCTAGAGCTCCAAAGGGCTGTGGCCGCTGGCCGCGATGTATTGCCTGTGCTGGCGCTGCTGGATGGCAAGGCGGGGAAAGAAGCTGCGGGAGGCAACGGTGGCGGGCGTCGCGAAGAGCTTGAGCTAGAGAATAAAGTAGAGGACTGCTCTACGCTCGACCGCCGCGATTGTTGGGTAGAGCTTTTGAGTTTGAGAACTCGAGTTGTGTGCCTTTGGGATGGCGCGGCGGCAGCTGTAAGAGGAGAACTAGCGGCGGCGGCGGCCCAGCCAGTGTTAGAAGATGTTGCGCCGTGCATACCGCTCAGGCCTGGCAGAGTTGGGTAATCTTCATTTATTGCCCTCCAATCGCTCCAGGCTTTCCGCAAACCATCTCCCTTGCTGGTGTCCTCAAAAAGATCCGCAACCTCGCGAACAAGCGTGCCAAGAGTAGTGGACGAAGTATCTGAAAATAGAGAAAAGAGTGCATCTACGAGCGCCGCAGCTGACAGCTTGCCCTGTCTGTAGGAAGATATTTGACCGCGAAAGGTGGCAATCTTGTCCCGGTCATTCTGTAATAGGTTCGATGCCCGTTCGATAACTGCGGAATGCCGCAGAAGCCGAACGCGATCTTCTGGTGACAGGTTCGGGTCCGTCAAGTTTAGTCCTTCCATCTCGATAGACGGTGCTGTGATGGTGGTGGCTGGGACAGAAGAACTAGGGGAGCCTGCTGTACGCTGACTTGTTTGGGCAGCGGGGATAGCACTGTTTGAAGAGGGCGCTGCTGATAGTTGCCCACCAAATGTCCGGTTAGAGACGGACTGCGAAGAATGTATAGCCATCTGCCTCTGGAAAGCAAGCTCGTCTCGTCGAAGGGGCTGTGCCGAGCTGACCGGGAGAGGATCTGCGTTCGGATCGCGACCTCTTCCGCGCCTCTCTCTGTCTCTATCCCCATCTCTATCCCGGCCGGAACCACTGCCGCCCCGCCTTTGCTGGTAAGGCTGTCGGTAATCAAAGCTCGAAAGGTCGACTAGACGGGCATCCCTTCTCACATCTTTAGATAAGGAGTTACCGTGTTCACTGAGCTGATGCGCCTTCAGATCTATCTCAGAGTCGAAGACAACAAACTTCTTCTCAAGACACTCGCGATCGAGGCATAAGAAATGATCCTTCTTGAAGTGTTCTTCTAGCGCATTATAATCTCGATAGTAATGAGGCTGCCTAGGATCCTGGCGGTCGCAAAGGAAGCAGCGCTCATGTTTGCTCCGGCAGTGCTCGTAAAGCTTGTCGTCATCGTAGAACCTCTGGCCACAGAATGCACATAGTGGGTGACCCTTAAATCCCGTCTGGTCCACAGCGCCGGGGCGGTCGTCACCGTGTCGCATGTGTTTCTCCAACTCCTTGTCGGTAAATAACTCGTGTTCATGGGTAAACACTTTCTTGTTTCTCGTACACAAGTCGCACATCTTCTTGTGGTGAGCGGTACGGACGTGTCGATGCAGGTCTGGCCAACCGAGGCCAGCAAAGTCGCAAGAGTCATCTGGACAATTATAACGCAAAAGCAAGACAGTGTCTCCGACTATATCTTCGTTCGTGTACCGAATACCGATATTATCGTCTGTACTAGTAACGTCGGTGTCAGAGTAGTCTTGGTATCGTTTAGTCGCATCGTCCGTGAAAAGAACAAACGGGGCAAGTGTCTACCAATGCGACAAGATATGTTAGCCCTCAATACTCTACGCGATGAAGCTGCTGTTATGGTGGTAGAATCGACCATACCCGACAATGCGCGCATTCTTTATTCTTGTATAGCGCCCTCATCCGCAGGGAACAAATATGACAGGTTCTATGGTTGCATGGAGCAACAGACTGGTGGATGACGGGGCTCGCGCAGATGAAGCACACTTCGGCCTCCGCATCTTCTTGGTCGGCGCTCGCTTCGCTAGCCACATGTGAAATGCGAGGTTGAGGCAGAGATGGTGCTGGCTTGTCCGAGTCTCCGTGAGGAAGCGGCGTCGCCGAAGAAGAGGTATGCGCCCCCGATATATTAGCCCCCCTTCCTCTCCCACGTTGCGATCTGCCTTGCCCTCCACCCCTAGAGTTCCCATCACCTCGTCCACGCCCTCTACCTCTGCCTCTCGAATTCCGCTCGCTTCTGCCGCGGCCTTGCCCAGCCTGTATCGAGTTTGAGGCTTCGTTCGACGCGTCTGTCGAGCCCTCAGCAGTAGCGGGCATGATGGGCCGCTAAGAGTTTATAGAGCGAAGAGGCACGACCGATACGTCCCAAGTAGTAAGGTCGTAAATGGAATTGGTGTATCCGAATGTATCTAAAATATTGGACTGGTGTCCATATCCTTAGGAGATACGAATACTTGAGGATATACCTGTATCTGATCGGATTTATCTGATCCCACCTTATTGATTGATGAATTTTAGCGGGCGGTGGCTTGTGACAACATTACCTTAGACGATGGGATGACATTAGGTACTTAGCGTTTGTACCTCTTTGTTCTTGTTACAGCCACAGGACTTATCTCAGTACATTATGGGGCTGGGGGGGTCTATTGACATTATGTCAGCAAAGGTGTCAGTATAATTACATAATTACAGGCTTTGACACCATGTTAAAACCGTGTTAATAAATTAATATAATATTTGCAAAATTTATTATACCGATTTTATTATAAATATTTATAAATTAATATTAATTAATAATATATTAAAGTATTTATTATATTAAAAGTATTTTTTATTTTACCGTAATTAATAAATTTGTTAATAATGTTTAAATAATTATTATTTTTTTAAAAAAATATTACGTTTAAATTTTTTTAATTAATAAAGTAATTAATAAAATAATTAATAAAGTAAATGATAAAATAAATGATAAAATAATTAATAAAAAATTATATGTGTTTACGTAAAAAATACCCG